AATTCCGGCGGTTACAGGTTGGCCGAGTTCCAGGCTGAGGTTTGGAACGTTCGGGTATTTGCCCTTACTCCGGGAAGGCACGTGTTCCCAACACGCTGGCGCGGTCTGGTTCCCGACACGAGCCTGGCATGTTCCCGACACGGCTGCGGGCTGTTCCCAACACGCACCCCCCCTGTTCTCAACACGCGTGTGCCCAACACACCCCAGTTGCAACCAACACGACTAACATTCCAAGACGCGGCACGACTGGCGGCCAAAAGTCAGCTGAGAATGGCTGCCACAGCAGCAAGATGCACAGATTCTTGAACCCCGCTGGCACCGACACAGGCACCACATGGCGCCCTTGCCCTCTGAGCCGCAAGAGTTTAGAGTCAGATCGTCATCTTGAACCACCAGAAGCTGTGAACACCACACTCTGCCAACTTGCAAACGCACTCCACCAGTAGCTTTCGCACGGCGCACACGGCTTTAGGCTCCGGTTTCAAATTCGAAGGTTTGGGGTTTCAAGTTCAAAGTTTTGAAACAAAGACTTGGCGTTTCCACGGGCTAAGGCTGACGCCTCAAAGGGTTTGGGAGCTCACACGTCCTTAAGCAACATACCCGAGCCCTCTAAGAACACGGATGAGCTCTGAGTGGACGATACCGATACCATTTGTCAGACACGGATGCTCTGTTATCACGGGTGACTTCTAATTAGAGCTATCATGACTGGCCCATGGATGCTGCGGTATCACGCAGTATCATGGTTTGGTTCGGCTAGGGACGCTCTGGTATCACGGACGAGGTCCCAGTGGACGATATCGGGCTTCGGACATCCATTCGTATCACGGACGAGGTTTGAGTGGACGTTATCACGGTTGGCCCGCAGATGCTCATTAATTGTGGCTGGCCCATGGATACTCATCAAGCGCACCGAATTGTAAACAAACTCTTCAACCACTGGACTGATGGGGCACATGCACAGGCTCACGGGCGCGCACCGCATTTCAAAAGACACGCTGTTTCCAAGGCGCTGGACCATGGGGCGCATGCGAGGACTAAGGGCGCGGAGGATTTCAATTAAAGCACTTTTCAACCGCTGCAAGCAAGGACTGACGGAGGCACCGGCTTTACAAACAACCAAGCTTCAACCGCTGGACTGATGCGATGCATGCGAGGGATGATGGGGCATGCCGGATTCAAAAAGACTCTTCAAAGACTGATGCGACAGATGCGATGGGGTGCTCCGGGCACTCAAGACAAGGACTGACTGGTGAGGCCCATGCAACAGCTGGCGGGGCGCCGGATTTTGAGAGGAAGACTCAGCCTCTTCAACGGCTGGACTGATGGGGTGCATTCCCTGGCTTGTCTGCTCAATGTGATGGGGCCGGCTTTCTGGGTTTATAGCATTCCGGGTTTATCGGCTTGTCGAGTTGTCAGGGCGTTCCGGGGTTATGGCGCGATCTCGGCTTATCGGTTTATGGGATTAGCGGGTTTTCCGGCTCTGGGCGAAAAAACGGTTCTAGCGCCAACCGCAAGGTGTAGAAAGTGTTCCCAACCAGTCCACGCAACCAAAACCCGACATGCAACACAAGCTCGACTGATCGATGGAATACGGCTTCCACTGGGCAACAATCACCCGGAGTCCGACTTGGCGGAACATCACAAACCACCAGTCTGGCTCACAGCCACAGAAGCAGTTGAATTGATGCGGCCAACGCCAGCACCGTCAACAGGATCGCCACTGATGGTCGAGACCAGATGGGCGGTCGCCGCAAGCCGAGCCTGATGCACAAAGTGTTGAAGAAAAGTGCAATCGAAATGCTGGGAGACAGAAGGAGATGGCCTGCATATCATGGCATACACCTTCAAACAATCAGGCTCCAGCATGCTCCAACAACAAACGGTACTGCGCGAACACAACCACGCACCCAATGCTGGCAGTTCCGACGCAGAAGGTGGTAATGGGCGCCGACAAAGCCATCATCCACATCCTGCACTGCGGGTACCCGGCGGCAGAGCTTTCTGAAAGCTTTTTACTACTCAACCCCAGAAACCCTCACAAGTGAATCCTCCACGGCGGACTCGAACGCATCTGTGGTGACGCATCCCAGCGGAATGCTGGAGATGGCCCGCGAAAGACTTAGCTGAGCAGGTGACCCCGCCTTCAATTTCAATTGCATGCAGCCCACACGGCGAAACTCCATCGACAGCAAAGTGACAGGATCGTTACCAGGACTGTTGAAGCAAACGCCCTGGCCGCCATAACTCCATTCCTTGCCTTGCACGGTACAGATCGAGGAACGTGCCGCCAGAAACAATACCAAAAACACTACAACACGGCCAAGGCTCCGCAATGGGAAAGGCCCAAATGACACGGCAATGGCACCAAAGGTGCCAGGATATAGATCTCCACGAAAACCTTCTCACAGATTCAGATTCATGATCTTGTCTGTGTAGAAACGAGCCTGCAATATGCGATCCCACTGCACAGGCAAACAGCAGTTGCACACTTCAGAGGAGGGAATAAACGCAGAGCGACTTGTTCTTGTTGCAACCCGCCATCGCGCACAGGGTGGTTTGGCCCGACCCCGCACCCTCCGCCGTCTAACCATTGTGAAAGGACCGGGCATGGGTAGACACGATTTTGGCCTGGTCAACTACTACTTAGCTGCATTGGCAAACAACAACATCCGTAAGCTCCACAGACCTCGTTTGTGACCAGCTCACCTATCCAAGACCTACAACCTCCTTCAAACACCCCTGGAGTAGGTGGTACGAAACCATGGAGTAACGGGTCAGAGTTAAACGTGGCAGGAGTTTCGGTTTGCCCTGAGACATCCGTTCGAAGGACGAACACGCAGCGTTTGGAAATCACTCACATGCAGTGCGCAGTGGGCGAGAGTTGGTCTCAATGCAAGCAACAGTGCCTGCAATGCCGCCTCCATTGCTCTTCCAGGAACAACTTTGTTTCCTCCCAATCTACGGACTGGCTTGTACCGAAAATCCTGCAGCATGGCATCATAGCAGCTCTAACAACGGCAGTTTCAGACACTGACTTGGTACAGTATGGTTGCAGACAACTCTGCACTGAAACAATGAGCAACAGGTGCGGGTCTTGATCAAGCCAGCAATCATGCTGGAGACACCGTTCGTTTGAGCGACAAACTTGTCAGCACAGATATCCTAAAGGAGCGTTAGCCTGCCTTGCCTTTGTTGCAAGGGGTGGTTGTGCCGTGTTGCTTGGCGGCACTAAAGCAGGAAGCCTTGCAACAAAGAAATCTGAAAAACACACTTCTTTGACCACCTCCCCACAAGGTTTGGGACACCTCTTTTTGTAGCCTCGCTATCGGTCGATATCTTGTCCCTTCTTGGTACGCTGCATCTGGTTTGCCACGGATCTGACCTTGGCACCCCCAGGTCTTGGCTGTGACGCTACTCGGCTGAAATGTCTCAGGCCCTAGCCTTCGCCGCCTGCTGCATTGGAGCAGAAACTATGTCGGCGCACTTCCAGCTCTCCGAAACCGAATGCAGCGCTATGGCCGGCCCGAATGATGCACCAAAGCCCACGTTGAGAAGCAATCCTACGTTGCTTCGACATGCTTTGTGCTGTGAGTGACAAACACTCGGATTTCACGGAGCTCGTTCGATTCCTTGACTGTTACACGGGTGCGCAGCAGCCTATCCAGTGCATCAAACGCGGCTTGCGCTGTGTGAGCGATGTGAGCGTCAGTTTGCTTCTGAGGCAGCAGCATTGCAGCAACCCAGCCTCAAGTGGTTGGAGGCAGAGGGTGTCCCTTAGGGACTCTTTAGGGACTCCTTAGGGTCCTTAGGGTCCTTAAGGTCCTTAGGGTAAAGTCGTTAGGGTCCTTATGGTCCTTAGGCTAGGGTCATCCCTCGCCGACCTCACCGTTACCGCCCTCGGCGTTCCCACCACTGTCGGTATAGCTCCTACTCTCACCGCGCCCCAGCAAACCCACACCCCCACACATGCCGACGTGTCACCCCACGCACCTTCACAAAAGCACCCATCCGCCTACTCTCGCCGAACAAAAAAAAACCTCGCCGTCACCGCCCTCACCATTAAACAAATCGGGCAGTGCCCTTTTTGGTGCCTCCTGTTTCCTGGAGCGGCGTTTGCTTTTTGGAGCCCCCTGCTCCAGGTTCACACGCGGAGCTCTTATTTTCAAGGCACGTGAAGCGGGTTTTCGAGCCTCGCGTTCAAGCTCTGGATAATAACTTGGGTTAGGGTTTATAGGGCGCTGTTCTGCTTGTGCTGCCCGCTGGATGCACTTGCATAAGGCATACGCACGCACATATACATGTTTTGATGGTGTGTGTGTGTGTGTAAAGCATACACACATATGGCGACTCCTGCGACGTATTCATATCCTCAGTGGTATGATTATAGGTGCAATATGCATTTGGTGGCCCTACATCTTATACTTGTCTTCATTGTCGTCTTCACAAAATGACATTGAGAAACACGGCAAATAGCCATGTTTTCACACTTTCCCAAACCAGGAAACTTTGCCTCCAAAACATGTTGCCGAGGGGAGAAGGGAAATGCCGCTTTCAATGCTTTCAAGATCTCAAACGAAAGTTTACACACCAACCCAGGGCTTCTTGTCGTCGCCGACAGTTACCTTGCGCGTTCATTACGAAAGTGGATGCGGCATCATAACCTTATCTACGGGCTACGGAGCTGCATGCAACTTAGCAAATGCTAGTAGCTTTGGCTGAATCCAGGGGCTGCTGATTCGGGAGTGCGGGACTTACATCGCCTCCGTGATTTTCACGTCGACATGAGGCTCTGGGAGGAGAACGTCAACTTCATGATCCTGATGCTGGTGTTCTTTGTCTGCCTTTTTCTGCCGCAGGGCAAGTTCCAGCTCTCTTGTCCCGACATCTCGGCGGCAGTGTCCTCGGGCATCGCCTCGGACGAACTGCCACACGTGCCTGCTGCGCGACTGATCGACGGAAACTGAGCTGCCAGCTTTGGCCGGAAGAGGTAAAGCATACTATCCACCAAAGAGGTATTCCAGCACATCGATCTGCCCAAGGTCGTTCGATGTGCTTCGTTTGGTTTGCCAAGCTTTGCACCCCCTTCAAACTTTGAGGACGGGAGCTCGTGGCCTCCCCTCGCAGTATCTTCGACAGTCCTGCACAATGCACCAGAAATACTCAAACCACAAACCAGACTGAGGCCGTGCCGAAGACAGTCCCACATACATGACGGCTTATCTGGTTGTTGCGCTCCTGGGCCCGTCTTCTTGGTGAGCAGGAAGTAGCCTTCCATGTGCGGGCCGTACCTCTGTTGGGCATCACTCAGACTCAGTGATTAAACTTGAGGAGAGAGAGAGAGGGGGGGGATGCGGGGGGCCTTAAGGGGTCACTTCTGCACCAGCGGTTCCCACTCCAAGGCATCCTGTAGGTCGTCGCCGGTCTGATAGTAGTGGTCCTCTTCCAAAGCAGATTCAGAACTCCCCAGACGGGGAGTCATCAGTTACCACTTCCCATCTGTCATCCCCCCCCCTTTTCCCAGTAAAGAAAATGCTGCTGTCCTCCAGGTAGAGGAGGTATCGCTCGAACGTCCTCCTTTGGTGAGTGTGCTTGACGTTGTCTATGTTCCCATCCAGCTCTGCGAGGGCATCTTGGACAAACCTGACTCATCCAAGTGCCAAGTCGCTTTTTGCTGCAATAAAGTGGCAGAAAATCGCGACGCAAGTTCAACACACTCAGACTGCCGCTTCAAATGAGTGCGCGTGACTTCGATGTCCGGCACTCTCTCCGGACGCACCTCGGAGCCCGGTTCCCTTTCCACAGCTTGGGCACAAGACGGCACAAGGATCATTATCACGGAACCATCGTGACGAACATCGCAGATCGCCGAGGAAAGGGCGAACTTGAAGGCCGGATGCGGGAAGTAGGAGACCCGCACCGGATAAGACCCAGGATTGGCCAGCAGCTTCCCGATCTCCTCTGCAAAAAGCAACATAGGAGCCCTCCACAGGGCCTCGAACCCTCCGGCGAGCAGAGTACACCTTAGCATCCCGACTGCCGGTCCTGCTTGTTACCCATTGCTTCTGTGCCTTTGGCATCGGTGAATTTCAGGCACCTTCGAAGCTGAGGATCTTGAATTGAAGGGTTTTGCAGGATCTCCTGAAGGCTTGAGATGTTCGCCTGTTGTCCAGGGATTGTGGCGCGATGCCAGCAGCGTGCATCTGCCAAGCAAGCATCTCCCCGAAGCAGTCCTCTGTGTTGTCTGCGTTGCAGCTTCGAGCTTCAAGCTTTCAATTCTGGGGGGCTTCAAGCATCCAGGGGCTTCACGGGAGAGGAGCCATAAACCCTGGTAACTTAAAAACACTCTGAGTCGAAACATGTGTCAAACATGAGGAATGCAAGATGCACAGAAAATGAGGAGGACGGAAAGCAAGAAACCAAGAGAGGCATCTGGCCGTCAGACATCTCCTCACACCCACGCTTCACTCAACTCGCCAGCCCCCCCCACATCCTTTTCTCTCGTCCGTCCTTTTCGGACGCCTGCATCGTGAACTCGAACTGGCCACTCCTTGCATGGGTACATCCTCTACCACCGCAGATTAAAAAATGACACACGAGATGGACATGAAGCACTAGAGCACTGCTATATGAAAGGAAGGCGCATGTTTGGGGCACATAGGGACGCGCTGAAGAGAGCAGAAGCGGCCGCTCACCGAGGCCGAGTCATGGTGACGCCGTCCTCGATCCCTTGGCCCCAGGCCTGGCGAACCTCAGAAATCAGAGAGGGCACACGGAAAAGAGACATTTCATGAATCTCTCAAAAAGAGCTCTCTCTTGCATGCTCTCCCTCATCCCTCGGCACGGCACCAGGTGGGGAACTTTTCGGCCGGGCCTCTGCGACATTCTCTGACACGCAGGGTCGTGCACTGAGGAAACCACTCGTGGAACAAGCCTACCACACGCTGGGAAAGTAACTGGGTGTCATGTGTGGGAGAGGAGAAACCGGGATCGTTCTCTTCCAAAAAGAGCGTCGAAATCTGTGGCCAACGCCCGGACTCCAGGTCGCAGGGCGCGATCTTCTCGGGCGCCTCCTCCTCTCTAGAGACCCGATGTTTGCATATAGGACAGTCCAAGGGGGGGAGGGCACTCCGATGTGAGACGCATGGGAGGGCAGATGCCGCACCATATTCGGCTCCTCCAAGCCAAGGGATGCCCGGGACGGCGCGTCCTTTCCAAAGGCGAGAGGCCGAAAGATGTCAAGAAAGCATGCGACAAAAAATGCATGGGCCAAAAACTCTCACACTTCATCAGTTCGAAAACAGCTACGAGTGCAAGACAGCTCTCAACTTTTGCCTTTCTGCCCGGGCGAACTTCCTCTGTTGTTTCTGAATTGTTCTCTCGCCGTCTGTTCCGTGTCTTCCGAGCCTCGCCGGCAGGCGGCGCAAAGGGCCTCGGGGCTCCCATGGCTCTTTCCTCTCATCTCCTCCGCCGCTCTTTAGGACCCTGGCAGAGCCCCGTCCCGCAGCCGAACCTGAGGCATGCTGAGGCGTCCCTTTCCCGTGACGATCTCTCGCCCCTGCTTCTCCCCAAGCCTCCATGCGGCGCTTGCTCGCGACGTTGGTGCGGAGCATCGTTCGGAAGTCGGTCTGGAACCTCGGAAAAGGAGAAAACAAGAAAACGAGAAAGGGGAACCAGAGGCGAAACGGGGGAGGCGTTGCCTTCTTCTCCAGCATGCGTGACATCAGCAGCCTGCATTGCCTCTGGAGGAGACCTTCCTTCTGGGGAGCTCTCTTTGGCCTCTCTAAAACCCCCTCTGAGGCTCCAGGCCGCAGGCTCCCCAGCTTGCACTGCGCCACCGGGGCTCCACCTTCTTTGCAAGAGCCACACCGGAACACCCCGAACAAAAACAGCCCGCTCCCCTCCCTCCAGCACAACACTAAGATGATGCGCTCACATGCCAGCTCTCCCTGAGCTCTTCTCTTTCCTGCGGGAAGCTTCGCCTCGAGCCAATGCGGCGAAGGCCTCCTTCAGCTGCCGATCCTAGCAGGAAAAAGTGAGACAGGGGAAAACTTTCAGTGTTCACGAAGTCTTAGACAAAGGGGAAGCATTTGCAGTGTTTCTCAATTCTGGACTTGCGCCTCGGCATCGCTGACATCCACCCAGGCTTTCCGGAAAGGGCACTTGTACCTGAGCGCTGAGCGTGCTCCGCTCAAGCACGACTCAGACTGCTGGTGCAGTGCCAACAAGCCCCGTTCCTTGCAGCCAGGGTGCTGCCACCGGCTTTTTGCATCAAATGCCATGCCCACAGAATGCTTGTGAACTATTGCACTTGCGCGTCCTAGCTCCTGGCGTCAATCTCAATGTGCTGACTAAAACATGAAACATCGGCTCGGCATGCTAGACTAAGTCCAAACAAAGACTCTGCACTCCAAGAGTCTCACCCAATGCCAGCAACTCATATGACTGCTGGAGTTCCTTATCTCACTCCTGACTGTGGCCGCAGATTGCAGTAAGATATTCACGGAAGCAACGCACCAACGGATCCGCACAATCGCCAGCACAATCTTTCTTGGCCGAATGTCTCATGACCGCAGGCTCATGGGATCACTTTTCTGCTGGCATCTTTGCGTGCTGGAAACGCTTTTAGTGCGCTTCGCTTCTGCTTCTCCTTCTGCTTCTGCTTCTGCTTCGCTTCTGCTTCGCTGCTCGGCTTGCCGAGTCTTATATGGGTGACACTCGGATCGGTCGCGCCGGCTGCGAATAGTCGCAGGAGGCGCTGCCGAAGACCAACTCACAAGCCAGCCCACTTCCACTCTCTCAAAGGGAAAACAGATCCCTGCACGCCTCTCTTCTGCGAGGAGACACTTCGTATGTGCGGTTTTTGAGGAGAGCGGAGGCAGCGGAGGCTCGCGGAGAGGCGTTGCGGAAGCTCTCAGGCCGCCTGCCTCTGCGCCTCCCAGAGTCTCCAAGAGTAGAGGCGCAGCAAGTGCAGAGGCTTTTGTAACAAGAGCTTCGAACAAAGGTCAGAGACCCCGATTTGGAGTGCGTTGCATCTTCTGAAGCCCTTGCTGTTGTACTCGCGACGGGCAACATGTGCTCAGAAAGTACGGATCGCTCTGGTGCTTCCTTTTTGAGTGAACGTTATATGATCTGTGTCTGCAAATCGTCTTATATACTTCCTGGCGGAGGAGCGACGGAAACACTGCTTTCTCTGAAGCATACATCTTGTGGGATTGAGAACACTGCTTGCTCTTATGCGAGCATCTTCTAGGAATGTTACCATTCCAGAGGCTGAGCAATGCGCAAAAGAGCTGCCAAAAACGAAGTTGGAATGCATGCCTCTCTAGCTCTGTCGCACTTCCAGCAATGACCATTTCTACTAGCTGCACGCTTTCTCTCCCTAGCTCCCGAGACAGTTCTCCACATTACCTGGAACACGGCGGGTGCCTGGGGATTTCTCGACTTCTTCACGGAGTTTGGTCGTGGCCTGTGGCCCGCAGCCCGCTTGGCGCGCCGCGTGTCCTACAAGGAGCGAGATCGGAATGTTGTATTATGTTGTATTGCTGTGCCAAGCAGGGCATGTCGGGGATGCAGAATGCGGTGGAGTGCTCTGCGTGGCGAGCAGCGCGCACCGTGCGCACCTTCAGGACGGGTCTCCGGGAGGTGTCGATGCCGTCTGCAGGGTCAGGCACAATGTCCTTGGCTTCAACAGAGTACCTCCCTCCCTCCCCTTGCCAACCCCCTCCCTTGGAGGCCCTCAATCCTGTGGACACGGCCCTGCTGCCTTCAATCAAGCTTCGGCTGGTGGTGCATCTTGCATTGGCGACTCCTTCTCGAACACACGAACAGTCAGACGAGTTTAGGATCTAACCAGTCAACCATCCAAAAACGCATCGTGGATCCAAGAAGCCCTGCCCTGCATGACATGCAGCCCCTATATAGCTGTGGCAAGCACCTCGCTCGCGGGAGGCCTCGCTGAGTCAGCACGGGCAGCCAGTCAAGACAACTGCGCTACGGTTACATGTGATGACACGAGCATGCCAACTAGTCCCGAATCTGTTCAGGTGGGGTCTTGCGCTTCTCGCCGGTACAACGCCCAGGCCTCCAAGAAATACCCTGGAGCCAGCCTTGGCAGCCCTGGTGATTCCAAATCAGTCATGCGCTTTGAACGCGTCGAAAGCCATTGTCAGGGAACTTGAAGCTGAGACCTGCAGAATCCTGCGAACATGATAGGTGGCGATGACACGGTGGCATTGGATGAAAGCACCCTTCTGATGTCACGGCTCGGCTGCAGTGACTGTAGGGACCGTAGTGACTGTAGTGGTAGGGCCGGGAGCCCAAGCGGAAGTGTACTCAGTGCACTCTGCATGTGCAGCGTGAGATTCTGTAGGCTTGGATGGACTGCTGGAGCCCGCCACGGGTTCCAATCGCAGGGGGTCAAGAGATTAGGGAGCCGAGACGCTGTCGAGTGTAGCTTTGAGGACCTGACGAGGTCCCCCCGGACGTGGTTTTTTGGCTTTTCCCCTCCGTGAGGCCCAGTGCTTTAGGGGGTAGTACAAGGTGAGGATGCGGAACAAATCGGAATCTCGTGAAACAGAATGAGAATAAGCGCAACGACTCCATCGCAACTGATCCCAAGCTGGCCGTTCTTTCAGCTGGCGAGGCTGTGGATCAAGGGTTACTGAGTATACACGTGAGGACATGGCTTGAAAAACTCCCTTGCAGCATATGCTGTCTTCTTTCAGCTGCTCAGGATGCTGTGGACATGTCACTATGGCTCTTCCAGGAAGACGGCTTGTACAAGAAGCGGCAAAAGGCGTTGAAGATCTGCTCAGGCTGCTCGGGCTGCTCACCCAGTGGAACGTGCCCTCACCACCGGCTTGGCCTTCGGCGCGCACTGGGCAGGGCGTCCACCAGTCTCCTCCTCGTTCCAAGCAAGCACTGATGCTGGCAGCTTCGCGCGGAGCTCAGGGGCCACATAGATCTGAGTACCGGCAAGGGTTACTGATGAGACAGCTGAGAAAGTGCTTTTGGTATGCAGTTGGCGAAGTGGGCGGCAACATTGGTAGGATCCCTCGAGGGACCTTCAAAAGAGGGGGGAGGGGTGTGGCTTGGACGCTGAAACGGTAATTCTGCGCCTCTGCTCGTTGCTCTTGTAGCTTGTTCCCGGAAAGCCTTCTGTGGAATTGAGGGTTCTCTTTTTGCGGTGGAAGAAGTGGTTGAGACGGAAGCGGGTTCCTCCTCCTTCTCTTTTCTTTTGTTGCTCCTCTCTCATTCTCTCTCCTTTTTCTCGTTTTCTCTTTTTCTTGGCTTCTCTCCGAGGCTCCGGCCCCGGATCCGCGGCCTCGGCCTCAACGGCCTCGGCCACGTCCGGCCTCCGGATCTTCGTGGCCAGCCGCTCCGCCTCGAGTCATTAAAGAAATGAAGAATAAGCAAAGACGGAAGAGAAAGAGAGAGGGACAGAAGGAAGAAGCAGAGCTAAGCAGAGATAAGCAGAGGACAAAACATGAAGAGGGGCGGAAGGAAGAAGTGAGATAAGCGGACATAAACAGAGATAAGCAGAGGAAGGGAAAAAGAGAGGCAGAGAGTAAGAGGCACCTCCAAGCCAAACACCACCCCCTCCAAGACGCACCTCTAAGCCGAACACCCCCTCCAAGACCCTCCCAGACGCACCTCTAAGCCAAACACGCCCCTCCTCCAAGCCAAACACACCCCCTCCAAGACGCACCTCTAAGCCGAACACCCCCTCCAAGACCCTCCCAGACGCACCTCTAAGCCAAACACGCCCCTCCTTCAAGCCAAACACACGCCCTCCAAGACGCACCTCTAAGCCGAACTCCAAGACCCTCCCAGACGCACCTCTAAGCCAAACACGCCCCTCCTCCAAGCCAAACTCACCCCCTCCAAGACGCACCTCTAAGCCGAACAGCCCCCTCCAAGACCCTCCCAGACGCACCTCTAAGCCAAACACGCCCCTCCTCCAAGCCAGACCCCCTCCAAGACGCACCTCTAAGCCGAACACCCCCTCCAAGACCCTCCCAGACGCACCTCTAAGCCAAACACGCCCCTCCTCCAAGCCAAACACACCCCCTCCAAGACGCACCTCTAAGCCGAACACCCCCTCCAAGACCCTCCCAGACGCACCTCTAAGCCAAACACACCCCCTCCAAGACGCACCTCTAAGCCGAACACCCCCTCCAAGACCCTCCCAGACGCACCTCTAAGCCAAACACGCCCCTCCAAGCCAAACACACCCCCTCCCAAGACGCACCTCTAAGCCGAACACCCCCTCCAAGACCCTCCCAGACGCACCTCTAAGCCAAACACGCCCCTCCTCCAAGCCAAACACACCCCCTCCAAGGCGCACCTCTACGCCGAACACCCCCTCCAAGACCCTCCCAGACGCACCTCTAAGCCAAACACGCCCCTCCTCCAAGCCAAACACACCCCCTGCAAGACGCACCTCCAAGCCGCACCCCCTCCAAGACCCTCCCAGACGCACTTCTAAGCCAAACACGCCCCTCCTCCTCGCCAAACACACCCCCTCCAAAACGCACCTCTAAGCCGAACACCCCCTTCAAGACCCTCCCAGACGCACCTCTAAGCCAAACACGCCCCTCCTCCAAGCCAAACACCACCCGCTCCAAGACGCACCTCTAAGCCGAACACCCCCATCAAGACCCTCCCAGACGCACCTGTAATCCAAACACGCCCCTCCTCCAAGCCAAACACACACCCCCCTCTAACCCCTCCAAGACCCTCCCAGACGCACCTCTAAGCCAAACACGCCCCTCCTCCAAGCCAAACACACCCCCTCCAAGACGCACCTCTAAGCCGAACACCCCCTCCAAGACCCTCCCAGACGCACCTCTAAGCCAAACACGCCCCTCCTCCAAGCCAAACACACCCCATGCAAGACGCACCTCTAAGCCGAACACCCCCTCCAAGACCCTCCCAGACGCACCTCTAAGCCAAACACGCCTCTCCTCCAAGCCAAACACACCCCCTGCAAGACGCACCTCTAAGCCGAACACCCCCTCCAAGACCCTCCCAGACGCACCTCTAAGCCAAACACGCCCCTCCTCCAAGCCACCCGCCAACACGCACCTGTAAGCCGAACACCCCCTCCAAGACCCCCCCAGACACACCTCTAAGCCAAACACGCCCCTCCTCCAAGCCAAACTCACCCCCCTCCAACGAGCACCTCTAAGCCGAACAACCCCTCCAAAGACCCTCCCAGACGCACTCTAAGCCAAACATGCGGCCTCCTCCAAGCCAAACACACCCCCTCCAAGACGCACCTCTAAGCCGACAACCACCCTCCCCAAGGACCCTCCCAGACGCACCTCTAAGCCAAACACACCCCTCCAAGGACGCACCTCTAAGCCGAACACCCCCTCCAAAACCCTCCCAGAGACCTCTAAGCCAAAACACGCCCCTCCTCCAAGCCAAAACACACCCCCTCCAAGACGCACCTCTAAGCCGAACACCCCCTCCAAGACCCTCCCAGACGCACCTCTAAGCCAAACACGCCCTCCAAGCCAAACACACCCCCTCCAAGACGCACCTCTAAGCCGAACACCCCCTCCAAGACCCTCCCAGACGCACCTCTAAGCCAAACACGCCCCTCCTTCAAGCCAAACACACGCCCTCCAAGACGCACCTCTAAGCCGAACTCCAAGACCCTCCCAGACGCACCTCTAAGCCAAACACGCCCCTCCTCCAAGCCAAACTCACCCCCTCCAAGACGCACCTCTAAGCCGAACAGCCCCCTCCAAGACCCTCCCAGACGCACCTCTAAGCCAAACACGCCCCTCCTCCAAGCCAGACCCCCTCCAAGACGCACCTCTAAGCCGAACACCCCCTCCAAGACCCTCCCAGACGCACCTCTAAGCCAAACACGCCCCTCCTCCAAGCCAAACACACCCCCTCCAAGACGCACCTCTAAGCCGAACACCCCCTCCAAGACCCTCCCAGACGCACCTCTAATCCAAACACGCCCCTCCTCCAAGCCAAACACACCCCCTCCAAGACGCACCTCTAAGCCGAACACCCCCTCCAAGACCCTCCCAGACGCACCTCTAAGCCAAACACGCCCCTCCTCCAAGCCACCCGCCAAGACGCACTTGTAAGCCGAACACCCCCTCCAAGACCCTCCCAGACGCACCTCTACGCCAAACACGCCCCTCCTCCAAGCCAAACTCACTCCCTCCAAGACGCAGCTCTAAGCCGAACACCCCCTCCAAAGACCCTCCCAGACGCACCTCTAAGCCAAACATGCGCCTCCTCCAAGCCAAACACACCCCCTCCAAGACGCACCTCTAAGCCGAACACCCCCTCCAAGACCCTCCCAGACGCACCTCTAAGCCAAACACACCCCCTCCAAGACGCACCTCTAAGCCGAACACCCCCTCCAAGACCCTCCCAGATGCACCTCTAAGCCGAACAGCCCCCTCCAAGACCCTACCAGACGCACCTCTAAGCCAAACACGCCCCTCCTCCAAGCCAAACACACCCCCCCCAAGACGCACCTCTAAGCCGAACACCCCCCTCCAAGACCCTCCCAGACTCACCTCTAAGCCAGCCCCCTCCAAGACCCTACCAGACGCACCTCTAAGCCAAACACGCCCCTCCTCCAAGCCAAGCACCGAGGTCGACAAGATAACAAAGAGGAAAGTGCGGGGCGTGGGGAGCTTGCACTCCCTCTCTGCCTCTCTCTCTGCCTCTCTCTCTCTCTCTCTCTCTCCCTCTCAACTGCTCGCCTCCGCCTGCGAGACCCGGCGCCCCGACTTGGCCAGCACCGCGCCGCCTCCTGCCAGCACCTGCCCCCAAAGACGGAGCCAGAACACGCGCATATGCATATAAGTGCAATCGAATTGCATGTGTGACGAATGCACGCATATGCATGTGTGCGTGTAGGGTTAGTGCGTGTGCGTCTCGAGCAGGACGCGACGGATACAGCAGAGAAACCGAACAAACAAGCAACAAAGGGCTTCTGCGGCTTCTTCGTGGGAGGCTCTGCACCCAACACGCGTGCCCTCATTGGGCCTCCATCTTTGGGTGGTTCTCCTTGATGATCTTGGTCAACATGTCTTTCTGCAAAGAGGGCGCAGGGATGGATTCTACATGATTCTCCCCGAACTTCGTTCTGTCAAGAGGGCAGGGCCCAGCCTCCTCGTTGGTGTACTTGCGGCGGTTTCCCCGAAAAACCGTGCCTGCCATGGGCAGATTCTGGGCGCGGAAGTCGACGGGTTTCATGACCTGCAAAAAGGGAACCGTTCTCTCTGCCCGTTCCATGAAAGTGACTTAAGAGGCTTGCAAAAAGTAGAGTGAAGAAGAAACGTGAGAGTCGGCATGACCTCGTGCTGTGGGAACACAGCATCGTCAGATTCCGGGTACTTGAAGGCATTCTTTGGCCTGGCAGGTACCAGGCTTCGGAGCTGCGCCACTGCTCAGGGGGGGGCAGCTGCGCCGTGTTGCGCCTCAGGAGCGTGAGCTGCTTGCCCTGCGCCACTTTGATCTGAGCACGGCGGCCAAAGTCGACGTGAGTTGAAACATCCCCAAACATCCCCAAACATGAGCTTGACAAATCTGGCATAAGGGACATAAGGCGGCACGGTGAGTGCGTGACGAGCTTCTGATGCTTCTCTTCTTCACGGGGCGTGACCTGACGGGTCCAGGGCCGCGACAGTAAGGAGGGAGGGAGAGGGAGAGACAGAGAGCGAGAGAAAGAGAGGGAGGGGGAGGGAAGGGAGGGAGGAGGGGAGGGGAGGGGACGGGAGGAGGGAGAGAGCGTTTCAGAAAAGGCAGAAAAAGGGCAAAACAGGCCAAGCACAACCAAAAGCACGAAGAGGCAGCTGCAAAGCATTCGAAGAATTCGCATTGCGTTCTCTGTGGCCAGTGCCAGCATGGCGTCCACCCGCTGCCTGAGCTCAAGACGGGGCCGCCGGAGCATGGTAGAGACGAGAGAGCCCCAACAGCCAGAAAGAAGCTCAGAGGAGAGGAAGAAAAACAGGAGCCACATACCATCAAACATCATCAAACAATCAAACCCAAGCATGTCAGAGTTGACCTCTTCACCGTCCGGAGCCGCTTCTTGATCTTGGAGCGGATTGACCTCATCGCCGAAATTCTTCGAAAAAATAGGTGCGCAATTCAATGTCAAGGCATGCGAAGCAGTCGAGGACAGCTCTTCCCCATCCTTGTCGCGCCCTGCCACGCGTCAAGCACTCAATGATGCAGCACGGCACCAGTGCTATTCAGTGAGGCCGTGAGTAGTCTTCATCCCATCGAGCAAGCACGCCACGATGGCCCAAGAGAGGCGACGGAGAAAGCTAAACTAACTAAAGCAACTCAAGACTCCTCGAAGATAGATTCATACATGTGCTGTCCTGGTGGTCACTGTTGTCGAATTGTGCATGCACAACGTCGGGTTGTTAGGAGATGCCGCCGCTTGAACCTCAAACTTTCGCATGGTTTGGGGCTGCGATGCATGCTCCAGACTGCCACGGTCTGTCACCAGCCAGCGTCGACCACCACATGCCACCAGCCATATCTTTTCAGACACGCAGCACTGATGGCTCAAGTGCATCTGCCGTGATCTCCCCGGTGGGAGATGCTCGAACAAAATCGATGGCAGATCGAGCAATAGTGCTCCACTCAGCACCACGGATGGTTTCACGGACCTGACACTGGAGCACTCCGTATAGGCTGCAGACACCACGTTCGGGTGCACTGAAAAACAAGGCCAGCGGCGCGCTTCAAACAGTTTTGGCTGCGCCGTTTTCTCTGTGAGCTGGCACGAACATGATCGAGGATTCGCGCTGGCCCTGTTGTGTACACTGGCGTGTGACTCCGAATCCTGTTCAACAAATTGGCACGAGACCGCCATTTCAACTGCTTTGACCAGTACTTGGCAAAGGCGGCGCTGCCGTGCAGGCTCTTCGCTGAATCTTGCTGAATCTCAGACTCTAACTCTGACTCTCTAAGGATGTGTGATGCCGTCTCAACTCTCGCTTCAAGGCGCGCCTCCCTTGCACAGCAGCAAATTGGCACTCAGAAACCGACGCTGACGACGCAGCCATCACAAAGCATCACGGACTGCGGTCTCTCTGTCGTTTATTGATCATCAGGTCTCTGCATTCGCCGCGGTGCCAGTGTCAGCAAAGTGTAAAAGTGTTCGCAGAACTGCCAGAACCACTCTAAATTCGCACCCTCCCCAAAAAAAGGCACAATGTGCACGTGTGCACACATTAAGGCCATGTGCTCGCATCTCACACTCCGAGGGGCGCCCTCGCCTTCTCTCTGAGATGGTGCGCTCGTTCTCTTTAGCCTGCGCAGAGGGCACCACATGGGAAACAGCCCTTCAGAGCCTGAACAGGGTGTCGAGAAGCGCGCGACACGAAGAGACACCCCACGAGCCACGAGCCCACAGCCGAACGGCCTCGCCTCGGCCCTTCTCAGGAGTCCGGCCAGCCGGACGTGGGGACGAACTCCGGCGCCTGCATGGGGGACAGGCAAGCCCTACCAATGTTAACAATCAAGTCTCAAGGTCTTACGAGCAAAAAAAGAAACACCACCCAGAAACGAACAATGTCTATAGCCGAAGACGTGTTGAGGAGCAAGAACTCCAAAGCCCCTTCCCCAGCGGCTCTTCCCATCTCAAGACTCCCGAAAGGTCCACAAGGACAATATGCAAAAACACCTCTTAGAGACCATCGAGGACAACTTTTGAGACTCTTGAGAAGAGCTCGCGGAATCCTCCTTTTCCTAAGAAAGAGCCAACGCCCGCGCAAGGCCTCAGCTCGCAAGGAGGCGGCCGCCGCCAAAGAAGCTGCGGACGCCTTGGCGCCTTTGGTGGTCTTCGTCACCTGGGCATTCGAGACATCAGAAGAAGTGCAAACTAGTAACTAGTACGAGTCCTTCCCTCGTGCTGCTTTTTCTGGCCGACTTCCCCCCCCCTCTTGTGTTGCGATTTCTTGTCTTCGGTAGCTCTTGTCGGCCTTCTTCTGGGCCTTCTTGCTGCTAGCGGCGGGTGCCGCCCTGGCCTGGGTTCAGTGACAAGGACAGCCACAGCTTCTGGCATCCTCTGGCATCCTCGTTCAAGCGCCGTGCCGCCTGGGCCGCGAGGGCACTTTGAAGAGATGCTCCACCAGCGGCCTGGCAGGGGTCTTCCCTTGTTCTTCGAGGGCTCCGCCCTCTCATGAAAGCGACATACTCTGCTTTGTATACACTTCCCCTTACCCAAGGTTCCAGGCCGGGCCTGAGCTGCCAAAAATGCCGAAGATCCTGTGGATGCGCCTGCCTGGCAGGTTCTCTTCAATATGGTTACACAAGTTACCCAAACTAGGCTTTTTGATGTCACTCTTGATCTGCTCTCTTCACGCAGCCCAGGCACCCAAACCGACATAAGCTGCTGCTGCACGACTGTCAAGCGCGCCATCAACTGATCCATCTGTTGCTCCTCAGTCTTCATTGACTGAGGCAGCCAGCCCATCATACACAGCGAACTGCAAAGCATCCCAACACACCAACACGCGCCTTCGCCATTTCTCTCTGAAGCACCTGCGCAGCAAGGGAATGACATGCCACAGAACGACCAAGAACAGTATTCCGCCAAACGCTGCAAGAAGCCTTGTCAACCTGCAAGAGCTGCAAGTGCACCTGCACAGCAGCATGCACCGCGTCTTGGGATTTTCGGAGCAGCTTGGACACAAGGAGCCGTGAGCCCAGCACTCCACAAGCCTTCCCCCCCACCCCCCACCCTACGCGCGCACCTGTTCGAGCTCAGGGTTGGGGGCCTGTCAGAAGAAGGGGGGCCTTCCCCCCGGAGCGCGTCGCTCGCTCTCGGTCTCTTCTCGTTGCGGAATTCGGCCCCCACAACTCCGGGACCGAGGCGTCGGCCATATCCGTCATTCGGCTCTGGACTTGGTCTATGGCGTCCTGCAAGAAAGGGGATATTTCTTCGAGACTGCAAGTCTCACTCCAGAGCTCCAGAGAGTGACATTGAAGAGTGGAAGGGCACAGTTTGGGGGTGGGCGCCTTGTGGTGCTTCAGGAGGTCCGCGTTGTGGTTGTGGGCCTCACATATTCGACGCGAGACTCGCAGGAAGCGATGGCTCTGGCTGCGACATGTGAGACCGCCCCCGCCTGGATGGTCTGCCACAGCTCGTGCTTCAGCGTCCCAACCTCTGATGCGCTCTCTCACGCGCTACCACTCTCCTTCTGCACTCTCGCATGTAGCTGCGGTGGCCTGTGGGCTGTGGGCGGCCTCCCGCGGCCTCCCTCCCCCCCCCCCCGCCTCGCCCTCCCAAACTTCCTCAAGCTTGGCAATGCTCGACTGGAGATCCGACTGCCATGCGAGTCAGATGAAGCGACAGGATCAGATTCTGTAGACAATTGTCTTTTGTAGGTGCCGAAAGGTAAACCTGGCACGTTTCAAGGCTCACCCGCTCCAAACGCGAGCTTCGAGAATGGTCCGAAAAAGTTGTGCCTTGAGAAGGCCGCTTCTACCTGGCTCGATGGCGGCCTCCCCAAAGGCGTGGCCGTGGATCGAGATGCTAGAGCTGCTAAGATCGTGTTGCTCCAAGCGCTCCAGGGCCCAGACCACGCGCTCATTGATCATCTTAATCTTCTCAGCCATGGCCTGACAGAGTCTCACCCTCATCCCCTTTAGCCCGGAGCTCGGACTCTCCTCCATCTTGCCCTTGATCTTGGATATTTCCTCCAGGGTTTAGAGGAGTGAAACTTCACGTCCGCAAGCTTCTCACTTTGCAAAGCCGTGCTTTGAGTCCTTGCCCACTTTCGTCTCGGACGCATGTTTCGCATCAAGAATCATGACCTCCACCTGAGATGCTTCGAGGCGCAGGCTCTCCCCAAGAGCCCAGCAGGGGCGCCAACACCACCGGACATCACTCCGTCTCCAGAGCACTCAGGGCCCGAGCTTGCTGGCCGATGTCGCGCGCGATGTCGTGGTGCAGGTCCTGTCAGCTTCCCCAGCTTGTCTTCTCTCAAGTTGCCCCCTTCTTTTGTGTCCCCATGTTCGCTTGTTCTTTTTCTGCAATACCGCTCTCTTTGCAGGGCTGGAGACTCTGCTCTCAGAATCCAAGAGAAAGCGGACTCTGCCCCAAGAGCTTCTCTAGAAAGGCAAGCGGAGACTCTCCCTCCACTCTCCCTCCACTCTCCCTCCACTCCCTGCTCTGCCCCAATCTGTCTGGGGACGGTGCCACGTCAGCGCTGGGGGCATCCTGAGCACTCCGTGACGCGCCGCCAGTGTGGCGCGGAGCGGTGCCAGCGCGCGAAGAAGCGTACGGAACACGAGAGGAACAAGGAACACAAAGATGTGAACACAGAACGGAGGCACACAGTCATTCTGGGTTGCGTTGCGTTATGCTGCTGTGGTTCATGACGGAGCAATGGCTGCCACTTGTGTGCCTGGTGTCTTCCAGACACTGCTCGACAGTATTTGGAGCAGGTACCCATCGATCGCGGTTGCTGGAGTTTACGTCAGGTGCTCCGTCTGTGATGGAAGCGCTCAAAGACATGACCAGATTTTGCTACAGAAGCCCCGGTTTACGGCCTTTACACAACCTTGGGAGAGCCTAGTCACTGCAATATTGCACTGTGACAAGTAGTAACACTCCACACACCCTCCTCCCGTCCCCTCTGAGGGTGTGGGCTATGCCAGGCGGAGGCGGCGGTGGGCCCGATGGGCGGGGTGGCGCCTGCAAAGCTTCGCAAAGTGCGACATCCACGATTGCACGCTCTGGGGTTCGAGTCATCTGAGAGAGCTCTTGGTCTTCAGGGTTGAGCTGCGTGGCTTCTTGGTGCCCGGCCCCAGTGTCAGTGCCATTGTTGGCCATCCTTCACAGTAAAGCTGGCAGAGTGAGGTGGGCGCAGGGTAGATGCAAGTAGAGAGAGGATGCGCGGGGCTATCGCTGCCCAGCTAAGCCACGGACTCTGCACCCTCCAGCGGCGCACAGGGCCAATGACTACAGAACCCCTGCAACGCTGCAGTTTCAAGCGTTTCGAAGGTGACTTAACAATCTACATCGCGAGGCTTTGGCCGCCAGTGGGTCGAGGTTGAGTAAGCAGGGAAGTGGCCCCCCTCTCGTTGCCCCCCTCTCGTTGCCCCTCTCGTCCCAGTTTTTCAAGCACAACAGAAAGGCCCAGAATGAGAGGTCGCTGGACTTTGGCCACCTCTCAGCGTTGGGTCATGCTGGGCGCATTTGGGACACTCTGTACACTATTGTACACTATGCCGCTATGCCTTCGGCACCGACTCAGACTCGCCCGAACTCGCCGACTCCTCCTCCTCGGCCTGATCGGCCTGATCGGCCTCGTCAACCTCCTCGGCATCGCGGTCGGGCAGGGCGAGTTCGGTGCCCAGCTGCTGCCGAATGAAGTCCTTGTGGTCTTGCAGCAGGCTGCGGAGCACGTCGATGATCTCGGCCTGTTCATCCACCTGTGCAGCTGCGAAATTTGAAGAATTCCTCAAGCTTGAATTGAAGAGAGGGAGGGAGGGTAAGAGAGACAGGGAGAAAGAGAGAGAGAGAGAGAGAGAGAGAGAGAGAGACAGAGAGCACAAAGCCGCGGAGCCTTGGCTGCCAGGCTAGTGCCGGCAGCTGCCAGGTGCTGCACATGGGCCTCGAGCACTTTCGAAGCGCCGCCCTCGGCCGCGGCCCTCAGCGCTTCCCCGAGCCGCGCCTCCGCCCGGTCGCCGCGGCGCTCGGCGCCCCGGAGCGCCGCCTCCAGCCGCAGCCGCTGCGCCTTGTCGCGCTGCGCCCTGCGCTGCAGGCGCGCGAGCTGCCGCTGCAGGAGCTCCGCCCTCCGCTCCGCCTCGCCCTGGGCGGCCGCCGCGGCGGCCTGGAGCCGGTTCAGCCTCGCACCCCGCCTTGGCTCGCACGCTCAACAGGCTCGCATGCTCAACAGGCCCACCCTCACACGCAGCAACATCAGTACAAGTACAGTCCCTCATCCCTCATCGCACATGCTAAGGCATGTAAGGCTCCGGCAGGATCGCCTCCTTCAGCAAGGCCTCCAGCTCCCGGTGCCGCCCCTCCTTTGCCTCGAAGCTCCCCTTCTCCTTGCACGCCTTGGCCTGGGCAGCCTGGGCCTGGGCGGCCTGGGCGGCCTGCTTGGCCTGGGCGTCCAGGGCTTGCAACTCCAGCTCCTCGACGCGCTGCATGGCTAGGAGCCTCTCCTGGTCGAGCTTCTGGCAGGAGGCGGACTCGGTCTCCAGCTGCGCCTGAACGGATGCCGTGGCCTCCTCAGCAGCCTCGGCGCGCTCTTGCATCAAGGCGAACTGCCTTGCCAACTCCTTGAGTGCTTGCTGCATCTGGAGGGACGGGCTCTCAGAGCCCTCACCAACTTCTCCGTACTTCTCAAGAATCTCACGAATGGACGGATCTAGCTGGGCCTTCTCGGAACGGCGTTTCTTCTTGGGCTCCCTGGTGCTGCGGAGAACATCGGTCTGCTTCCCCAACAGCGCCATGTCGTGCTTCTGGCGGTCATCGAGCTCATCGACTTTCCCCCAGGAGTCTTTCACCTCCTTCAGGTCTTTCGAGTCTTTGAGGTGCTTCTTCCGGGACTCCTTGGGCTCCTTGGGCTCCTTGGGCTCCTTGGGCTCCTTGGGCTCCTTGGGCTCCTTCTTCTTCTTCGCCTCCGGCGGCTTGGGCGCCTCCACCTCGGCGCCGCCCCCGCGCAGCCGCGCCGCCGCTCCCGCACCGGCCATGGCCCCCCCTCGCCCCCGCGCCGCGCCGGCGCCATGAGCTCCCTCTCGGGCGCTACGGTATCATAGGGCCAGCAAGATGATACGAAGGCCATGACCTGAGGTTGCTTGTTCGGACAGGGCCTGCGGTTTCAGTAGATCATACCTGCAGTTGATGCGGCGGCCTCTCTGGCCTTGCTGCTAGAAGACGCATCGCAGTCAAACTTGACACAGAAAGCTTCTCAATCGTCGGAGATGCTTGGAGACAATTGCCAGCATGCCCAGTGACGTGACACGTAAAGCTCCAACCGCTTTGAAACCCCTTTTTTTTGTGTCTTCCTGTGCCTCCAACCCGAAAGCTTGAGGCTGTCTGTGAGATGAGTCTGGCCGGCACCCTTGAGTTGCACGTCGGTGCTCTTTCGGCGTTTGCTGACTTTTGCTGTGCACTTTTGCTGTGCACTTTGCTGTGCACTTTGCTGCGCAGAATGCTTCGTGATTCGTAGCCTTTGCAACTCAAGGCTTCCTCTACAGCTCATGGTGCTCAGCCCACTCTATGAGGTGGTACCTGCAGGAGCAGATGCGCAACATGTGCACCAAAGAGAGCGTAACATCACGGTAGAAGGTGATGTATGCGGCCCACAGGAAGATAAGTGGGGGCACTGGGCATCGCTGCTGGCAAGCTCCTGGAAGGACACATCTAAAAACAGCCCAAAACCTCCACCGACCCCACTTGCTTACAACTTACAAGCTCCTATCACTGTCCAGGACCCAGTGGGGGCCAGTGATGGCCTTGGAGGGGCCCCCCCTAGACTGAGAGCATCATCCGCCCGTTCACGGTGTGTCGATGATGCTCTCACTGTTGTTTTTTTGCACGAGACTGGAGAGGCAACGCGCAGTCGAAGGCCGTGAACGAACAAACGCTTTAAGCATTGCCATGTCCTCAGAGGCTTTGCATGATCTTGTCTTCACAGCGCTCCTCTCGGGCATTCTCCAGTTCGTCGGCTGTTGCCATCATGTCCCCATCCTGCGAGCACAGGTCAGTCTAGACAGACTGAGAGAGAGAGAGAGAGAGAGAGAGAGAGAGAGAGAATCAAAAAAAAAAGCGGAGCCATAAGTGGGGGGAGTGCCTTGTCTGCAATTTGAAGAAGGCGGACCATGGCGGCTTCGGTGTGGAACCTCCCATGCACTTCAGAATCGGAGTCTTGCAAGGGCTGCGCGCGGGGCGCGCGCATCATCCGAAGCTGCGGGAGATGCACGACTTGGTCCGTGGTCCGACCACGGACTCACGGAGAATGTCTCGACAATCCCGCCAGGAAGACACACCGGATTCCCAAGCTTTCAGCTCTTCCAAGTTGAGGACCTCAATTGGACAACGCTTTGGTGACATGTTGTCTGTTACGTTCTGACATGTTGAAAGGTGAGGCTGCTGGCGCCATTGCCATCTTTGTCGAGCTTCTTAAAGTCTGAAACCTCCTCCTGACAGGTGAGATCACGGTGAGATCACGGTGAGATCCACCAGAAACCCGCCAGGAGCGGCGCATGTCAGATCAACACGTTGCCCGCCTCGGAGAGCTGATCCTCTACATCTTCCTCGCCAAATTCCCAGAACCTGAGAAGATGTCGATGCAACGAAAAGACCAAGAGCTTCACTTCCACAGAACGCTTCACGCAATGCCCGGCAAGCCCTGCAAAAAAGCCTCTTCCCGTTATCTTCGTAAATTTTCATACTATTTTTCATACTACTTCATACTACTTCATACGATTGCCACTTCCGAGGCCGAGCTTAGGCAAGTGCTCCTTGGGCGTCAGCACGCCGTCGCCGTCCGCATCCTGACTGCTCGCTCTGCGTTCTCCACCCAGACACAGACAAACACACGCATAGACACACACACACACACACACACATCTCTTGAAACAGCTTTCCCGTCAAAGGGGCGAAGAAGGCAGCGGGTGCGCCTTCATCTTCAGGGTGTCGCGGACCACCACATCCAAGACCTTTGGGTTCCTGAAATGCTGCAAAAAATATCAGGGGCATTCTTATAATCGAAGGCAGGGTCTATTGTATGTCCAGTGAAGGCTTCGCTTGCCGTCTTCAGATCTGATACCGCCCTTTGGGGTGCTGCAGTATCTTTGTGAAGGGGGAGAAGGGGGGCAACACCAAGGCCCCCCCCCCCTCCCCCCTGCGAAGCCTTCAGAGGGATATGCCGCATATGGGAGAGGCATCCCTTCTCTCTTAGGCCCCTTCGTCTCAGGGTAGAAGAGAGAAGCCACCTCTTTGGCATCGAGGGCCTCGGATACGCGCTTGTTCTGAGAGGTGGAAATGCTTCGCTGTTGGTGAGGCCCCCCACCTCGTCCTTGTTATCATCAGCGGCAAGGAACCTTTCGGAGGCTAAGACTTTTCAGAGCGAATTGGAGACCTGGAAAAGAAGGTCCGGAGAACGAAGACTTGAAGAAGAAGAACGAGAGGAAAAAACAATAGACAACAAGCTCGGATGGTCACAGAGAAGAGCTGTTCCGAGCCGCGCGGCTTCTCGGTCTCAACGGCTTTGCGTCTCTCCAGCTCCTTCAGCTCCTCCTCATCACCTCCGTCAGCCTCAGAACGGGTCCTAGGCCCGGCCTGATGAGCATCCCTGCTAGAGTCTTCGTGCGCGCCTGCGAGTGCAGATCGTTGAGGTGCTCCTGGAGAGAGAGCTTGCCATCCTGGGCAAGTCGACTGAGTCGACACGGTGGCAAAGAGAGCGGCAAGGCTTCGCTGCCCGAAGGCAGCGGGGCTGTGGGCACTTGCTCCGGCTTGCCCACCTTGTCGGTGTCGATCTCGTCAAGAATGGCTGCGACGTCCTCAAACTGTCAGAGCCGGAACGCGACAATCGACAAAGAGAGTGAAGGGCGGGCGACGACAGACGAGTGTCGGTCCTTGCCCGCAATCGCCTTGCTCATGTGCTTGGCAAACTCTAGGACCTGCACTGGGAGGACACACACACACACACACGCAAAGAAAGAAAGAAAGAAAGAAAGGAAGAAAGGAAGGAAGGAAGAAAGAAACAAACAAATAAATACACAAAGGAAGAAAGAAAAAGAAATCTCGCATGACGATACTTTGCACGGCTCGCCTCGGACAGAGAGACCTTGCCATCTCCGTTCTGGTCGAACTTGGCATGCAACGCTCGGAGCTGCCTGGCGCGCGGCACGTGGTCACCCTTCGGCAACAGCGAAGAAGAGATGCTTTTCAGAGACGTTGTGTAACATGCTGTAACATGACGAAGGCGCTCTTTGGTCATGGCTTCTTCCTCGATGTCGTGGTCATCTGGTACCTCTTGCATGTAAATAAAACACATGGCTTCGAGCGCAGCTCGGGCGGGAACAAACAACTTCCTCCCCCCCCCCCCCCAGTGCCCAAAGGTTAAGGACGCAGCGGGCTCCTCCTCCTCTGCTTCGCCAACTGCATTTCGGGCAAGGAGGGCGACCAGCCCTCGGCGAATCGCTTGTTGTCAAACAGAAGGTGACTTTTTGCAGAGCTTGGCAGAGCTTTGCAGAGCTTTCCAGAAGCCCCCGTCGAGCGCGGGGCCAAAAACTGTGAAGAGTCTCGGCATTTGTAGCATGTCCAGGCCTGAGGAAGGCTCTCAGCTGTTCAGCAAATTTTCTCCCCTCGCATGCACCGCATACACCGAGTGCAAGCTCAGCCGCCAGAGCAGCGCTTGCTCCGCTTTTGGAAGGGGTGCGGCTGAGGATCCGCTGCGAAGCCAAGCTCAAGTTGCAAGTTCCAGACATCTGAAAAACAACCTCTCTCTCTCTCTCTCTGTCTATGTTCTTCTTCTGCTGGGCATGGCGGGCAGAGGGTTCCGCTCTCTCTCCGTCTCGCTCTCTGCAGCAGAAGCGTTTGCGAGGAAGGCGCATCAAGAAGTCCCAGACCACTTCCTCTTTTCCCAATAAGCGATCCCCCGCACCCATCTGCGTTGAAGCGTCCGAGAAGAGGAGCTCTTGCTGAGCGGTTTGTTTCAGCACGCTCAAGCTGTCTGAAGATGATGAAAGCGAAGCGAATCGGCGAAGCCGTGGAGGGCTCAGGAAAAGCTCCTCTCTCAGACCCTGGCCGCTGCCAGCAGACACTATCCGATGGCTGGCACCCTTCTGGGTGCAGCCGAAAGCGCTCAGCGCGAGCACTGTATAAGACGTTAACAGGGACCTCGCAGACCTGCCTCCTTGCATGTTCTCTGCAAAAACTCTCCGGCATTCTGTCTGGTACCTTGCGGGGGCCTTGCGGGGGGTCTTGAGCGGGCATGGCCCGATTCAGCGGAGCACGTCCGTCACGGCTACGATCACGGCTACAGTGGCTTCAGTGGCTTCAGTGGCTACAGCTTCGACGGCTACGATCCCTAGGATCCCGAGCGGCCCCCAAGTGGCGGCGACCTCGGCGACCTCGGTTGACCTCGGAATCCTCTCACTGCTTCGTCCAGATGGTGATGGCGACGCTACGCTGCACCCACCTGATAAAGAGAAGCCATGGAGAAGCAGGACATGTCGGAGACGTCTGTGTTCGTCCGTTCCAATGATTTTTGCAGCTCTGTGTTTCTGGGCGCCCGGGCACGGCATTTTGCAAATCCTTGGGTGACTTCACGGCAAAGGCGCTGACCTTGGAGCCCAGGAGACTTTGATCTCTTTTGCTCTTCCCTCCCTTCTGCTTCTGCCAGTGTTCTCCTGGATTCTTGAAGCCCTTTACTCTTGTTCTGAACCCTCTGACGTAAGGTGCCGGCGAGGAGGCTTCGGCTGGTGTTCAGGTAGACCGGCACTCGTAAGTAGTCCGCGGTCTGCTTGAACCTCCGACATCATCACGGCTGCGGGCACTCCCTTTAGGGCCGCTTGTGCCGCTTGTGCTGGGCCCTTTTTCAAAGCGGTTTTCCGAGAGCCGGGCTCCGCCGAATCGACGTGCACCCAGCGAAGCCACGCATCTGGCAAGGCCTCTCCGCACTTCACCCATGTTCCCCCCAACCCCCGGTTTCTGGCCCAGTTTGCCCAGTTTGCCCAGGCCCTTCGTTTCCGGCCCTGGTTTCGCTTCGTCATTGAAAGAGCTGGACCCTCCCCTTCCCCGGCTTGGGCTGCAGCCACGGAAAGCTCGTCAGTGACGGCCAGCTGCCCATCTGCCCACGACGCGCCCTCCATCTGCAGCCTTCGTATGTTGAGGAGAGACGGGGGGGGGGGGGCGCCTCATATTGCTCTCTTTACATGGCCCATGGCGGCGAAGCACGGAGAAACAAGGGCTAACATTGCACCAAAAGAGAAAGCTACAGGAAGGTGGTTCAGCGGGAAGAACTTTGGGTGGCTGGCCCAGTCATCTGGAACACGTCGTCGCCGGAGAGAGGAGAGCCCCCTGGTCACATTGTCGCGAACGTGACACGCGAACAGTGTTTTCATCTGTTTTTCATCTGTTTTCATGCATGTTTGATGTTCACCCTGGCCCCCGGCCCAACAGGCGACTGGAGCAAGCAGACCAAGAGCTGGTCTCCTTTCCCCTCTTCCAACCCTTCTCCCCCCCAAACACTGTTCTGCCAGCTCCCTGCCAGGCCCTGCCCAAGCACTTGGCGACAAAAGCACAGGTTTGCCCAGACAACACGTGCACCGAAGGTTGTTTACACAGCCTGCTGACACCGCAAGCCTGCACTGCCCCCAAAGCCGCTTAACGTTGTTGGCTCAAGGTTTCGAGTGTACAAGTCACGTTCTTCGTTCTCGACCCGCCCTTTCCACTGTTTCCACATCTGCAGACCATGCGGACCGCCGAATGGCATGTCACGTGGCTTGGGCTGAACCGAGGCCCCGCACGCAAGCGTTAGCTGAGAAATTGGAAATTGGGCTTTCAATGGCTTTCAGCAAGACTTGCCTATCTGCACCAGGAGGTTGAGCTCCTGTGTGAAAGAAGACACCGAGAATCTGTGGGGATGCACATGGGGATGCACACTTCCTTGCTTCCACAATCGGAAGACTTCAGATAGGCACTCCTCCAAGGACACCTGCTTCTGCTGCGCAACGGCCTGGAGGTCGAGCTTTGGTGAATTGGGGGGCAAACTGGGGCCACACAGAATGCCACCAGAGCCAGGCCTGGCGGGAGGCCGTGAGGAAGGCTTCTGGGAAGAAGAGGCCCCCATACCAGAGCTCGTGCTTCTGCAGCCTGGGACCCCAAGTTTTCTCTCTGGGCGAACTTGGGTTCGGGATGTGCGACGAGGCTGGCGCGAACTGCAGGAGACAATATTTCGCAGCTGCTCCAGGCGCTTCACAAGGTCCGCCTGGCGAGCCAGACGAGTCAGAAGCGAAGGAGAAACAGAAAAGCTGGCAAAGAAGGACACGTCCAAAATACCTCGTCGGAAATTCCACAAGAGTAAGCGGGCCGGGCGTTCGAGGTATTCCGTGGCGGTGACCTCGGCCTGCCAAGCTTTTTGCTCACGTGTAAGTGCAACCTTCCTCTTGAAGCGCTGAATTGCACAAGATTGCTTGTCAGGGGGTCTGCAAGTGTTCACTCTCGCGCAGCTATCGGTGGAGTCAGCGGGCCTAGCTTTCAAGAACGTGCGCTGAGTGTGCCCTCGCTTCGTTCTCGTCAAAGATCACATAAGAGCTCTGCGGCATGGGTCATTTTGTCAACGGCTCGTTGTGACGTCGAAAGGTATCGGAGGCACTGAACTTACGAAGTGACAGGACACGAGAGGGGCTTGCCTTGTGAGGTGCCTTTCAAGGTGCTTTGGGGCTCACAAACCACCAAGCATTGTCAATACCTCCGATTGCAACTTGTCCTCTTCTTTTCTTCCTACTTTCTTTCTCTCGTTCTTTCTTGGGGTCTCGCTCACACTCTCGCTCTCTCTCGCCCTCTCTTCTGAAGGCTTCATCATGAAGCAGGGTGTTGGCAGTTCCTTCTACCTAGACCTGTCTAGACTCCAGACAGCTTTTCTGCAGTGGCCAAGGCCAGGACCATCGCAAACTGGCGCCAGGATTTCGGCACCTAGCGGCACAAAGCTGCGCAGATGGGGCAATGACGGGCAACTGCTGACTCCAACTCGTGCTTGCGTCCACTGGCGCGCAGCCTGGTCCGTCGTCAGGTCCTGAACTCCAGACAAAGAATGACAATGTCCGGAAGCGGGGGACGGGCAAAGGCAAAGACAGGGTCAAGTTGGGGATGGGAAAATGAACGAAAAGCAATTCGTGAAAGGGTCCTGGATCAGTTGCCGGACCTCGTTCGTGCTCTTGGCACCTCGAAACAATCGAACCCCTTCAAAATCGAATCTGTTCAAGAATCTCTCCGCTGGGGCGTGCACTGCCGTCGCAGGCGGCCGATAGCAAGGACAAGTCCTGTCGAACCTTCTTCAGCAACGACCTCTGGAACCAAAGAGCATCGCATGAGACTTCAAGCAGAGCCGCGCAGTCACTTGCAGAAAGGCTCCCTGACTGCCGGCGCCTTCCAAAGCCCACCTCTCGGTCGTAGCAGCGCCTGCCATCCGTCTCTCTCTCTTGCGCTCTCTCTGTCCGAGGGACTCTCATACGTGCTTTTGCACTTCCGAACTCTTGAGCCGCGCGCCAGAGCGGATCTTGCAGGGACGCCGGGCTGCGCTGCATTGGCTCCAGGGAATCGGGCCTCTCACAAGGGAAGGTTTTCTTCGCAGAGAGGGAGAAGTCACCGAAAACAGCTTCTGATAAAATACATCGCCCACGGCACACCCGCCACTCAATGGCTCCCATCGTGAGGCTCGTGAGGCTCGCACAGATTCTCGAGCATCTGCTTCACCTCTCGACATCTCCAACGCAAGCAACATGCTGCAACATGTGCGCGACGAAATGTATTCTCCCATGTGCTGTGACCCAGAAGGCGAGGAGCACCAATCGAAGCCAAAAGCCGCGGCCTTGGACCCCAAGTCGGCCAAGGGGTTGATCAGCGCCGAGGCCTTGGACATGGCGCCCACGATCACTTTGGCGGAACGACCGCGGGAGAGGAGAAAAAAAAAAAAAGAAGGCCCTTTGCACCGCACCCTCCTCTTCTGGCCCTCGGTCTTTTTCTCACCTCGGAGAACTAGTCCCACGACAACTCGAAGAGCTGAGCAGCGGAAGAGGAAGGCGAGAGACAGATGAGACAGGCCGAGAGTTTGTTGAAGACTTTGCCACGGTTCGGAGAATCAAAGCCAAAGCAACAAATAAGACACAAGTCGGGTAGAAGGCGAGAGACGGGTTCACAACATAATTCTGCAATTCTTCGGCGCGCCTTTGAGCGTGCCAGTGTTGCCCTGCAGAAGCAGCCAGCGCGCCAAGGTGTGGTTGGCCTCAAGGAATGTTTCACTTGGGTGTGCTTTGGTGCGCCCCGCTCCCGCTGCCAAGCTCGCATATCGGCCAGAAATTGAAGCACTCTTGGACTGCCACCCGATTGATGCGCAGCATCTGCTCCGCATGCACTGGGAGGCCTCAAACGGAGCCACAAACTCAAAAACCCAACAAAAAACACGAGGCCGGCCCTCAAAAACATGGGTCAAAAAAATGCTGCAAAAAAACAAACATAACTTCCCATATAATGTAAAAACACTCGTCAGAAGATCTTGGTGCTACAGTTGACTGCATGCAAGGGCATGTCTCACCTCTGCTAAACATGCACCAAGCCACGCCTACTTCTGAGAAGAGTGCCAAATCTGGACACTCGTCAGAAACAGGAGAACAATCATGCCCATAGTTTCCCCTACAGGGTCTACTTGTCGAAAACAACAACACCTTTTCCCCTTCGCGGGGCCTGCCTGGCGAAAACAGGGAAAAAAAGGCCATGGTTTCCCCCTAGGAACACTGGCGAAAACAGTGAAAAAACAACAATAGCTTGCCCCTAGAAACACCGTTTCCCTTCGCGGGGCCTGCCTGGCGAAAACAGGGAAAAAAGGCCATAGTTTCCCCCTAGGAACACTGGCGAAAACAGTGAAAAAACAACAATAGTTGCCCCTAGAAACACCGTTTCCCCTTCGCGGGGCCTGCCTGGCGAAAACAGGAGAAAAAAGGCCATAGTTTCCCCCTAGGAACACTGGCGAAAACAGTGAAAAAACAACAATAGCTCTAGAAACACCGTGTCCCCTTCGCGGGGCCTGCCTGGCGAAAACAGGGAAAAAAATGCCATAGTTCCCCCCTAGGAACACTGGCGAAAACAATAAAAACAACAATAGCTTGCCCCTAGAAACACCGTTTCCCCTTCGCGGGGCCTGCCTGCCGAAAACAAGGAAAAAAGGCCATAGTTTCCCCCTAGGAACACTGGCGAAAAAAGTGAAAAACAACAATAGCTTGCCCCTAGAAACACCGTTTCCCCTTCGCGGGGCCTGCCTGGCGAAAACAAGGAAAAAAAGGCCATAGTTTCCCCCTAGGAACACTGGCGAAAACAGTGAAAAAACAACAATAGCTTGCCCCTAGAAACACCGTTTCCCCTTCGCGGGGCCTGCCTGGCGAAAACAGGGAAAAAAAGGCCATGGTTTCCCCCTAGGAACACTGGCGAAAACAGTGAAAAAACAACAATAGCTTGCCCCTAGAAACACCGTTTCCCCTTCGCGGGGGCCTGCCTGGCGAAAACAGGGAAAAAAAGGCCATGGTGTCCCCCTAGAAACACCGTTTCCCCTTCGCGGGGCCTGCCTGGCGAAAACAGGAAAAAAATGCCATAGTTTCCCGCTGGGAACACTGGCGAAAACAGTGAAAAAACAATCACTTCAGTCTTTGCCATTCTCTCTCCATTCATCAAGCAGTGAAGCAATTTCCCACGAGAGGATCAAGGTGTTCTGAAGACTGTTGCGTGTGCAAGTATCTCGTTGAAACTGTCGATGGTCCTTATAACAACAATAGCTTGCCCCTAGAAACACCGTTTCCCCTTCGCGGGGCCTGCCTGGCGAAAACAAAGAAAAAAAAGCCATAGTTTCCCCCTAGGAACACTGGCGAAAACAGTGAAAAAACAACAATAGCTTGCCCCTAGAAACACTGTTTCCCCTTCGCGGGGCCTGCCTGGCGAAAACAGGGGAAAAAAAGCCATGGTTTCCCCCTAGGAACACTGGCGAAAACAGTGAAAAAACAACAATAGCTTGCCGCTAGAAACACCGCTTCCCCTTCGCGGGGCCTGCCTGGCGAAAACAGTGAAAACAAGGCCATGGTTTCCCCCTAGGAACACTGGCGAAAACAATAAAAACAACAATAGCTTGCCCCTAGAAACACCGTTTCCCCTTCGCGGGGCCTGCCTGGCGAAAACAGTGAAAAAAAGCCATAGTTTCTAGGAACACTGGCGAAAACAGTTCGCGGGGCCTGCCTGGCGAAAACAGTGAAAAAAAGGCCATAGTTTCCCCCTAGGAACAATGGCGAAAACAGTGAAAAAGCAACAATAGCTTGCCCCTACAAACACCGTTTCCCCCTCGCGGGGCCTGCCTAGCGAAAACAGGGAAAAAAAGGCCATAGTTTCCCCCTAGGAACACTGGCGAAAACAGTGAAAAAACAACAATAGCTTGCCCCTAGAAACACCGTTTCCCCTTCGCGGGGCCTGCCTGGCGAAAACAGGGAAAAAAAGGCCATAGTTTCCCCCTAGGAACACTGGCGAAAACAGTGAAAAAAACAACGATACCGTTTCCCCTTCGCGGGCCCTGCCTGGCGAAAACAGGGAGAAAAAGGCCATAGTTTCCCCCTAGGAACACTGGCGAAAACAGTGAAAAAACAACAATAGCTTGCCCCTAGAAACACCGTTTCCCCTTCGCGGGGCCTGCCTGCCGAAAACAAGGAAAAAAAGGCCATAATTTCCCCCTAGGAACACTGGCGAAAACAGTGAAAAAACAACAATAACTTGCCGCTGGAGACACCGTTTCCCCTTCGCGGGGCCTGCCTGGCTAAAACAGGGAAAAAAAGGCCATATAGTTTGCCCCTAGGAACACTGGCGAAAACAGTGAAAAAACAACAATAGCTTGTCCCTAGAAACACCGTTTCCCCTTAAACAGTGAAAAAACAACAATAGCTTGCCCCTAGAAACACCGTTTCCCCTTCGCGGGGCCTGCCTGGCGAAAACAGGGAAAAAAAGGCCATAGTTTCCCCTTAGGAACACTGGCGAAAACAGTGAAAAACAACAATAGCTTGCCCCTAGAAACACCGTTTCCCCTTCGCGGGGCCTGCCTGGCGAAAACAGGGAAAAAAAGGCCATAGTTTCCCCCTAGGAACACTGGCGAAAACAGTGAAAAAACAACACTAGCTTGCCCCTAGAAACACCGTTTCCCCTTCGCGGGGCCTGCCTGGCGAAAACAGGGAAAAAAGGCCATAGTTTCTCCCTAGGAACACTGGCGAAAACAGTGAAAAAACAACAATAGCTTGCCCCTAGAAACACCGTTTCCCCTTCGCGGGGCCTGCCTGGCGAAAACAAGGAAAAAAAGGCCATAGTTTCCCCCTAGGAACACTGGCGAAAACAGTGAAAAAAACAACAATAGTTTGCCCCTAGAAACACCGTTTCTCCTTCGCGGGGCCTGCCTGGCGAAAACAGGGAAAAAAGGCCATAGTTTCCCCCTAGGAACACTGGCGAAAACAGTGAAAAAACAACAATAGCTTGCCCCTAGAAACACCGTTTCCCCTTCGCGGGGCCTGCCTGGCGAAAACAGTGAAAAAAAGGCCATAGTTTCCCCCTAAGAACACTGGCGAAAACAGTGAAAAAACAACAATAGCTTGCCCCTAGAAACACCGTTTCCCCTTCGCGGGGCCTGCCTGGCGAAAACAGGGCAAAAACGGCCATAGTTTCTCCTAGGAACACTGGCGAAAACAGTGAAAAAACAACAATAATAGCTTGCCCCTGGAAACACCGTTTCCCCTTCGCGGGGCCTGCCTGGCGAAAACAGGGAAAAAAAGGCCATAGTTTCCCCCTGGGAACACTGGCGAAAACAGTGAAAAAACAACAATAGTTGCCCCTAGAAACACCGTTTCCCCTTCGCGGGGCCTGCCTGGCGAAAACAGGGAAAAAAAGGCCATAGTTTTCCCCTAGGAACACTGGCGAAAACAGTGAAAAAACAACAATAGCTTGCCCCTAGAAACACCGTTTCCCCTTCGCGGGGCCTGCCTGGCGAAAACAGGGAAAAAAAAGGCCATAGTTTCCCCCTAGGAACACTGGCGAAAACAGTGAAAAAACAACAATAGCTTGCCCCTAGAAACACCGTTTCCCTTCGCGGGGCCTGCCTGGCGAAAACAGGGAAAAAAGGCCATAGTTTCCCCCTAGGAACACTGGCGAAAACAGTGAAAAAACAACAATAGTTGCCCCTAGAAACACCGTTTCCCCTTCGTGGGGCCTGCCTGGCGAAAACAAGGAAAAAAAGGCCATAGTTTCCCCCTAGGAACACTGGCGAAAACAGTGAAAAAACAACAATAGCTTGCCCCTAGAAACACCGTTTCCCCTTCGGGGGCCTGCCTGGCGAAAACAGTGAAAAAAAGGCCATAGTTTCCCCCTAGGAACACTGGCGAAAACAGTGAAAAAACAACAATAGCTTGCCCCTAGAAACGCCGTTTCCCCTTCGCGGGGCCTGCCTGGCGAAAACAGGGAAAAAAAGGCCATAGTTTACCCCTAGGAACACTGGCGAAAACAGTGAAAAAACAACAATAGCTTGCCCCTAGAAACACCGTTTCCCCTTCGCGGGGCCTGCCTGGCGAAAACAGGGCAAAAACGGCCATAGTTTCTCCTAGGAACACTGGCGAAAACAGTGAAAAAACAACAATAGCTTGCCCCTAGAAACACCGTTTCCCCTTCGCGGGGCCTGCCTGGCGAAAACAGGGAAAAAAAGGCCATAGTTTCCCCCTAGGAACACTGGCGAAAACAGTGAAAAAACAACAATAGCTTGCCCCTAGAAACACCGTTTCCCCTTCGCGGGGCCTGCCTGGCGAAAACAGGGAAAAAAAGGCCATAGTTTCCCCCTAGGAACACTGGCGAAAACAGTGAAAAAACAACAATAGCTTGCCGCTAGAGACACCGTTTCCCCTTCGCGGGGCCTGCCTGGCGAAAACAGGGAAAAAAAAGGCCATGGTTTCCCCCGGCGAAAACAGTGAAAAAACAACAATAGCTTGCCCCTAGAAACACCGTTTCCCCTTCGCGGGGCCTGCCTGGCGAAAACAGGGAAAAAAAGGCCACGGTTTCCCCCTAGGAACACTGGCGAAAACAGTGAAAAAACAACAATAGCTTGCCCCTAGAAACGCCGTTTCCCCTTCGCGGGGCCTGCCTGGCGAAAACAGGGAAAAAAAGGCCATAGTTTCCCCCTAGGAACACTGGCGAAAACAGTGAAAAAACAACAATAGCTTGCCCCTAGAAACACCGTTTCCCCTTCGCGGGGCCTGCCTGGCGAAAACAGGGAAAAAAAGGCCATAGTTTCCCCCTAGGAACAATGCCGAAAACAGTGAAAAAAACAACAATAGCTTGCCCCTAGAAACACCGTTTCCCCTTCGCGGGGCCTGCCTGGCGAAAACAGGGGAAAAAAGGCCATAGTTTCCCCCTAGGAACACTGGCGAAAACAGTGAAAAAAGCAATAGCTTGCCGCTAGAAACGCCGTTTCCCCTTCGCGGGGCCTGCCTGGCGAAAACAGGGAAAAAAAGGCCACGGTTTCCCCCTAGGAACACTGGCGAAACCAGTGAAAAAACAACAATAGCTTGCCCCTAGAAACACCGTTTCCCCTTCGCGGGGCCTGCCTGGCGAAAACAGGGGAAAAAAGGCCATAGTTTCCCCCTAGGAACACTGGCGAAAACAGTGAAAAAACAACAATAGCTTGCCCCTAGAAACACCGTTTCCCCTTCGCGGGGCCTGCCTGGCGAAAACAGGGAAAAAAAGGCCATAGTTTCCCCCTAGGAACACTGGCGAAAACAGTGAAAAAACAACAATAGCTTGCCCCTAGAAACACCGTTTCCCCTTCGCGGGGCCTGCCTGGCGAAAACAGGGAAAAAAAGGCCACGGTTTCCCCCTAGGAACACTGGCGAAAACAGTGAAAAAACAACAATAGCTTGCACCTAGAAACACCGTTTCCCCTTCGCGGGGCCTGCCTGGCGAAAACAGGGGAAAAAAGGCCATAGTTTCCCCCTAGGAACACTGGCGAAAACAGTGAAAAAACAACAATAGCTTGCCCCTAGAAACACCGTTTCCCCTTCGCAGGGCCTGCCTGGCGAAAACAGGGAAAGAAAGGCCATAGTTTCCCCCTAGGAACACTGGCGAAAACAGTGAAAAAACAACAATAGCTTGCCGCTGGAGACACCGTTTCCCCTTCGCGGGGCCTGCCTGGCGAAAACAGGGAAAAAAAGGCCATAGTTTCCCCCTAGGAACAATGCCGAAAACAGTGAAAAAACAACAATAGCTTGCCCCTAGAAACACCGTTTCCCCTTCGCGGGGCCTGCCTGGCGAAAACAGGGGAAAAAAGGCCATAGTTTCCCCCTAGGAACACTGGCGAAAACAGTGAAAAAACAACAATAGCTTGCCGCTAGAAACACCGTTTCCCCTTCGCAGGGCCTGCCTGGCGAAAACAGGGAAAGAAAGGCCATAGTTTCCCCCTAGGAACAATGCCGAAAACAGTGAAAAAACAACAATAGCTTGCCCCTAGAAACACCGTTTCCCCTTCGCGGGGCCTGCCTGGCGAAAACAGGGGAAAAAAGGCCATAGTTTCCCCCTAGGAACACTGGCGAAAACAGTGAAAAAACAACAATAGCTTGCCGCTAGAAACACCGTTTCCCCTTCGCAGGGCCTGCCTGGCGAAAACAGGGAAAGAAAGGCCATAGTTTCCCCCTAGGAACACTGGCGAAACCAGTGAAAACAACAATAGCTTGCACCTAGAAACACCGTTTCCCCTTCGCGGGGCCTGCCTGGCGAAAACAGGGAAAAAAAGGCCATAGTTTCCCCCTAGGAACACTGTTTCCCCTCCGTGGGTGTTGGCGCTGTTCTCGCGCTGCCTCTACCGGCGCAGGGAAAGCCGAGCAAGCCCGGAACCAACCCCACGCAGAAGGAGTGCTCGTCAAAAACAAGAGACAAAAAAAAGCCATGGTTTCCCCGTAGATACACAGTTTTCCCTCCTTCGGGCTTGCTTGTCGGAAACCGGTTCCCCTCCTGCAGGCCTGACGGTCGAACAGGAGAAAAAAAAACACACGCATAGTTTCCCCTAGAAAAACTCGCCTCCGCGGGGCCTGCTCGTCGAAAACGAGAAAAGAACAACACGCCCATGTTTCCGCGGGGCCCATGGCTTTCCCGTAGAAACACAGCTTCCCTTCCCGCGGGACCTGTTTTGTTGCCTTCGGCACCAACTTGCACAAACCCTCACCTCTTCCTCTTCCTCTTCCTCTTCCTCTTCCTCTTCCTCTTCCTCTTCCTCTTCCTCTTCCTCTTCCTCTTCCTCTTCCTCTTCCTCTTTCCTTTCCCTTCTCTCTGGGCGCGCGGCCAACCCAAGTGGGGCTGCCTTTCGCGGGCAGGTTGTCGATCCTCGAGGCTGAAAAAACCCCGCGCTTCCCCAAGCTCCTTTGCCACGCAACCCCTACGGCCCTACACCCAACAGAGTTGCGTCAATGTGCTGACCGTTTCGCATCCCTTGCGCCCAGAAAAAGGCGCAGTTCTTAGGCACCGACCACTCCAGGAACTGTTCCCGCTTCCGGCCGTCTGGAGACCGCAGGCACTGGTCCTGGGAACGACTCAACGACTCAACGACTCAACGACTCAACGACTCAACGACTCAACGCCTCCCCCCGGTTCTGAACACATCTTTGCACATGTGACCTACGCCTATGTCACCTATGCGGCAGCTGCCTTCGCAGACTCCATGTTCAAGGAGAAGTCTGCATCGAAGGACCTCGAAGAATTGGCCCATGGAAGAGAGCAAACTGTGCCTTTCAGTGCTCTTCTGATCTGCCCTCGTAGGGAACTCTCGCTCTCCTCTTCGCTCCCCTAGGTGGCTTGGCTCTGCTCGGAAGAGGTGGTGAATGAAGGCCTTGCGAGAAGCGTCGGAACAGGGAACCTTGGAAGTTCGAAGTCCGCACCCTGCGCCGTGCCTTGAGCACCGCGTGGTCGAACTCGTTATCCACGCGGCCCCCGTAGATGGACTCACCTTTTGGACACATACCGACTGCTTAGAGAGGTCTAGGGTTGCAATGCCGGGTTTACGCCATGTACGTATACATCTTTCGCCCGGTGACTGAGGATTGACCGGATGGCATCCCAAGGGATCTTGTCCTGGCAGAGAAGGGCCCAATCAAGTGTGCAGTGTGAATGTGAGGGCCCTTTGGGGCGGTCCGGGCTGATGTTGGACAGCTGGCCCTGGTTGGAGACGCTGTCCTATAGACTCAGAAATATCCGAAGCGACACTACACTGTGCACCATACTGTGTGCCATGATCGTGGGCTTGAATGTCTGAATGTCAGGCGAGGTGAAATAATTTGAGGCCCTACGAGGCCCTACGAGGCCCTGTCCACCCAGGCGTCGATGATGTCGCGGCCTGAGGCGCGCTCCAACACAAAACTTCCAGAGAGTTCAACAGAAAAGGAAGGGTAAAATGTGCCATAAAAAATGTGCCATGTGTAGGGCAAGGCCCTGGCCGCAGGTCTGGTCCGCATCACTGAACTCGTACTTCTTGCTCCAGCCTGGCCCGAGAAGAGCTCCCCGAGACTGGCTAGGAGAGCACCCCCTCGGCACCCCTCGGAACGCAGCGCCTACTGGGAAGAAGCGCAGCCGCTCCAACACGACCGCGTGCAGGAAAGCCAGGAGGAAGTGGAGCCTTCCCCGCGCTCTCCAGGAGCGGAGAGCAACAGAAACGGAGGGTGGATTCCGGGAAGGAGAGCCAAAAAAGCAGGAAGCGAAAGGAAGCGACAGGAGAGAGCAAAGAGGGAAAAAGAGCGCAGGGAGACCAAGGAGTGGTTTCTGAGCTGAAATAGAAATGAAAGGGTAAGAAGGTGTGCGGAAGAGACTTTTCTCACTTAAGCAAAAACACGACAAAATAAGAAGGAGAGAGCAAGAGAGGCTCTCTCTCTCTCTCTCTCGCTCTTGACATGCTGGGACTCTCCGGCGTGGCTGCCTGCAGCGCTCCACGGGCTGCCGGTCCGTGCGCTCCGGGCTCAGCACCTGCGCGAAGGAGCGCCGGAGCGAGGCGCGCACCTCGGAAGGAGAAGAGAGAGGGAGGAAAAGAGAGTGATAAGAAAAGAGATGGAGTAGAGGGAGAAGAGAAAGAAGGCCAGGAGAGAAGAGGAGGGGAGAGGGGAGAGGGGGAGAGGGGGAGAGGGAGAGGGGGGAGGGCCGGCTCTCTGGGCCGCCGGGCGCCCGAGGGCGGCTCGAAGACGTAGACGCGGGAGAGGCGGATCAGGTTCGCAGGGATCCTCCGATTCTAAGGCAAATGCGGCAAAGGGAGCGACTGCACCGGTGCGGGGGCTGACACTCAGAGCCTGGGATTGAACTCCATGGTCAAAAAGAGCCGGAAGTTCTGCTGGGGGTTCATCCCGTAAAGCTTCTTCTCCTCGGTTGGTCAGGGGTCGTGGCCTTCACGGGATCCGGGCGCCCCGCGTAGCCGAGATCCCCACGAGCTCTGACAGCCACTTGATGGCCAAGTGGACATTCCTGGCATCAGCGTAGCGGTTCCGGAGACTGCACGTCCCCGACAGGATTACACACCGAACAGCTGACATATGACCCGTAGCTGCCCCCCAATCGACACCGACCCATTCGAAGAATGCGGCAGGGTGTCTTTAGCAGCACCCAACTGCCAGCGTTCGACGCTGCTTTGATTGCCTGGAGCCATGCCAGAGCGAATGTCAGACAACCAAGTAGATCCAAGTAGCAGGTATCGAAGAGCCTTGTCGGCCACATTGAATCCTTCTTCGGACCCCATCGCTGCTGACTGCAAAGACCTGGATGAGCACCAAAATCACTCCAACAAATACAGCATGCTACAAAACACGGGACCGCAAGCCATGCTTGCCAAGAGGCTTCTTCTGTGCCTGTGCCAGTTCCGTCACCTGCTCATGGGAGGGCGACGTGCAAAAGAAGGCATGATCACGGCTGGATGGGAAAGCCATGGGGGAGGGGAAGCTTCGCCGAGTTCAGCCTTTCCGCTGGGATCGAAGCCCGGCACCGAGACCTCGGCAAGTCAAAGTGCGCCTTGCAACGCAGCAAATGTTTAAGCAGGGAGGCACAAACACACCCTGACCCCACCCACCCACACACACAGACACACACTCTGGCTCATCCCCACGGGCACACGCACGCAATAAGTGTCCACGAGTCCACGAAGACGATGTGCTTTGCAGCCAAGGCCGTGGAAACCAGCAAGTGGATGCTTGCCACAAGTGCGTCAGCAGCACAGCTCTGTCAATCAGCAAAGCCATTGCACGTGCTCACACACACACACACACATGCGCGCACAACATCCTGCGATTCCACAGCCAGTTGTACGCAATTTTGAAAGAGGTCCCACAGCCACTGAGGCAGCACACCATCATGATGGGCGAGGACGCCTTGCTGTCCTGTCCACGTGCCACCGAGCAACAACCGAAAGGCAATGCGGCGAAAGCAGCAAGTGCGGCCCATGCCAGTCTATGGCAGCAGTGCCGGAGTCCTTTGCAATGATCTCTGCAAGGTTGAAGGCGGGCAGGTCCAAAAAGCCCTTTCCAAGCACCGCTTCCACCAACTGGGCGCCTTCACTGCAACTCGCTGGTGGCTTCTCGCATTCTCTCATAAGTGTAGTAAAGTTGTAAGTTAGATGAATGTTGTCAAACGTGCTGTCCCATTGAGCCGCAGCGCATACAAAGACAAGCCGGTCCGGGCGGAGGGCCTGCTCGGCATGCCGGGCGCAAGGCGCCCCGGAAGAAGCAACAAAATCGCAGTTCCGGACGTCTTCAACACACCGCAGCCTTGATGACCAGCGTCTTGTGCAGGAGCCGGCGAGTTTCAGAGTCGTCCTCCCCAGACCTCATGTGGCTGAGAAGCTGAGAGAGAATGCTAACAAAAGAGAACTGCTCTAAACGGAGCTGCTCTTTGCCCCGTGCCCCTTAAAGCATCCCTTAAGGCATGCCTTTGGGCATCCCCGGGCCCCAGCTTCTCCCATCCACTGGGCATGGCGGTCTCGGGCTCCAAGTGCTCCAAGAACTTCAGCCACTCCGCCTCCTTGGCCTGAGCTTCAGGAATGTTCCAGGAGCCATCAGGATGTTATGTTCCAAGAGTGAGTACAATGACGACGCGCCTCAAAAACAGATGTGCTCTGCATTCTTTTGCTGAGGGATGCTTTTGGGCACCAGCCTGGATGTTCCCCACCAGGCCGCCGAAGCACGGCAGCAGGTGCAGATCCTGGATGTCACCCCAATGTAACGACCATGTGATGTTCTCGGCCACAGCAAAAGCCCAGCAAAAGCCAATGTCCCACCGCCATGTTTGCTTGGGGGAGGGGGGGTGATGGGCAGGGCGCCTGCAAACCCTTCAGCTGCTGATTGTTCAGCTTGGGCTTGAGCACCTGCATCAAACGCTTCATCGCCGCTTGAACTCGGCGTGTTCTCAGAGGGTTTGAATGAAGGTACGGCGCCAGCCTCGCGGCACTGCTCAGCCAAGGGCGCCGAGGCGGACTTCATGACGTCCACGGCGGCGCCTAAACCCCAGCACTCGAACGGCTCACCCGTTGGGGCGAAGGGTTGGGGGGCGAGAAGGGTTTAGGGGGCGAGAAGGGTTTAGGGGGAAAAGGGGGGCGCCTTTCAGGAGCTGGTCCACCTCCGGCTTCGGAAACGCGGAGGCTCCGAGGCTGTCGGCTCGAACCTGCGCACCGCCGGCTACATTACCAAGCGGAAGAGATGAAGGTGACATTCCGGTGCCCTTCTAAGGTGCTGAAACGGGGGCGGAGAGACCACCACCCATTTGCGATGCAGTGAGCCCCACCTGGGCCAGCTGCAGGCCGAAGACCAGGACCTCGGAACTTGCAAAAACGGGGGAGGAGTGAACCTTGGAAGTATACTGAATGTGGCAAACATATCGACTGTGCGGGAGGAAAGGCTGAGGAGGGGAGTGACAGGAAACGTCGGCGCTCGTGTTGGGAGCGGCGCAGGGCCGATCTCTGCAAACAAGGCCGGTGCGTCTGCCTCTTGGAGGCCGGGGGCCACTCGCAGGAAGAGGTTGCTAAAGAGCTTCACGAGGATGGCCTCACGCGGAGTGAGCCTTCTCGAGCCTTCTCTCCCATCTTCTCCAAATCCCTTCCTCTCCCCTTCCTCTCTCCTTAACTCCGCGCTCTCTCGCTCTCTCTCTCTCTCTCTCGCTCTCGGCTCCTCGAGGCGCTTCTCGTAGCTGAGGTCCTGCATCGCCCCAAGAGACTGCCCCCACTCAATCGTGCGCAAAAGTCCCTCCCCTCCCCTCCCCCCGCCCCACGCGCAGACACACCCCGAGCGTGCGCGCTTTCGCAAGCGCACGGAGCCTTGCTGAGCTCCGTCTTGATGGACGCCTCGAAAACCTGTCGAAGGCAAACTGAAGACGTGGAAGGAACTTGAGGCAGTCAACTGCCGTTGCGTCTGATCCTCTTGCGCGTCTCAGCTCGCTCCTCCAGGAAGAAGGCCAGGCTGTAGCGGTAAAGTGTGTGCATGCTCCCCATGCGCTGCAGCCTCGCAGGCGCAGGCTCTCGGCACAGAGTCACATGATGTCACATGCAACGCGCGCAACGCGCGTCTCCGAATTCATTCGCTGAGGCCCCCCGGCATGAAGTACAGGTTGGCGGCGACCTCTCCAGCGGTGTCGTAGAGCGCGCTGGTCTCGTTGATCTCCTTGTCAGTCAAATACATCCGTATACAGTCGTATACCACAAGGAAGGCGCTGCACACAAATTCTCAAACATTCCGAATCGGTCCTGCATGATGGTGTCGGTCTGCCCAAGCTTCTCCTGGCAATTGCCAGCGCTCGCATCCCCACCTTCCCTGCCTTCGAACCCTCGGCTTCGTGGCTTAGCGGCTTAGTCTCCTGGATCTCGGAAGACTCCTTCTTGATTTTCTCCAGGGTTGCGATCACCTTCTCGTCCTGCCCAGGAGCCATTCTTGTACAAAGGGAAAGGAGTGCGGAAAAGCGAGAAGCTTGGGGGTAGAGATGGCGCGCTCACCAAGATGTCCTCCAGGATGGAGCCTTCGACGTTCGACAGGGCGTGGAGCAGGTGCTCCTGCAAAGAACCACGTTTAACATCTGACTCTCATCTTGCGATCCTGCTTCGCTCTCGGGAGAGGCCTCCAGCTCCCGCATCTTCACCTAAGACATAAAGGAGTTTCGAGTGCATCCTACAGACCATCCAAAGAAGCCCTGCACGCTCTTTTGAAGAGAAAAGAAGGAAAACGCTGCGGCCTTGCACTCGCCCTGGAGCTTCAGCTGATCCTCCCGCTTTCGGTCCACCTTTTCGCGACAAAAACTCTCCAAGCACAGAAGCAGCGCCATGAAACACAACCACAGCTTCCGCTGGGTCCCCCCACGTCAGGCCGCTCAGACTTCAGTAGCGCGTTCATGCACCTCTCGCGTCGCACGACTCTCCCGACTTCTCCTCTCTCTGCCCCTCTCGGCTCGGGTCCGCCCACTTGGAACCACTTGTAACCACTTGGAACAATACTTGAAGCGTCTTCTAGCTAGAGCATGCTCTGGGTGAACTGCGTTGCTGCTTCTGGGGCCGGGCGCTGGCTCTGCAGCGACGAGGGCGTCACTGTGAAGTTCACAAAGGTGACCTCTCGAGGAGCGGAGGGGGCAGAGTGCACACTAGAGCACACGCGTGAGCGCACGGCAGTGCAGCACACGACACACCCGCCCTAACGCCGCACCACACAGCCAACAAAGAGAGAGAGAGAGAGGCAGAGAGAGAGGCAGAGAGAGAGAGAGCGTGAGGCAGAGAAGAAGTGATCGACTCAGTGCAGCTCGGTTCCAAAAACTCAGTACAACTCGCTGTAGGGGGGGAGGTGAGGCCGCGGCCCGGCTGCAGAGGTCGGGCGTGAACTGCGCCGTGGAGTCGCGAGTGCACATGTACATCCTCAGATTTGGAAAAGGAGAGGGGAGCGAGAGAGAGAAGGAGAGCAGGAGAGAAAGGGAGATAGGGAGAGAGAAAAAGAGGGAGAGACAGCAAGAGAGCATGAGTCATGTCGCATGTGTGTCTGAGAAGAAGCAAAAAAAGGCACCAACCAAGAGGGGAAAAAAGCAGAGTGCCCGTGTCGAGTTTCTCGAAGGCGGGGCTGAAGTCGATGTCCTGATCCCCAAGAGTTATCAGCACCCGCGGGCCACCTCAGAATCTCCGAACGTTGGAAAGAGAAAGAAGGGCTTAGGGCTTAGGGAGCATCAGCTCTGAGTCTCCGAAGTCCTACAAGGCGCTTCTTTGCCAAAGCTGCCGGTCTGTGCCCTCCACCCCCCCTCCCCTCCCCCCAATTGATTTGTTTGAGGTTTCTGACCAATGCAGCCAAAAAGCTCTTGTGGGTCTCTCGATTCAGGACGTTATTGAGGATGGGGTCCACCTTGTCCACGTCCATGACGATGAGCGGGGCCCCGAAGCGAAGTGCTGTCTCCAAGCTCTTCATGAAGCTGTTCTCCTCTCACGTGTGGAAAACAGCTAGAACCGCTCGCGTCCCCCACCCAGTGATCCTTCCAAGCTTCCAAGCCTAGCAAGCCCAGCAAGCCCAGCAAGCCCAGCAAGCCCAGCAAGCCAAGCAAGCCCAGCAAGCCAAGCAAGCCAAGGCGCCACGAAGGATGTCTTCAGGAGCTTCTTGTCCTTGAACTCATTGCTCAAGAAAGTAATCGCCTGACCCGAAGGGTCGATGATCAGCGGGTACCGCAAGAAGCGCCGCATGATGATGGCGTTCTCGTAGCAGAGGTCATCGTCTGGAAGCGCCTTCACCCCGATCTCTTAGAAGCGCTCACAAACAACTGAGATGCTCAAAAGGGACCGGAAGGAGTCGGAGAGTGCCAGGAACCAACGGGCCAAGTCACGTTCTGTTTCCACTGCAAGCGCTCGGAAGGCTTGGACAAGTACTCCTCGGTTAAAGCAGAGGGGGGACAGTCATGTCGCATAGTTTTGTTAGATTTGGGATTTGGGGGGGGGGGGGGGTGGGGCGGTGTGATATATCGGAATCAGAGCATTGTAAGCTATCCCCGTAGTATGTACACATCAAAAAGGAGTAGCAGGACTATTGCAAGCAGGCGTCGATGATGGAGATATCCTCCTTTTGCTTGATTTCAGCTTCATCCAGTTTTTCCCTCCAGAGTTGGATGACTCGTTGGCGCATGAAGAGATCGAAGAAGCCGATGTAGGTGCAAAAGGCGCCACAAATCAGAACATCGCCAATCCTCGTTGGTATGATGTGCAAGGCATCTTCAATGGGCGAGGAATGATTTTGTACTTTTGTTTTTGTCTTTTGTTGGTCTAGCAGTACCTACTTAAGAAGTACAAAAGAAATAGAGGCTTTCCTCTTAAAGCACAAAGGGGATAGAGATTTGCCGAAGAAGTAACACAAAGAAATCAAGGCTTTCCTAAGGTATATGGGGCCCCCCCATATGAAAACACAATGCTCGCATGACGGGTTTGGAAAAAGATGTGCACGTTTTCTTAACACAAGTCCTCTTTATATGGCGCAATTTTTCCGACAAAGCAAGCTTGCAAGGAAGCATGATCTGCGTGCTGAAGCAATCTTGCAAGGCTTCAAAACAAAAATGGAGGTGGGCGGGGGCACAGCCTTTCACAAAGAAATGCAACAGCGGGCGGCACACGCCAAAATCCAACGGCGGCTGCGGTCCCCTCCCACACAGACCAAATCTTCTGGCAATGTCCTGCAACTTGCCTGGAAAGTGCCTGACCCTTCCAGACCTATGCGCTTAACAAATCGGGGGGACTTGCGCAGCCTAAGGAAACATTTCGCGCGTCGTACCGTACCGGAGTCTGCGTCGAGACGGGCAAAACGTAAAAAAACGCAAGAAACAAGAAAAACGGCCCGTTGGACAAGTTGTGCAGTCTTGCTCTGACCTGGCTGACCATTGCACCTCGGGAGTTCGAGCCGCCAGAATTTAGAAACCTCATCTTCTGCGGCAAATGGTGGCTGCATTACACCTACAACTACCGTTAGCTACTGCAGCTGTACCAAAACGTCACGCTCTCCGACGACATGCAGCGACTGACACCCGACGAAGTGCACTCGCAACATTTTGTTCCCAGATCTCCCCGATCGAAAGGTGAAACTGTGCAGCAGCTGCGTGCATGTATTGGAAGCTAGCCCTATGAGCAATCGTTGTTGCGGTTGACCGTTCGGGATCGTAGGGAGACATGTTTCCAAGATTTATTTGGAATCGAACGCACGATTGCCTGCACTGCGCAAGCAGGTCCACGCTGCATGCGAAGAGTCAGGGCTTGTTATGGTGTAGGGCTTAAGGCCGCGCGGCGCCCCCAAAGTTACGCCCTAAACCTTAAACCTAAAGGCGTACAAGGACCACACCGTCAACACCATGTGGCTGCATGGCCCAGGCACCTGGGACTGCAGGGCTTGGGGCCCACGGGGTTGATTTCCATTGTCTTCTTGCGAGGGTTCACTTTTTCTCGTTTGTCGCGTTGTCTTCTCGTTTTTTTCGCATTTTCTCGCGTTGTTTGCGTTTTCGCGTTTTTTCGCGTTTGTTTTTTTTCATTCTGCGGCGCTTTTCGCGTGTTTGTTGTTTCCCGTGTTTCGCGTTTTCGAGTCTTTGCCGTTTTCACGGTTTTTTCAGATTTTTTTGGCGGTTTTCGTGTGTTTTGCGCTTTTCACGTTTTGCGTGCTTTTCGCGTTTTTGTTTACCCGTTGTTTTGTTTCGCGTTTTTGTTCGCGTTTTTCGTGTTCTTCGTGTTTTTCGCGTTCTAGTCAGCGCCTCCGCTTAACCGAGACACACACAGCACTTCCACGGTGCGCAAACCCCCCGCCCCCCCATTTGCAAACACATTGCTCCGCCAAAGGACTCGAATTTTTTCTGAACACACGTCCTCTTTTATGACATGACTTCTCCCATAACTCGAACTTGCACGGCGTCAAAAAAAGCAACTACAAAACCGTTGTCCCGAAAGCATTTTTTGAGTCACGCATCATGAACATCAGCGGCGGATGACACGGCGGCCCACGCGTGCATAAGCTTTCCCTCTGTCGCCAAACCCGTGCGTTCCGACTATGAAAGCCTACAGCTGACCCAATCGGGACGCACGCCGGGCGGGCGCGCGCGCGCACCCCCGGTTTGCAGAACAACTCTCCTCGAGCTTCTGCCTGCTGCCCGCCCATGGAGCAATGGGAACAATTCAAGTAAGGGCCACTTGCGTGTGAAATCCTACTCCAATGTCAATAACGAGCAAGATGTACATCTTGAATTAGGCGACGTTCTTTGTTGGAATCTTACTCCATGTTCAACTAGTCAATTGGGGATTAGATGACATTCTTGAAGGACAACTAAATGGCTTCAACTATCTAAATTGTTATTCTCAAAACTACATGAAATCGTTAGGAATTCTGGCTTCCCAAGGTTCACATTGAAATTGAATTAGTAATTGAAAGATTTCAAATAGTTTCATTGCTTGATAATGTAAGTCCTACACCCTCTTCAATTGCTTAAATGCTACTTCATCAGCTGAATCAGGCTCGTTTAACCTAGTTAAATCCTGGTCCTACTCCCCATGAATAGGCCCTACTCCCTACTAAATTAACGCGAAAAAGCGATGTACAACATGACTAGGGGGCAATCTCCAACTGATGCAATTTACTCTGTCAATACCCTTCCAATTGACCCTTCCTCCCCAACAAAGAACCATGGAAAGCAAACACTGGAGGCGGGCCGTTGTCATCTTGAAGTTTCGAGAATCAGGAGAAGTGCTGACATTTCAGCGTGCATGCAACGAAGGGGAAAACAGACTGCCCCCACATACGCCGATACGCCGATACACCCACTCGCTGACACACCGATGCGCCGCTACCCTTCCGCCCCCACCCTGCCCTCCCTCCCTACATACGCCTAGATGCCGATACGCCGAACGCCGACATTACTCCCCTGCCCTCCCGTGTCGCATGCATGACAGCAGTTAATATGGGTAGCACATCTCTAAACCCAAAGCAGGCCGGGGGGGGGGGGCGGAGATCGGCGCATCGGCGTATCGGCGTATATCGGCGTATGCTCCTCAACATCTTGCTCTATCCCTGTGAGCGTAAACATTGAGTGAAAAAAATCCGGGACCCCCTCAGCGAAAAAGTCGAACGAGACCTAGAATTTACTGGGCCTTGATTGCCACGTCGACCACTCCCGGGACGCCCTGAGTCCGTGCATTGGTGCATTGCTGTCCCACCCCTGGATCGGTGTATCGGTGTATCGGAATATCGTTGCATTGTCTCTGCGCCGATACGCCGATGTGGCCCCCCAAACCGCCTTTCCCCTCGATGTATCGATGTATCGGTGTAGCGGTGTATCGACGTATCGGTGTATCGGTCTATCTCCTTACCACTTCCCTCTGCACCTTACCTGCTACACCACAGATACGCCGATACAGAAAATAAGCCGATACGCCCATGCGCGAGGAGAGGGGGGGGAAACCGGTGTATCGGTGTGTTTTCTGCTTTTTCTGAGCCCTGCATGGGCGCACCACCTGAAAGATCGAAGGAAGCGAGACAGAAGTGTTTGCTAAATTCGTGTTGCAGGGCTCATGCTGGCCGTCTGCTCCTGGAATCCTTTGGAGGAGCCTTGCCATCGCACCTTCTCGGAAGACAAGTCGGTCAGGAGCTGGGTTGATCTCGAGCAATTCTTCTGCACCTTGGCTTCTTATGCTTCAGACGCACTATCTCACCATTCTTTCCGAGGTTTGTGAAGGGAGAGAACCCCATCCATCGTGGTCTTCGCACAAAAACAGAGCTGAAAAGACTCAAGATGCTTGCTGCATCTGGTGCTTGATCTGTTCCACAGAAGTGATGAGCTGCGCATACCTTGCTTGCATTGTTGTGCCACGTTTGCTCAGTTTACTTAGATGATTAACTCTGTGAAGTCGAACAGCTCCCGTCGAATGGAATCAAGAAGCTGCTCCTTGTACTGCGTAATTCGCTTCTCCATGTCTGCCACATCTTTCTCGCAGGCCTGTAACTCCACTTTGTTCTTGTCCGCTTGCTGCTGCATCTGCTGCAACTCGTTCCTGAAGCACAGCAGATATTCCACTCAGTTCATGGCACCGTCACTCCTCGTGACCCACCCTTCCCAAATCAAACGTTGGAGGCTCAACAGACAACCAATCTTGAGGATTGCAAGAATGGATGCATTCAGAGTGCGAACTGACCCATTCTGAAACCCTAGCAGAGAACTGAACTTGGCAGCAAGCATGCGGCCTCATCGGCTCCATCATATTCAGGAGGTCGGCAAACTGCAACTGGCTCTCGACCCACTGCGCCACGGGACCGGCACAGCGAGAGGCTTGCTTGATTCGCGACACGTCCCACGCCTGGGGCCAAGGAGCTCGGTTTGCTGTTGCTGTGTTGACATGCTCTTGTCTTGACCGCCATTCTGCCTTGTTTTGAATGTACTTCTTCTTCAGGGTTTCCCTTGTGGCATCCTGGGCCAGGAACAAAAAGAACTGGAGTGGATAGCTCGCCTGCAATGACGCACAACAAAATCAGCGGGGAAAGCTCTGTTCGCCCAGTCCTTCAGCTGCTCGGCGTCCTTACGCTTTCAAGAACACGTCCAAAGGGTAACAAGAGAGGCTAGAGGGGCGAAAAGAGAAAGAGAGAGAGGGGGGGAGGGGGAGGGTGAACACGGACCGCGGGCCCAGCGTCGTACTCCAGGATGCTGGGGATGAAGTTCGCGTCCCGCATGACCTTGCGCACCGGCTCCCAGCCGATCTTGTCTGGCGGGATGTCCGGCCGGACCATCAGGATCACGGCCTCCATGGCCATCTTCACGTGCTCCGGCGGCTTGTTCATGGAACGGAGCTCGTCCAGGGCCTGCTTGTTGACGGCGCCCACGGCGCTCTTGGCGGCCTCGAGCGCCGGCTCCACCTCCTCGATCTTCTTCTGGATCTCCCCCCGCCTCTCGTCGATGACCTTGCTCTGCTCCGCCAGGTCCACCTCGAGACGGTTCTCGACTCACCACCACTCCCACTCACCACCACAACACAAAACATGAAGGAAGGAAGACGATGGAAAAAGGAAGGAATGGGAGGGTTTAAGGGAAAAGGTGAGGGGAAAGGTGTAGAGGGAGCTTCTGCGAGAGTGCAAGCACACAGTCTCGGCGCGCCTGCAGCTTCTGCGAGGCCTGCTTCCGCTCCTCCGCTTCGCCTTGGCCCTTCACCATCTGGGACATCATCCTGAGAACGCGGCATAACATGAACTTGAGAGCTCTCTCAAAATTTGGAGGAGGGCTCTCTCAAAGCATTGGAGAAATAAGGGGGGACGTTTTTTCCAACATTTTCTTGGATATTTTGGCGCCGGGCGGCTCTTCGGCCTCCTTGTTCTTGGCTGTGAGCATCTTCTCCTTCTCGGCCAGGCCGCTCTGGAGGTTGGCCACCTGGTCCTCGGTCTCCTTCAGCTTCTTCAGGCCACCATCGATGTGGCTCTGCTGGTCCAAGACTTCCTCGCGCTTCTCCGTCATCAAGCCTCAGCGTTTCGGCAGAGTAAAAGACAGAAAGACGCTACCGCGCTCCCCTTTGGACCCAGAAAACTTGCATGTGTCAAGTCATCAACGTTTGTTGCATTTTTGTTGTGAAGGGGCGCGCGGAAATAAAAGAGAAGGTGTCCCGCTGGCAATCTGTCCACTCACTTGGCCCCCCCACCGATGAAGTGGTTGATGAAGTCCAGGAAGTCCCGGGGCGTGATGAAGTTGTACCGCTGCGCGCTCTTCTTCAAGTCCACGTTGGTCTGATCCACCTCTGCAAAGGAGCTCACCCACAAAGCTCACCCCAAAAGAAGAGAGCATTTTGAGGGAGATGAGAGATGATTCGGAAATGGGGGGGGTGGGGGGGGGGGGGGGGGGGGGGGGGGGGGGGGGCGGGAGCGGCTCTTCGGACCTGCTGGTGGAACGCCACAATGGTCTCCGAGAGCTTCTGATGTCGAAGAGCATCCTGAAGGAAACTACGCAGCTCGCCTCTTCCTGTTCTGATCCCGGCGGCACCAAGAGGATTAAAGGGCTTCGGGGTCTCAACCCCGACACGCTCCTTGTCCTCACCAGGTCCGGCGCAGCCGCCTGAGCACAAAACTGGCAGAAGACATCGATCTGCATGAGACGACAGACTCATGAGACAGGTTTGCTGCAAGCCGGCCCGTGAAGGTGTCATCGCCGATCTGCATGCTTGCCTTGAGAAAGAGACGCAAAAATAGAGATGAGTACTACGTGCAGGGAAGGCAGGGAGAGGAACGTGAACATGCAAGTTCAAAAAACGGCCGAAGATGTGGCCTTAAACGACGTGTCTGCAAAGAGATGCAAGGAGAAAACTCTGTGCTGGATCTCAGAAAGGGCTGCGGTGAAGTCCGCGGCCACTTGCAGGAGGGCCTCCTGCGGCCAATCCCCGAACCAGTCGATGACGCAGCGGTTGAAGAGCGCCGGGCTGGAGTTCGAGCGGTTGTAGAAGTCCGGGTTCGCCGGGTTCCTCGGGGAAACAGGCGAGCGACAGAGAGGGAGAGAAGGGGGGGAGAGAGGGAAGGAGAGCAGAGCTTTTGCCGGGCCCGCGATTCCACCGACATCGAATCTCAACACACCCAGCCGAGAGATCATATGCACATATGCACAGTCCATTTTGTCTGCCTCCAAGGGTCACCCTGTGATGATGGGGTGAGGAGGACCCCAGGTGTTGGTTGGGATGAGGGTCCCTTTCTGAGTACACTTGGGATTGTTTCAAAGCACAAGTGCCCGAGCCCTGCAGTTTTAGACGAGGCCTCAAATGGCTTCAAAGATGCCCCTCAAAGGTGCAGAAATCCCATTCACAGTCGGCCGCGGCACCGAGGACAGCACCGTGCCATGACGAGCTCTCACGCTTTTCTGTGCACCCGCCCGAGGCCCGCGTGGTGACCCAAACAAAAGGCTTGGCACGTGTGCTGGCCCGGCCCTGCCTGCAAAGCAGAGCCGATCCCACGAAGAGTCTTGCTTCCGTGACAATCGTGACTACGCGACCTCTTGTCGAGACAAGCCGCATGGTGAAGACAATGTGCAGATTTCGCTGAACTTGCTTCGTGAAGCGCGCGAAAATCTCTGCATCGTCCACGCCCTGGATGTTGGCACCACGGCACTCCTCACAGCAGAGAGGGTCTGTCATGCTCTCCCTCCTCCACCACAAACGGCGCCACACCCACTTAGCACACGTGTTTTTGCAAGCAGCCTAGGGCCTAAAAGGCCTAGGGCGCCCTGAAGGACTTATTGGGTTCTCGGAAGGGCTCTCGACTGCGAGGCGCGTGGATCAGCGCCGTGTACTCGTCGCCTTCGAAGAGCCCCGGCACTTCCCCGGAGGCCAGCAGGGCGTTCATCCGCTCGATGAAGGCCGGGCCCAAGGCCTCTCAGAACAAGCAAGAAAGAAGAGAGACACAAAACATATAGCGAGAGAGAGACAGAGAGGAGCTCAGCGGAGCCCGCTGGACGTGCAATAACAGCCGCAAGTGCGGCAAAGAGAAGCTGCTCACCAAGGGGATGCGTTTCGAAGGCTCCGGGGCGCCCGCGTTCGATTCGTCGAAGATGAAGGTGATCTTCTCCCCCTTCACGCCGGCACCTCTGTCCGAGGAGAGAACACGCAGAGCTGGAATCACTACAGCCACTGCAAGTCACACGGGGAGTGGCACTCTTGATTTTTTTGATGTTTTTTGCCCTCGCAGATGCCCCGGAAGATGCGAGTTAGTGCAACCTGAGGGGCGCTTCATGACCACGCGCACATCCGCCTCGAAGGCGAGGACGTCGTAGTTCCGCCCGATCTTCAGCGTGTACACGCTGAGGCCGTTCAGCCAAGACACAAACTTCGAGAGGACCTCGCGGGGGCTGGCTTTGAACGGCTTTCGCTTTCGAGAGAGAGCGGCTCTTTGTCGGTTGGGGCGCCTTCACACTCAGCCTTCACTCTCCCCCCCCCCTTCTTCTTTTTTAAAAATCCAAGCAGCCGTCTTCCCAGCACCCGACGCTCCCACGAGAAGCAGGTGCCCCAGAGGCTGCCTTCCCGGTCTGTTTTTTGTCAGTCTCGGGTATACAAACGGGCCAAGAAGGATCTCCCAATCTCCTTTCAATTCGACCGGCGCCTCAGGACGCGATCCATGCGGACAATGTGGTCCAGCACAGAGTCGAAGATCACCAGGCGCACCTCGCCAGTTTGGCCAGCTGGGGTGTGTGCAGGAGGCTGCCTTCAGGCAGCCCGAAGGCACCCTGCACAGCGTTATTCCCTTTGTTTGAGGCTGCCACGTCCAGCTCCTCCTCGTAGAAGATGCTGAGCTTCGCCTTCCTCACACCCGTGGGCTGTAATTCTCAGAGGTGAGAGAGAAATGCCCAAACACAAAGAAGAAAACTGAGAGATGAGAGATGAGAGGGACGGTGCTCTCCGCCGAGCTCAGGGGGAAGAGCTGAAAGTGAGTGAGAAAGAAAGAACGGAAGGAAGAAAGGAAGGAAGAGAAAGGAAGAAAGGAAGGAAAAAGGAAAGAAAGAACGAAAGAAAGAAAAAGAGATGACACACCAAGCGGCACGAAGCCCCTGAGAGCTTCTCTCGTCTCATCACGGTAGCGGTGCTGCTCATCCAAGTAACCTCAACTCGATCCATGTCGATGCCTCTCCCACAAGGTGTCCCGCTCTCTCCTTGCGCGCTTCGTCTTGCTCACAACGAGCGGCAGCTGAAGAGGATCGGCCTCTGAAGGACATCGGCACTGCATCCAAACCTTATACAAGCGAGGCATGAGGGCGACACGGTGGGAGACACTTTGGGGTGCCACGTGGCCTCTATCTGATACACGCTGCTCTGCTGAGCTGTGCTGAGGAGTGATTGATGAAGTGCGCTCCAGCTTCAAGCGAGAATGGTCACCCTGCAAAAAACAACAAAAAACAAAAACAGCTCCCGGAGCTCGCAACAGATGCGGCCAGGCAGCTCCCTCTGCACCACCTTTGACATGCTCATTGGGCTTCTTGCATTGCTGGGGTACAGATTTGGGAACTCAAAAAACACCTCGGGGCCGGGCCTCATCGAGTAGCTCCTCGCTCCTTTGTGCAGAACGCAGACATACACACGCGTACACAGAAATACACAACAGTCATACACGGACCACACCAACCAAAAGTTTCCTTCAGCCAAGATTCCACTGCCGCTCCTCCTCATGAACCAGGCGGTCCACAAAGATTCGCAGACCCTGCAGAGCAGCCAAAATAATGTGGATGTTTGCAGTATGACAAAGGGCGGGAATGAATGCCTACGAGCAGCTTCGTGCACCAGAAGGCGGATGAGGTTGGTTTGGGTCATGCCATCCCAGTAGCGCATGCACTCGTAGAGGGCCGTCTTCCAACGCGTGAGCTCACGAGGGGAGTAGAGGTAGTGGGGCTGCTGATCAGAAGTGAACCTCTGGGCACTGTCTCGCCAGAACTGCACCATGGTGTTCGTCATGCCCTCGGAACAGCTCTTGTCGAGTTGCGGCTGCAGCTTCAACATCGCTCGGTTGAAGGTGCCATAGATCTGGCGCAAGGAGTCGGGGCCAGGGTAGTCCACCCAGATCACGGGAGCGTGTCTCAGAAACCGGTCAGACATGGGGTGTCGACCCGGATCGGTGGGGGGGTTGCAGGCCCCAAGGAACTGGACCCTCTCCACATTCACCCACTGCTTATCACTTGGCCGATAAAAGCCACCAGCTTCTGTGATCTGGCGGATGAACATAATCACCTTCTGCGTGCCGTACTTGTCTTCCTCCGGGAGATTGCACTCATCACAGAAGACCACGACCCAGCGGTTCAGCTGCAAGGGGCGCATGACCAGGCCATTCGGGGTCTTCACCGTCTCACAATACAGGTCGAAGGTCTTCAGCAGCAACTCGGGGGTCGTGCCCGCCGAGAAGTTCAACGACGCAAGCTCCAAGCTGCCCGCCATGGCCTCCAAAAGAACAAACGAGCTCTCTCACCCCTCCCTCGTTTCTGCTCTCTCCCTCTCTCTCTCCCTCCCTCCCCCCGCTCCCCCCGAATGGCACTTCCCGAGACTTCTGACTCTCGCCCCCTATCTTTCCTCTCCTTATCTCATCGTGCTCTTCTAGTTATGCTCGGCTCTCCCGCCCCGAAGAAATCCTGCCCTGGGCTGTCCCAAAAGTGGACTCAACCCAAAAGAGACCCCTAAACAACCTCCCCGAACAAAACTCCTAACAAAACTCCGAACAAAACCTCTTTGTTTGTTTAAACTCGAAAATCTTGTGCGAGACTTACTCCGCGACAGCAGAGCGCAAGTGCACTGTAGCGCCAAACAAGCATTGCTTCAGTAGGAGGCAAGTGCAAAGGGCGTTCTGGGAGCACCGCAAAACGCATGCAACAACGTCTTGTCTTTGCGACGAAGCAATGAATCACGACAGGTTTGGGCAGGATGGGCACTCGTAGAAGCAGCGCACTCGTGTATGGAGGTGGCGTCAACATGGTGAAGGAGACGTGCCCCGAAACCACCTCCAATCTGCCCAGTCCTTAAGCTAGACTCAAGACCCCCGAGCTACTCTAGCAACCTGAAACCCTCAAGGGCCCCAAACCCTTTCGCACGAAAACGAACCAAAGCCACTCCCTAAAGCCAACACTGTCAACCCTAACATGAACCAAACCCTAAAAAGAAGAAACTACCCCAACACAACAAAGCCTACAAACATGACTTCGTCGGTTCATCTGAACCTTGTCTTCTTTGTTTCTGAAGTTGCCTTCCTCGATCGTTCGTTCCGAGCGATGGAGACCCTCTCCCTGCACTCCTCCCTCTCTGGTTCGTCTCCACTCTCCGCTCTTTTATGCCTTAGTTTTGTGCTTTTGTGTTATTGTGCTGGGGAGGGGAAGGGAGGAGGAGAAAGCGGGGGGAGGCGAAGCTGGCGCCTTCATGGTGGACATCAGGGTCATGGTCTTGCCGCTGCCTGGGGGGCCGCTGAGGATGAAGGGCTTCCGCTCCTCGAGCCACGCCGCCAAAGCCGCGGTGTGCCGCACGGTGTCCACCGTGGAGATGATCAGGCTGCTGTCGGCCACCTCGAGCAGGCGCCCAAAAGGAAAATGCGACTGTCAAGCACAGCGCATATGCTATTATCATGCTCAGCATACTTACTACTTCATACACGGCAAGTTGCTCTTCTCTTTTGAGGCTTAGTGTACGCATCCTTTTGACTTATCATTTCTGCGGATTCTAATTATATTATGTCCTTATCATAAATGGGGAGGGGCTGGACGTCTCCCGCCTTCTCAGGGTCGATGTCCAGGGTCGGGACACGCTTGTCCCAGTGGTACCACTGGCCGTCCTCGACACGGACCTCGAAGTCCAGAAGGGTGGTGTCGCCCCCGAGGCCATCGGGCGCCGGAATCTCTCCCAGATGTCCCGCAAGCATCTCGCAGAACTTCATTCGCGTGTTCAGGAACCTAACTACGAGACAATCCCAAGCCAAGCCTCTCAAGGCAAGCAGAGCACAACCAACAGGGAATAAAACAGAATGCAACAACAAGCTCGGAACATTGTGCTTGGTGCTGCCCAGAATCATGTCGCCTCCGAAGGACCAGCAGATGGCAAACACCAAGTACTTTCGCATGAAGGATTGAAGGACATCATCTGCCAACGGAAACTCTTCATGAACTTCATCGTACTCGAGGATCATGTTGATGCCTTTTCGAACCATTGAGAACCTGCCAGGGGGCTCTTTTTGACACGCCGGCAGGCCAGACCTCCCAGAGCCCGGTTAGCCGAGCAATGCCGAGCAGCAAGCCCGTCAAGGCCCTGATGGTGGTGAAGGTCATGATGTGATCCATCTCAAAGGCGAGCCTCGGCGTTTCAAGAGGACTGCTCGGAGTGCTAGCGGACGCTTCCGAGCGCAGCGCCCCGAAAGCCAATTTGTTCCGAGCAGCTGCAAGGCGGAGAGCACCAGATTCCCTTTCTCGAAGCATGGCTCGAGGGCCTCGATGCACTTGACCTTGGTCCTCTGCTCCTTGGGAAGTCCTCCGAAAGGGCCACTCTCCGCGAACTCTCTCTGTCTTTTATCTGGGGCGGGGTACATGGAGAGAGGACACTTACACGACCCCACGTGACCCCACACGCCCCATTTGGCCATTCAAGGTATCGGCCCTCAAGGTATCGGCCCTCCCTCTCTCTCTCACTCTGTCTCCCTCCTACCGGGACGTCTCAGAGAAGTTCCTTGATTCCAATCATTCTTGTTGCACTCTTTGCGAGAGGTTGGGTAAGCGTTGGGGCTGCAGTGTGCGCGATAGCATATCTTCTGCCATGCCAAACCTGAAGTAGGGACGGCCGCCCAGTAGAGCCAACCCGGGAAGAGGCTGGCTGGGTTTCGGCACGTCGGAGCTTCTGCAGCACTGAAGCGCTCGGCGCTTGGAGCTGCACAAAAGCCAAGATCGTGGAGACATGACCATGCCACGACAACAGCCGGGGAAGGGGCCCCGAGATGCACCCCGCCCCCCGCCCCCCCCCCCCCCCCCCCCCCGCCCCCCGATATGCAGGTTCGATGTTGCGCAGCAGGACGATTAGCTGGTTAGCTCCCTACCCGCTGGAACACTACGCCAACCCCTGCTTTTCTTTCATGCAAGCGGACCGGGACCCCCCTCTGCAGATAAGAGAGATTCGCGCCCCCTCTGCAGGCAAAGGAAAAGAGCGGCCTTCGGCTTCGTCCTTGGGGCTCTCCTCGAGGTTCCCATGCCTGGTGCTGAAAGTTAAGAGAAAATGGAGACAGGGAGGAAAGAAGTGAAAAGGGACGAAAACAAGAGAGAGAGAGAGAGAGAGTGAGTGAGAGAGAGAGAGAGAGAAAAAAAAATAAAAATAAAGTAAACGAGAGAGAGAGAGAGACAGAAATGGGGGAAAAATGCCTAGCCCCAAAAAAGACAGGGAGTGTGAGAAAAGTGCCCCCGAAAAAGCCGCGCTTTCAACACCCTCGAAGTATCAGGCACGGCCAGGGCGCTTGATCGACTTCAGCTCGTGGCTGCAGACCATCCTGAGAGGATTCTCACTTCGAGGGCAAAGAGAGGAGAGCAAAGAGGCCCTGAGCGGCCCTCGGAGGCGCGGGTCTTGAACTGCTTGGGTTTCCGTAGGGCGAGGCGCTCTTGCGTCACCACGTCATTGGCGAACCAGACCATGCCACATCGGCTGACGGTGGCCAGCGTGGCATACTTCAGCGTATCCACCTCGAACATGATCCGGACATTCCTTTGCTCAGGGACGGTCAGGAGAAACGCGGGCAGAGCATCCGGTATAAGCTCCCTCAACCCCCAGCCTTTAGAAACAAAGAGATTCAATCGCTCAAAACAGCGCGGGGGCTCGGCGGGATGGCCAGGCGCTCTCCGTTTGGCAGAGTCAGCAGCTTGTTGTCGTCCAGGACGGAGTTCAGGTTCTCCGCCCACTCGGGATCGACGTCCTCGGCAGCTTGTGGCGTAGGTTATACTCTCTTTGCGTCCACACGCTCCACACTCTCCTACTCCTCTGCCACGTTTTGCCGGTTTTTCTAATACCTCTTGAGTACATGCTCCTGTCGTAGAGCCATGCTCCGGGGCGGGGGCGTGTTCTGAAAGTTCTGACTGGCATACACAGAAGCATTGTGTTGTGGAGGGATGGGGAATTTTCATGGTCCCCCGCCCCCTGTCCCGCCATCCTGAGCCAGGCCGCTAACCTAGCACCGTTCGCACCCTTCGTAAGTCCATAACTCGGGTGCTTCAAGTAGCAGACCACGGTGGAATGTTGACCCTTTACAGCCTTTACGCACTGACTCCTTACTTCCTGGCAAATGATGCCCCAAGTGATGCCCGTATTGGAAATAAGGCTCGCCATCGAACATGATCCACTGTCGACGCTGGTTCTCTCCACGGTGCCCTGAGAGGATGCGGCGGAGGATGTCCGTAAAGACCCCGTCGGTCCACTCCAGCGTAGTCGGATCCAGCTTGCCATACAGCTCCTCCTTGCTGACAGCTTTGGGGTCTACCACATAGGCATCGCCCTTGATGTTGTCCAGCTTCTCCATGGCATCCAAGAGAGTCCGCCAGACCGTGGACTTTCCGGTGCCCACGGTGCCCACCAGCATCACGCCATGTGTGATTCTCTGGATCTGGAAGAGCTCCATGCACTTCAACATGAAGTTCTCGGTGCACTCAAAGTGCCGCAGCTTGCAGAGCCTGCGGATCCTCGGCGCGCGGAGCCCCAAGCAAAACACAGCACAAAAAAAAAGAAGGATGAGAGGCAACAAAAACAGACCCTGAGAGACCCCTCAAAGGGAGCGCTCTCTCTTTTCTTTCATGGGGTCTGGGGGCAAGCCCCACGCTGTCGCGCCCCCACGCTGTTGCGGCGGCTAGTTCTGGAATTGGGGAGAGGCCTGATATCACCACCACCCCGGACCAATAGACTGTGCCCTCTGTGTCTCTTATGGCTGAGCGGCTCCTCCTGAAGGACCTGATTGTCCACGATGCCGACATCGGCACCGGGGAAGACGCCGGAGATCAGGCTCTGCATCAGCGGCTTGTCCTGCGCCACCAGCTTCGGGACCAAAGTGTCGAAGATGGCCCGGAGCAGGATCTTCTGCTCGCTCTGCGCCACCTCCGGAGACGTGAACATTCTCTTCCCTTTCTTCAGGGAGAACTCATCAGAGAACACACAGCACACTCAGAACCCTTCAGGTGAGATGAGAGAAAAAAAACGTGTCCTAGAGTGCCCTCAGCGCCTCCTCCTCGGAGAGCTCGCCGAACTTTTCTGCACCTAGCAGACACCGGAGGGGTTTGTGCTCCTTTTCATGTGCTCCTTGCTTACTTTAACTTACTTTCGGACGTGCGGGATCGTGCTGGGCTGCCCCCATGGCCTATGTTCGTGACCTCTTCGCGCTTCATCGAGCCCGCACAGGCCAGCACCGCCTCGGGCAGGGGAAAGCCCCTTCAGGCCAGCAAAGCGCACTTTGCGTGCACATTCCAACAGAGGGCCAACCCCGACCCTACGTATCGAGTTTAGAGGAGAAAAAAAGCACAACGCCTGCCTACCAATTCAAAAGAGCCCCTCCTCTCTTTTATCAAATGGTGCGTGCTGCGCACTGCTGCGAGGTGCCTTGAGAGAGCGGAGGCCGAAGTCGTAGTGAGGCTGCGAGGAGAGCTGGTCCTCGGAGAACAGCGAGACTAAAAAACAAGAACAAGCTCTAAGCACGCCCCAACAAACAAAACCAACACCTTTCCAAATTTTCCTTTCAAGAGAAGGCACCTTGCAGAGGTCGAAGAGGAAGACCACCTGGAGCTTTAACAGCAGAAGAGACAGGAAAAGAGAGAAAGAGAGAGAGAGAGAGAGAGAAAAAAAAAAAAAGTATATCGAAGAGAAAAAAAGGAGAGAGTGGGAGAGAGTGGGAGAGTGTGGGAGAGAGTGGGAGAGAGTGGGAGAGAGTGGGAGAGAGTGGGAGAGAGTGGGAGAGAGTGGGAGAGAGTGGGAGAGAGTGGGAGAGAGTGGGAGAGAGTGCTAGACTGCTTGTCACAAAGTTGCTCTACAATGCTCTCAACAGCAAGCTTTTTTCAGCAGCGGAGTGGTCGCTCTCGCGCCTTGCTGGCCAGCTTCTCGGCGCTGATGAAGCCCTGGTTGTACAAGTTCACCTGGGCGATGAGCGTCTTGTTGGGCGTCGTCCTCGGAACAGAGGGCTTCTCTGAGCTCAGAGGTTTTGGCAAAGTGCTCCCGAAAACCAACAAAGAACAGACTGACTGCTTCAGACTTGTTGAGGCAAGGGGAGGGGGAGGGAGGGCCGTCAGGATATGTCAGGATGCTATTTCATGTACTCTTACGCTGAGGCACATGGCCATGGCCCGGAAGAGCTGCTTCAAATTGTCGGGCAGGTTGGAGCGGCCGGCATAGCCGGGGTTCATGGTCACGAAGATTCCCACGTTGGAGTTGAGGCGGACCTGCTTCCCTAAGATCTCGATCTCCTTCTTGTTCTGCTTGTTCCCCGTTTGGATGGTCAGGACCTGCTCGGAGACCGCGCTCAAGATCCGCTCCTCCAAGCGATTGAACTCGTCGAAGCATCCCCAGGCGCCCACCTGGCACAAGCCGACGAAGATCCTTCCCATGGCCTGGAAGTCGAAGCCCTCGTCGCAGCAGAAGACCAGGACGAACCTCCCCATGGTGTTTCCCAATGCCTTCACCGACTCCGTCTTCCCGGTGCCCGCTGGGCCAAAGGGGTTGGCACCCAAGCGCATGTGCAGCGCCTGGGTCAGTGTCAGGAAGCACCGGTCCGTCAGGGGCGTCTGGACCAGCTTGTCTGCGATCCCCAAGTACTCGAAGCCGTAGAAGAAGCTGGCGTCCGCCATGCAGATCGAGAGGCGCTGGAGGATCTGCGGCTCGCTGGGATTCCAGTACATTCGCATCAACTGAAGCCACTGGAAGTCTTTGGGTGAAGCGACCTTGTCCTGAATCAACTGCCGCGAGACGTCCCGCTGATGAACCACCTCGGTGATCATCTGCGCCAGCTTCTGGCGGACGTCGTTGCCGATGTCCGTGATCACCTTCCCGGCCATGAAGCTGAGCTGCTCCACGGCCCGCGCCAGCACCCGCTCCAAGCCCCCCTCCGTGGCTCCGAACGCAGCTTCCGTCTTCTGGCACCAGTCCGCCAGGATCGCCATCAGCAGCACCTGGAAGAACCCTTTTCCGGGGGCTGTCCCCGCAAAACTCTTCATTGAAAGAGACAAGAGAGAAAAGAGAGAGCGAGGCAGACAGGGAGAGGGAGAGGGAGAGGGAAAGTGTGAGTGATGGTGGCATCAGAGCCTGGCCTGGCAAGGGTACTTGGAGACCCAGGCCTCAGAGAGCCGCTGACACATCTCTTCAAGCTTTCTCTGGTACTTAAGCAAAATGGCTCTCTTCAGAAACAATCCCTCTTGAAACCTCCCTTCTTGCTTCTTTCGCTCTTTTCTGCGAGGTGTCTTGGGCCGAGGCCATGGTCGCCTCCTCGCTGATCTTTCCCTCGGCCGTGAAGAGGGTGCCCAGCCTCAGCTCGGGGATGGGCACACCATAGGCAAACCTCCCAAGAAAGATCCGCAACCGAAAGACATGGGTAAAAGGTCAAGGAAAACAAATTGAGAAGTGTTTGAGCACTTGTTCCGTTTTGGTCTTTTCGAACTTCAAGGCCTCATGTAATAAATTGTCCCCACTGACACAACAGGCCAAAGCCTTCTCCTTGCTTCTGCAGAACTCATTCATCGACGCATTCAGGTGCTCACCCAGAGAGGCCTGCATGTTTGCCTGCGGCGCCAACATCTCTGCAAGACAGGACCGAAGACGGGACCGAAGACGGGAAGACGGGACCGAAGACGGTCGACGAAGCTGGCGCCTCGGTCCTTGACAACCAGGCGTTAATGGAAGGGTCCTCGTTGATGTTCACCTCAGGGATCGCGAGGCATGTCGCTCTTCAAGGCCCCCCCCCCCAACGGCGCAGAAGCTATGCAGGCGCTATGCAGGAGCTATGCAGGAGCTCTGCAGGAGCTATGCAGGAGCTATGCAGGAGCTATGCAGGAGCTATGCAGAGCCATGGGCTGGTTTGATGAACTCCACCGTCTCTCCCTCGCGCGACTGCATTGCCTGGCCGTCCCAAAGCGTCAAGCATGTACTGGCCTCTGCCATGCATGTATGGGATGCGCGCACCCAAACTCCATCTGCTCTGAGTCTGCACCGTCTTTTGTTAGCAGCTCGCTGTCTGGCTCAGGGCCCTCAGAAAAGGCCCACTTCCTTCTTCTTTTGGGTTTTCTTCCAGGCTGGAAGCCTCTGGAACTCCTCCTGCTGCGCAACGAGACTGGCACCAGGCAGTGACGCTAAGCCTCCCCACGAAGCTCCGACAGAGTTGCGATTCCGAGTGTTTCCGAGTGTCCTTCGTGGATCCAAAGGCGCTCCGAAAGTCGTCGTCGCTCAGCATCTGCTCGCGGGTGCTCGCGTCTACTCCGTGCCTGAGTTCTGCGATTCTCTCGTCTCCTCTCTCCCTTCCTCTCTCAGTACTTAGTCCTCTTCCGCGCCGCTTTTCCGGAAGTTTACATCTGAAACAACAAAGTTCTGTCCGTCCACTGCAAGACAAAGCCAATGCCGACAAGCCACGCTTTCCACACCGCTGGGTCCTTCAGCTCCTGCCCAGTACGTGAGTCGCCGTTAATCCCCCATGTCAGTTTCTTCCTCAAAGTTCCCCTCGCATGGCACACAGACACACCAGGCATTACAAGGCCTTACAAGGCAATACAAGGCATTACAAGGCCAGGAAATGCTATGAGGTCTTTGCAAGCCTCCAGCTTCAGGAAGGCCTTTTGCATCGGGCTTTCCCCTGGCTGCGCCGTCTCCTGAACAGCCGATGGCTGGGGGGGATTCAGTACAAACAATGCGCTTGTGGGCGTGGAGAGAGCCCTGAGCCTGGTGTGCGCTTGTCGAGCGGCAGGGCCCGTCGTAGAGTTCTATTGGCTTGGGTGGGGGGGGGGACTCTGGCATCTCTGCGGCAGCGCCGGGAGCCCACACAGGGCCCTTCTAGAGCTTCCTCAGCACTCTCAGCACTCTCCAAACCACGTTCCGACGCTGGATTCGTCGGTCTTCGATGTGTCAGCTTGGCGCGTTTTTCCTGCGCGGCACACGTGTTGGTGTTCTGTGCGCGTCTTGCTTTCGTCCACTATTCTGTTGCATCCTCGCGTTGTGAGTGAGCATGGACAAACAGCCACCAGGCAGACCCCCCTCAACCTTCGCCTTTTCACGCAGCCCGACACAACCGAACCCGCCCAGCGGCTCACGCTGTGTTTGCTCGGCTAGCTCGAAATTCCAACCCTCGCCGATTGAGGGTGTGCTACTCACTGCTCACTCATGACGGCTTCATGCTCGGCCACCATTAGCACGCGGGCAGGCGCCTTCGACAGCTCCACCTTGGAGTCCGTGGGATCCTTGGCATAGCCACCGACCTTGAAGGTCCGTTCTCTTTTGCACGAGTGTGGAAGGCCAGAACCTCCGAGATTCTCCGAGCCTTCACGGCATCATCGCAGTGAGCATCGTGAGCATCGCCGCTCTGAGCGCACGAGCTGCACGTGTACCTGGAAACAAACTCAAGCGACTTTGTCATTGCATCCTGAAGGCAACCCGGAGCGCGCACCTTCCCTGTAGCAGGGAGCCAACCTGAAATGAAACCGGAGTCCGCAGTGCGATTTGATCGAGAAGTACCCCTTGCTTGTGGACATATGTCACCTCACCCGGTAAGAATATGCACCACCCCAAGTAAACGCTGCCTCACAAACAGATATACACGGAACCCTATGCATCAGCCAAGTAGAAGCTGAACACGCCGAAATCTCGCACATGTGACGGACGCCACGGTTTGCTTCGGTCTTTTCATGCATTTCTGCCATCAAAGTCAGGAATCCCCAAAGAGGCCGCACTTTCAATCAGCCATGTTCAGGTTGCCGGTGGAGTCCGTGGGATTCCGTGGTTACATGACTCTGCTCTGGACAAGACAGTGCGGCCGAAACGGATTTGACAAAGAAAAAGGTAGAGTCACAAAGAGGCGATGTTCCAGAGAACCACCAATTAGACGCGGACGGAAACAGCAAACTACAACTAGACGCTGGGCCATACAGCTTATTGGTCACGGTACTAAGAACATACAGACGTGCATGAAACCTGGTTTCAGCAAGTAAACGTGGAGGGATGCGTTTTCAAGAAAATTGCGCCGTGAGAGAAAGCTACCTACCCCTTGTAGAGCTCTCAGGAGCGGGGAGTCATTAACGTTACCTCGGCCCAACCTTCTGAGTACCATCCCCCAAACACCGCTGCGGGTTTCCACCCCTTCCCTTAAGGAAATCAACCTCGTGACAAACCTCCCCGGCCTCCGCACCTCAGAGCTCTCAGTCTCTTTAAAGCCTCTTTCACTCCACTCATCTGGCCTTGCTCCGTAGCAGCGTCACCGCATGCATCCGTTCATCTTCGGGAGCCTCGCACTTTGCAACGGAGGCAGGGCGGGTCCGAGCGCCTCTCCTCTTAGCCTAGCCGCCAGACCTCTGGGACGACGAAGTCTTAGTCGCAGCAAAATATATGAGAATACGTAGGAGAAGATACAGAAGTTATAGAAGGCTCAGCAGAAGGAGATGCTCTCAGCCTCTTCGGCTTTGCCGCATCGGCTGCACCTGAGACGCTTCTCAGAATCCTTTGCAGATAGTTTCAGACAGGACGCAATAGCAGCGTGACAAGTGGAAGAAACTAAAGAGTCGAGACATGTTGAACCACGAGGGGGACAGAAAGGAGAGAGCTCTCCCCCAGGGCGAGCGGGGGCGAGCGGGGCGAGCGGGGCGAACAGACGACGAAAGGAGGAGGCTGAGACTTCTCCGGCACGTGAGGCTAAGACTTGCTCTTCTACCAGAAAAAGTTCTTTCGGAGCAATACGCCGTTTATCCTCCTTCGTCTCCCACTTGTACAACCAGTGCTATGATGCATCCTGCAGTCCGACGCGGACCCGTACGTGCACGAATCTCGGGCCGCGGCCGAAAACACCTCCAGTGGAGGACACATCCATCCATCAACTGGCGCAACAGCAGTTGTAAGCAGCTGTGCAAAACTGTGGCCCCAAAAACAGGTTGCGGGCCTGAAAAGAACCAGAGAGTCTCAAAAGAAAGACCGGAGAAAGCGAGAGAGAGAGAGAGGGAGGGAGTGAGAACTGAGAGAGAGAGAGAGAGAGCCGAGCCTGGAAGGCATCGTCGGCGGAACCTTTGCCACCGCAGGCGCCGCCGCAGACGGCGCACGGCTTGGTGCCGGCCGTGCCTCTGCAACCAAGCTCTGGGGATGGGAGTCTTTCCTTTTGTGTGTGCGTGTGTGTCCCGGGGGAGGGGGAGAGCCCTTCAGCCTTTCTCTCTGCGAGAAGTGCTTCCAAAAAGAAAGAAAAAGAGAAAGAGAAAGAGAAAAGAGAAAGAGAAAGAGAGAGAAAGAGAGAGAACGAGAGAGATGGAGAGAGACAGAGAGAGGGAGCGCAACGCGGGCGAGATGCATGCTCACACAAATGTCCCCCTCGCACGCCTCCTTCCGGAGCTTCTTTGGCTTCCAGCTTGTCGGCGCAGCTTTCACAATAGTATGGACACTCCTCCGGTACTTGGCAGCAGCATTGCTTTTGCACAATCTGGCACGGTGTCAGGCTCAGGCGCGACCCTCTGCCCCCCCTCTGCCCCTCTGCCCGAGTATGCCCGAGTCCTGAAACTGGTACCTTCGCGCTTCCACGATCACGAAAGAAGTGAGAGCTTCACCGCACTCCGTGCACACGAAGCAGCGCTCGTGAAACCTGTGCACGAAGCTCCAAGGCGCCCTCGACACAGGAGCGGAAGAGCAACAGAAGCGGTCGTGTTGTGGCCTGTCTCTCTTGTCCGCGGCGATGCTCGTCTCATCCTGGAAGCACAGAGTCTACTGCAATCTCCCAGCGCTCGCGTGCGCGGCTCTCAAGGCGGTGTGCCTCACGGATGGGCTCCTTGCACCTGAAAGATCACAAAGAAAGTGGACACTTTGCTGAGAGAAAGGCGGAACGTCTCTCTCTCGCCCCCTCTTTTCTCAGGAGAGTCAGCGGAGGGCGACTCCCGAGGCCGCCACCCACGGCAAGTCGGGAGCTCCTCTGTGGAGAGAGATGGGGGAGAGACTACGTCCAAACGAGAGCCTTTGTCGCTCCTTGCCCGCTCTCTCCCGCTTGGATGCTTCGAGCACTCGAGGTTTTCAAGCAACCGGGGGGGGGCACCTTGCATTGGCGGCTTTGGGAGCTTCCGCGACTTTGGCAGGCGTTTTGCCGTGACAGCCGGGGCACCTGCACATGATCTTCTGAAGCAAAAAAAATGCGGCGCTGTGTGTGGGGATTCGGCGAGCGATCCTCGGACCGAGCACCCGAAGCCAAGGGAGCCTCAGTTCGCCGTCGACGCGGAAGAAGGAGGCGGCGATCGCTTCGCCGCACGAGCCACACCTCCCAAGAAAGAACGTAAAGAGAGAGGAGACTTGACAGTGCTGGTCAGCGGGATTGGAGTGGGGGGCCGAGAACATGTCAGTCGCCGCAGGCGCCTGAAGCAGCCGGGATGCCAGGACCGGCCTTCCGCACGCGTCTCCTGCGCTGCAGGGGCGCCCCTGGCAAGGCTTAATACCCTCCGCTAAGGCTTGGCAATACTTAAGACACCCCCCCCCCTCCTGCCCCCCACCCCGTGACAGCCCAAAACCCCTAGAACCCCTAGAAGTGGACGAGACCATGACAGCCCTAGAAGCGGACGAGACCGTGACAGCCCAAAACCCCGAGAAGGGACGAGACCGTGACAGCCCAAATCCCCTAGAAGCGGACGAGACCGTGACAGCCCCAAAACCCCTAGAAGCGGACGAGGCCGTGACAGCCCCAAAACCCCGAGAACCGCCCGAGACCGTGACAGCACAAAATCCCTAGAAGTGGACGAGACCATGACAGCCCTAGAAGCGGACGAGAGCGTGACAGCCCCAAAACCCCTAGAAGCGGACGAGACTGTGACAGCCCCAAACCCCTAGAAGCGGACGAGACCGTGACAGCCCAAAGCCCCTGGAAGCGGACGAGAATGTGACAGCCCAAAACCCCTAGAAGCGGACGAGACGTGACAGCTCAAAGGCCCTGGAAGAAGAAGACCGTGACGGCCCAAAACAACCCCTAGAAGCGGCCGAGACCGTGACAGCCCAAAATCCCTAGAAGCGGACGAGATCCTGACAGCCCAAAACCCTAGAAACGGACGAGACCGTGACGGTGCGCGGGCACAAGTGACCCGCGAGGACGCAGGCACAAGTGACCCAGGTGAGGTGGGCTCACAAGTGAGTATGCCCGAGGACAACCCAAAAAGAACACACACACACACACACCCACACAAACCACAGAACCCGAGAGGCTGCCCCTCTTGGCTCCCATATACCCCATATCACCCTGTAAGTCTTTTCGAGGCTCTCTCTTGGACTTACACGTGGGTCCTTGCCGTCGATCCTCTTGTGGCAAGCCTACAGGGGACATACTGAGAGAGACAGGAAGAGGAGAGACAGGAAGGAACGGGGAGAGACGGAAGGCCTGTAGGGATGAGAGAGAGACAGAGGAGGCAAACGGAGGAACCTGCAGGAGAGAGCACCCCCGCAAGGCATGAGGTGGATTGCAAAGAAGACCTCCAGGCCTCGCAGTAGGCGCAGGGATTGCAGCCCTCAGCGATGCCGCGGATCGTCACACAGAAGCCGATGGTACAAATGCACTCGGAACGCCAGCACAGAATGATGTTGTTTTCGCTCCGCTTGGTCCTCTTGTCTAGTTACTTAGCTCTTCTTCACTCTCCTTAGGCCCTTAGGCGCGATGCTCCACAAGGAAAACTCTTGCGTCTGCATCCCGTCACGATCTGTCCTTGAAACTTCCTTTGGTCCAATTCCTACTCAAAGTCGCTCTCTACATCCATTTCAAGGCTCGGGGGCCTCGCAAAGGCGCTGGCCGTCCTTGAGGTGGAAGCGCCCGGCCAACGGTGCCCGGCACCTGAAACGAGCAAGTGCAACTGGCAAACCCTGGATCTGCTCTCTCGCCTTCTGCTGTCGCCTTCTGCTGCCGGACTTGAGGGACACAAAGGACAACCCTCCAACTGTTCCTGAGCTCTGGACCAACTTCTCTCTTCTCTCTTTCTCTCTCGCTCTCTCCGAATGCCTGCCTGTCGCAACTGAAGCAGTCCGGGTGGTAGGAGCTGCCTTCCACGGAAACGCCCTGACCGGATTCAAGGAGAGCAGAGTGCGGCAACTCTCCGAGAGAACCCCCCCCGCCCCGAGAGAAGACCTTCCGAGACGTCTCCGAGCCTTGCCAACAATGGGCTTCAAGCACTTCGCGCACTTTGGGCGCTCGCCCATGGCGAGGGGATGCTCCGAGCTGGCTGGCTTGGGGGCGAGATGCCGCGTGTCTCTCTCTGCACGATGTCTTTGATGCCTATTTTTGGGAGGGACGTGGGAGCCTGAAGCTGCGCAGATTTGCACAAACAGCCCCTTCAGAGCCTTCACGAACGGGATGCCGCTTCAGATCAAGAATGACAAACGGCGCGCTCCAAGTCTGAGAGCCCCTGCCTTCACGAGCTCCGGGCTGCTGGGATCGGTACTGAGCTGCGACAGCCCGGCGAACATCTTCGCCTCTACCAAGAAAAGGGGGGCGGTGTGTCTCTTTCCGGAAGCCGCCGACGACAGAAATGTCCAAAACTGATGTTTCTTTGCGCGCGGGCTGATTCTTTTTGCTGCACACTGTGAATCTGCTTTGTCTCTCAACGTTCTTGGTCGTCTTTTTGGGGACCGGGCCAGGTGGCGGCTCACGGCCGCAACATCCTTCGAGTTGCCGATCATCTCCAGCAAATCCTCGGGCTCGCTGCCGGCTGCGGGGGAACTTGAAATGCCTCTCCCTTGACGCCTCTCCCCCTTCCGAATGCCTTCCCCGAGCCGTCCTCATCTCCGACAAAGTAGAAGCGTGCAAACTGCGAGCGCTGCTTCTCCAGGTAGTCGCCTTTTTTGTTCTCGTGTAGTTGTGAAAGAGAAAGGGAGAAGGAGGGAGAAAGAGGGAGAGAAAGAGTGAGATGGAGAGCAGAGAGAGAGAGACAAGACTCGGAGAGAGAGAGAGAGAAGGCAGGAGATGGCAAAAGCAGAAGGGGAAGCATGGGTCGGACACGGGGGGGGGGGGGTGTCTGTTCGTTCAACCGGCCTAGAGCCTTCTGGACCGCTGTGAGCATGTCCGACAGGCGGTCCAGCTGCTTCTGGACGCCCTCGATGCCGACGGCCTCCGATCTCACATCTTCAAACTTCAAAGCTGCACTTCGTCTCAAGCAATCACCTAACACTGCTCGTCCTGCTCTCTCTCTCGCTCTCGCTGCCCCGTGCCCCGCGGTGCTCGGTGCTCCAAGCTGCTCAAAGCGCCACTGAAGCCAAACTTGCATGGAGAGGAAAAGGCCCAGGAGAGCAAAGCAGATAGCAAAGCGAGGGCCCGAAGCCGGCATCTGTCGCATATGGCCCGCCCAGTCAAAAGAGAGCAAGAAAGAGAGAGTCCGAAGAGAGTTCAGAGAGAGCCGCCACAGGACAGCCCATCCCCCATCCCCCCCCCATCGCGTTCTCTGCCGCGTTCTCTGCCCTGCATCGTGGGCTCAATATTGGAGCTGGCAGACAGCTTCACAAGACAGGCGCCCCAAATTGTCAAACCCGAACGTCGTTGAAAGTCTCCGGACTCCAAGGCTCGAAACAGGCTCCACGAAAAACAATGTTGCAAAAATACCTCCAGATTCTGAGAACGCACGCCTATGCGAGAGCGCAACTCCTGAAAAAGGGGCCCCTAGGAATACGAACTGCAAGTTGACACTCTCCTCCTCCTCCTCCTCCTCCTCCTCCTCCTCCTCCTCCTCCTCCTCCTCCTCCTCCTCCTCCTCCTCCTCCTCTTCTTCTCCTGCACGCTTGAGGGGACACCCCGAAAGAGGTCCCCGGCCGCGACGGCCAAGCGGTTTGTCGGTCCGGTAAGCGGCCCCCGCTGTTCAGGAGCCCAGGCAAAAGAGGCTCGGCCACTCTCCTCTTCTTCTTCTTCTTCTTCTTCTTCTTCTTCTTCTTCTTCTTCTTCTTCTTCTTCTACGGGGCCTGAGGAAGGGTCTCCTCCTTCCCGCGCACTGGGCTCTCTCTCTCTCTCTCTCTGTCTTGCTCTCCACGCTTTGAAGCCCCCACAAAAGCGCCCGTGCAAAGCAAGCGAGGCGCGCGCCTCCAGGACCTGGGGAGTCAGAAGAAGTGCAACCAGAGCCGAGTGAACGGAAGCTCGCGTCGCGGGGCGCGGAAGCGGGAAGCGGGAATGCAACACCCGCAGCATCCGCAGACCCTAAGCTCTCGACCTTGGGTTTGGCCGCCACCTTCTTCATCAAACCCACAAACTCGGAGTCGATCGTCTTGAAGCCTGGGGGAAGAGACGGCTGCTGGCTCTTCATGCTGCTGGCACACGAAAACAAACCGGAAACCGGGGAAGCGCAGCTCCTGGGAGTCCCTCTGAGGGCGCCGGCGCGCAAACTCGTTGGGCAGAAGCTGCTGGATGTCCGCGCTGCTCCCGAAGATGCCCTCCAAGTAGACCCATCGCCTCTGCACGTCCATCCACAGGTCAAAGACGATGCGAATCTTGTTCAGCCTGTCCTCGGCTTCTTGAGCGCATTTGTGCGGTTCTAAGACTCTACGGTGCTTGCCCCTTGCTGCTGGGACAGCGCTGGGGCAGGCACATCCCAAGTGGCACCTTCATCTTCGAAGGACTTGTAGTACGGAGACATCTTCATTGACTGAATGCTCCTTGGCCCCCAAGATCCATGACATTCCATTACCGACCACAAAACTTCAACGCACGAACTGGACAACACCGCAGACACGGAGCAGCACAAGCAACTCGACAAAGTCATGATTTTTGGTTCTCCAAGAGGTCTTTGGATGTCACAATGGTCGGGCGCGGCAAACCAGCACAAGGGGAGCGCAACACGCGCAGACAGCTTATCCAAGCTGATCACTGCGAACGCCCAAAACAGGTGGGACGCAGGCAGAGCAAAGGAGCTCTCTGCCTTCCCCCCCTTCACTCCTTCACTCCTTCACTCAAACATCTTCTCTGCTTTTTGCTGAGAGGTGCTGGAGGTGCTCGTCCAGCTGGCTGAAGAGGTCATCCTGAGCAGAAAGTCCTCTCTGAGTCGCTCTACCTCTCTCTCTTTTTCTCTTTCTGTGGCTTTTCCCTCTTGGGTGGCTCTCCGCCGAGAGGCCCAGGAGCGGATGAGGCGGCACTTGCTCTTGTAGGGCACGAGCTCCAAACTGAGAAAGATGCTTCTCCAGCGGTTCTTTTTTCCTTCTCCCCCCGCTCGCCTCTCAGCCCCTCGGCTCGATCCTAGGGCCGCCACTCGTAGTTGCTCCACTTCTCCCGAACCTCCCACAGCACTCAATGCACGGCTTGCGGAACTTTTTGGGTCGCCTCTCTCTCCTTGAGTCAGTCCCTCTGAGGTCGCACCCCTCTCCAGGCCCCCCACCCCCCCATTGCGCCTCGGCCAGGAACTGTTCCAGGCCCATTTCGCCCTGAGCTCGCGCGAGCATCTCCTTGATGGCCGGCTGGTGCTTCTCGAGGTTGGAGTCCCACAGATGCCCCAGCCTTTACAGCACCAAAAAAAAACATGGGGTGCAAACAATGTGCGCAGCTGAGTCCAACACAGAAGTCGGAATGCCGCCAAGCAAAAGAACAAACACTGCACTAAGCCACGATGAGTACTCACCTGTAACTGCACTCACTGCTTTCTCTTTCTCGGGATCCCCGGCGTCAGCTCGTTGAAGCCGACGGACAGCTTTAGCATGTGAACCTCTGGCGGATGCTCCACGAAACTTCACCAGACGTCTGCAAAGCACCTCTCTCCGCAAGACACCTCCACGGCTCCCCGACAAACAGAGTCGCAGTCCGAGGGACGATCTGCTTCCAGTGACGCTCTTTGAGGGCATCGGTTTTCAGCTCCGCCACCACCTTCCGTAAGCTGGCAAAAGAAATGCGATGCGCCGGGGGGCTACTGTACTTCTTGCAAAAAAGGCCTTCTCAAAGTGTTCTCTCTTTGCTGATCTGCCCTCTGCTGCTCTGCCCTCTCTGACTTCTGCTCTCTCTGCTCACTCTCTCTCTCTCTCTCTCTCTCCCTCCCTCCCTCTGTCTGTCTCTCTCTCCTCTTCCCGCCTGGTTCAGCTTGATCTGTGCCTGAAGCTGCTCCTGGATGTGGTCGAAGGCCTCTTAAAAGGAGAAGGCAACAAAAGTAAACATATGAAGAAAAATCGACTTCTTCTCTGTAACTCAAATCCAAGAGGGAGGGAGGATGGTTCGAAAACTTCTCTTCTCTCTGCGCTGCTTTCGCTTCCTGTCTTCTCTCTTCAAAGCTTCGGCGGCCAATGGATGCGCCTCGTACTGCTGCAGCCGCCGGTCCATCTGCTTCATGTTCGACAGCAGGTCCTTTGCGCTTCGGTCCGGGAGATTCTGTGCGCTGCTTCTGCACAGAAGGCACTGTGCGCGCGCGCGCGCGCGCGGGAGAGAAGAGCTATCCGTCACGATGCTAGGAGATGACATCGAAACCTCTCAGATCGCACCTCCAAGGCATGCTTGATGCGCTTCGGCTCCACCGCCGTCCAGAGCGTCTCCTGCGATTCGCAAAGGGGGACCCCACAAAAGCCCAAGAGGAACAGGGGGAGCGCCAGTTGCCTTCAACGTCTCGACTCGGCTGTGCACCGTGTTGATCTCTGACCTTTTTGCGAGATGAGAACATAATATCCGAAAGTGCAGATCTGAGAGGAGGAGGAACCACGAACTCCGCCAGCAGGGGCCGTTGCCACACATCCTTCAAGTTCCCCATCTCCTCAATTGAGCGGGTGGCAATTTTGCTGCTCTCTTCTTCTCTCTCTTGCTCTCTCTTGCTCTGTCTCTTCTGCTTCTTGTTCTTCTTCTTATTATTCTTCTTATTCTTCTTTCTCTGTTTTTTCTTCTTCTTCTGCTTCCTCTTCTTCTTATTCGGGGCTTGAAAGGTGCACGCATGCACCCTCCGCGCACAAGGCGCGCCCAATCCATGTCAAGGTCGGGCTCTTTTCTCTCATGCGCTCTGAGCGAGTCAGTTGGTGAAAGACAGCCACCACTTGGTTGAGGATGCCCCCATATTCTCTCTCTCTCTCTCTCTCTCGCTCTCTCTTTCTTGCTCTCTTGCTCTCTTGCTCTCTCTCTCGTCCCTCTGCTCTCCTCCTGAAGCGGCGCCAGGGCTTCCACGTCGCCCACCTCAAGACAGAGCAAATGAGCAGAATCCAGGCGAAAAGGAGGCAGAGGAGGTTGGAGAAGAGGGCAGCCTGCGGTTGCAAGAATGGATGCGGAGAGAGAGAGAGAGAGTTAGAGAAAAACAAAAAGAGCGAGACAGAGAGAGAGAGAGAGAGAAAAAAAAAAGAGAGAGAGAGAGAGAGAGCAAGAGAGAGAGAGAGAGACAGAGAGAGAGAGAGGGGGGGGCCAGACGGACCGTTGATCCTTTCTTGCCCTGGCCTCCATCTGCAGGGACTTCTTCAACTGCACGAGCTGGCTGTGCTGCTCCCGGAGCATCAGCAGACGCTCCTGTTGTTGGAATCCAGGGGGGCCCCTGTTAAGCATCCAGAGGATGACAAAAGGTAAATCTCAGCTCGAGCTCGCCGAGCTCGCTGAGCCCGTGACATCAAAGTCCTTGATCACCTGCATGGCGGCAGTGGGCTTTAGCCCACCCTGCACTGGCTTCTGGCTGGACCTGGCCGCAGAGAAGCATCGGAAGCCTTCAGTGCTGCATCCCTTTTCGCAGCCGCTGTGGATCTTTCTGTTGCCCTTTGGCATGTGCATGCCAACTCATGCCAAGCATGACCACTCTGCATAGAGCTGAGTAATGTTCTCCTCCAATTGCTTGTCCTTCTGGACCAGCACCGATCGGAGCTTCGGCAGCTCGTGATCGAGGATCTGCCAAGCCGCTGCAAGCCGCTGCAAGCTGCCGCAAGCATCTTCACACCGTCGAACCGAGGACGCTGCCCGATTCCGGCGCGTGAGGATTTGCTCGAAGGCCTGGCAGAGGCCACGGAAAAGTAGAGCAGCGGAGCGAAAGGGCTAAGGGCTTGACAGTCACGGTTTTGGCAAAAGCATTCCCAACATCCCTCTCTGACGACAGCCATCTTCTGCGATGGCTGTCTTGTTGGCCCTGGCCTCCCATTCCCCTTCGACTTGCTCGATGTGCATCCAATCCTGGCGGAAGATGCTGAGAAGCTGCTGAGAAGCTGCTGAGAAGCTGCTGAGAAGCTGAGAGACGGGTGGTTTCCCATATTAGGGGCACCTCATGGGGGTCCGTATTGTAAGGGGATCTGGTTGGGGGTCTATATTGGAGGGTCCCCCGTTCTCGTAAAGCCACATAAACTGAGCATGTAGTTGGAGCCTCCGGGAACTGAAAGCGCTGCTTGACGAGAAGCTTCTGTGCCTGGCTCGCACTGGCCCCCAGATTCTTCTTTGTGTCTGTTGAACTCGATTTCGGCCTTCTGAAGCTCTTCAAACTGGGGGCCCCATTTCTCCGCACTGGTCTTCACCTGGGCCAAAGGCAACAACAAGGACCAAGGCACTTTCAGAAGGCACTGTTGGCACCCTGATTGCCTTCAGCACCGCCATGCACACCACCTCGGGCCGTCGACATGGGTCCTTCCTCCCCATCTGTACAATGCACATGCGCTGCACATGCGCTGCACATGCGCAGCACATTCGCAACACTGCGCGGCTGTGTCACCTCAACATGGGTAGAAGGGAGTTTTTCTTGCGTGGAGATGGGGCCCCCGGCCGTGAGGTCCCCGCTGCCGTCCACCGCCTCCAGCCGCTCCCGGCCCTGTGACACAAGGAGGCTGTCACAAAAAAGAACCCCCATTTTCGGGCGGAGAGGCGACCGAAGAAAGCAACAAAGGACACGAGATGAAGACGGAGAACAGGAGCAAGCAAGGGAGAGAGAGGGAGAGAGAAAGAGAGAGCGAGCGCTAGTTTCACCCACGCCCTTTCTTCTCTCGTCCGCTCTTCCGGCACCAGCCTGCCTGGTTGACCTGGCGGAAGAATTCGCCCATGGCCTCGCTGACCTGCGTAGAACGAATTGCAAGGAGAGCTTGGATTCATGCCGTCTGCGATCTTGTTGCAAGACGTTGCAAGCTTTCATCCTGGCTCTTGGCTCTTTGCCTTCTCGCCGAAGGAGTTTAGCAGGTCTCGGTGCCACTGGTCGTATTTGGCCTTGACCCTGGACTGGACCTGCCCCAGGCGACTGAGCGACTGCAGAGAAAGAAGCCAGTACTTCGAGGGGCCTTGCTGTAGTCCACCACAATCGGCCCAAAGTACTTCTCCTGGCACAACACGGATCCCGCCCCTCAACTCTCATGGGGGCCACCCCACCCCCGTGTGGGGAGACAACGTGGGGAGACCGTGGGAGACAATGTGGGGACACGCGCGGATGTTTCGGTGCCTGCTCGGAGCCTTCGAAGCGAGAGCTCAGGTACTGGATCTCCGTCAGCATGCCTCTCCCCAGAGACTTTGGGGTGAGTCATCGCCACAAAACGAGCTTTCCTTCCCCAAGAGTCCCCCCCCCTTCCGCCGAGGTGCTGTGCCATCGGCTGAGATCATCCTGAGGCAGAGAGCCCTTATTCGTAGGACGCGCGAAACGGCTGTCGCGACGGACGGCTGTCGCAGGCAGGCGCCCATGGAAGCACGCACCTACTTACCTCAAAAAAATAACAAGCGCAATGCTTTGCCGAATCCGGGGCTCCGGCGCCGAGTCGCGAGAGGACCTCCCATTCTCTGCTTTTCGGAGTTTCTTAAGCGCCAAACTGAGCCAGAGATTTTGCCATACTGCAAGTATCGGAAGAACTGTGATCCGCACAGCACTTGTGTTGATCTCCCAAAGCGACTGGTATTGCATCCAGCTTGAGACATAGCCCTGAAGCAACACTTGCGCAAGCACTTGCACAACTGGTCAGGCCCTTCAAGCAGAAGCCCCTTCGCGGGCATTCGCTCCTGCATGTCCTCCACGGTGCTGCTGACCTTTATCACACGTCCCACGTGTGTCTATGCATGACGGCCACATGGTGACGCCGTTTTTCCACATGTTTACACGTGTTTACACATGTTTACCATAAGCATGTTTGCACATCTGAGTCCTTGCCAGGCCAAGACACATGGTCGTAGACTTCGACGAGGGTCTTCTGATCCAGCAGCGCCTCACACATGAACGAATTGGAACGAATTGAACGAAAAGAAGTTCATCGAAGTGCATGATAACAGCCCACACACACACATGGACAGCACACGCAGACACAGATGCAGACGCAGACGCAGACACGGACGCACCCGCACACACAAAACAAAAACAAAAAAACAAACATTGGGCATGCCCTGAGGCGCGGCAAAGGAAACTCGGAGCCCAGCGATGAGGCTGCGATGTGTGGCTGCGGACTCCTTTCCCCCGCGCCTTGACGTTTCGACAAAAGGGGGGGTTGGGCAGCCGACGATAAGAGAAGGATGGAGAGAACGGGAGAGCGAGACTCATCCTTCTCCTCTCTCTGTCTTCTTCTTCTTCTTCTTCTTCTTCTTCTTCTTCTTCTTCTTCTTCTTCTTCTTCTTCTTCTTCTTCTTCTTCTTCTTCTTCTTCTTCTTCTTCTTCTTCTTCTTCTTCGTCTTCTTCTTCTTCTTCTTCTTCTTCTTCTTCTTCTTCTTCTTCTTCTTCTTCTTCTTCTTCTTCTTCTTCTTCTTCTTCTTCTTCTTCTTCTTCTTCTTCTTCTTCTTCTTCTTCTTCTACAGGGCTTGAAGGACCAGGGGCCCTGCGCGCGCACGGGGGCGCCCAGTCCACTCAGTCCGCCGTTTGGAGTGAAAATGCCCGTCTCTCTCTCTCTCTCTCTCTCTCCCCCTCGAGATGTGTAGAAGAAGAGGAGAAGAGAGAGAAGAGCGAGAGAGAGGGAGAAGAAAAAAGGAGAGAGAGAGAGAGAGAGGCCAAAAGAACAAGGAGGAGGGGAATTGTCTCTTTCTCTCTTCCTCTCATCTGATGCTTTGCGGTGGGGCGGCTTGAGGGCGTCGAAGCGGGCCGCTTGGAGCAGAGGCAAGTTGCAGACCATGCCAAGGCCTCAGCTGAAAAGAGCACCCATTGAATTCATACTGCATTCATGTTGCACCAATTTGAATCCAACTCACTTCTGGAATTTTCCCAAAAAAAAGGATAGATGCTCTCGTGACTCTCGCGTGGTCTCTCTTCTCTTTCCCTACTCTCTCCCCTCTTTTTTGTTGCCGCCGAGGCTGCAGTCGTGGTAGTGCTTGACCCAGTGCGTCATGGCGAACTCCTTCTGCGGTTCCAGAACCTCCCAAAGGAATATATGAGGCCCCCCGCGAGTGCAAAAGAGAGAGCACTCTTGGGAGCCGGCCAGTCGCACTCCGGAGTGGGAGGTCCTTGAAGGGAGAAAGGCGAGACAAAAAGCAACTGAGGGGAGCTTGCAAGACAGGAGAGGGCTCTTTGGTTGGCTTTCTTCTTGTGAGAGTGTGAGAGATTGCGAGAGAACACCCTGGGTCTCTTCCATCTCTCTTCCCTCTTTTCGCCGAGCGTCTGCATGTGGAGCTCCAGCACCGCCAGCTGGACCGCCGCCTCCTTCCAGACGAAAGCTCTTTGGGCAGAGAGGTGCTCTCACTAGATGGCTAGATGGGAAGGGGAGATGGGGGAAAAGAGATCTGCCAGAAGCTTTCTCGTACATTTTGGAGGCGAGAGGGGGAAGGGGCGCGAGAGAGGAGAGCGAGGAGAGCGAGGAGAGCCAGGGCGTCCGAAGGAGTTGGTTTTGGGGGGGCGCGTCCCCCGCAGTCTCCTGTATCAGGTTGTTGCCGTTCAGCGGCCTCTCGGACTCGCTTTCTCAAAACGAAGTTAAGGGGGGAGAAAAGAGGAGGGGAGAAAACCCTGCGGCCACTGAACCAGTGGCCCCTCTGAGCTCCCGGGCCACTTCTTGAACTCCTGCAGCCACTGGGCGCTGGTGGCCGCCAGGAGCTTCACGAGCCTCCCGACTCCGATTTTCTCTCTTTCTTTCTTTCTTTCTTTCTTTCTTTCTTTCTTTCTTTCTTTCTTTCTTTCTTTCTCTCTCTCTCTCTCTCTCTCTCTCTCTTCTGGTGCACGTGCTTTCTTCATGCTTCCCTCATGGTGGCCCCCTCATATCTTTCCGCTTCCTCCGCTCTGAGAGCCCGGGCCTCTGCTCGATCTGCTTGTTGAGGCCATGTACCCAAGCATCCATGTTGGAGAAGCTTGCCAAGTTCATGTCCTCAGCTTCAGCTGAGCCTTCCTTTATGAAGGCCCCTCCCCCCGCCCCCCCCGTGTCTGTGTGAAAGTCATGGCAGTCGTGGGCAGTGAAAAGTCAGAAAAATGGTGAAAAAGACAGCGAATTCCTCAGAAAGGTTCGTCCACCATCTTCTGCATCTTCTCGAACTTGGCCAGGAGCAGCTCGTGGTTGTTGGCCTCTTGCCTCATCCAAAGCGCGGAAAGAATACACCATTCTTCATTCATGATCTAGGGCCTTCTCTCTGTTCAACTGTTCAACGAAGTTGTTGCGGAGGTGCCACTCCCCCGCCTCACGTTCACGTCGTCCAAGCTCTCGATGGTGCGGGACATCTGCTCAGCCATTGATTCGAGCTCGGTGAACCTCTGAGGACCATCTTCCGGGGTCGCTTTGTGTCGCTTCCGAAAGCTGCACAAAGACGTGTTGAAACCCAGCGATGAGGGAATGCCATTGGAGGCGTGACTGAGACTGGAGCTTCTGCTGAAACTGGAAGACGCTTTCAGAGAGCTTTTGGGTGTAGCTCTCGATCCTGAGATACTGCACACAGGTATGCCGAGACGGTCTGAGGAGCTTTGCCGAAAAAAAAGTGGCCTCTGGTTGCCCTGCAGCCTACATGAATCCTACACGAATCCATGTCACACCCTTGGCAAACTCACGAACACTGATCACGGGCCATGCTCCTCCGCGAATACTACAACAGGAAAGCTGAGGCAACAGCAGTAGAAGAATAACAGCCATTGGGACACACTCATGCATGTGCGACATCTTCGGCACTGTACCAAAGAGCTGGCTGGCACCTGCTTCATTGACTGGAGCCCGTCTGCCGAGCATCTTCTGATCATCCCACTTCAGGTGAAGCCCATCGGCGATCAAGTCCTCTCTCAGCAGCCACGTGACCAAGTCAAACCTCAAAGTGACTTCCAAGCAAGTCGACGGCTCCTGCACGCCCTTCTGGAATGAGGCCATCAACGGCGCCAAGTCCTAGCAGACAGCAAGAGACCGATCTAACAAAACAAAAAGACATAAAAGAAAAAGCCGAACAAACAACAAGAGAACGCATTTGAACGCAAAAACCTGACGATCACTTCTCAGATGCGGACGGCTTTGATCTGCGCACAGGTCTGCATGTACGTTCGGGCAGCCTGTGGGTGGCCAAAAGAATGAACCACGAAAAATCTCTCTTTCAGCCCTTTTTCAGCCCTCTTTCAGCCCTCTTTCAGCCCTCTTTCAGCCCTCTTCAGACTTCTTTCATGCTCCCTTCTTGGGCTCACCATTGCCTCCTGAAGCGTCATGGCAAACGGGTAGTTTTGCTTCGCCTCGTCGGAGTTGACCTAAGTCAGAGACATCTCTGATTCTGAAATTCTCAGATTGTTCAATTCATTCTCTGACTCTCTCACTGATTGCATTTGTGTGCATCTCGCACCTTGATCGCGTAAGGGACCCGATAGTCGCCCAGAGCCTGCAAGTTCCGCACCTGCAAGAACATATGATAAAAGGCATGCAAGCGTCGGCATCTGAGATCCCGCTACAAAAAGGGGACCTCCTTGAAGAGGGTGATGATCTGCTCGTCAAAGTTCACCAATAACAGGTACGTCCTGAGGATGGGCACTGCGAATTTCTGGTCGTCAAGTTTGGCTTTCCCCTGCGAAGCCATGGCCACTGCAGAGACATGCTGAGTGCACCACTGATAGCCTTGTTGGATGTCGAAGATTCGCATACTGACATCAAACTTCTTGGAGTCCTGCGCGTTTTTTGCCATGCTACGCGAGGAGAAGCCTCTGTCAGAGATCTCTCCCAAAAAAAACCAAGAGAGAGGCCTTGGTGTCTGCCAGCCACTCGTCGAAGATGTGGCTCGTCTTCATCCTGGGCTGTTGAGGCTTCGTCTATTGGCGTTTTGCGGCAGGCTCCCCTCCTTACGTTGGAGAGCCTCTCATGCTCAGAGAGCTCCTCCTCTGAGGGCTTCCTTTCGTGTATGTCCTTCCTTTGCTGTGAGAGCGCTCCGAGCGTCTTCTTGGCGAAAGCATCGCCCTCCTGCTTCAGGTTCTTGCCGTCCACGTGGTTCTCCCATCCTTTGCCCAGCACATCCTCCGGCCAGGATGCAAAACTATAGACATGGCTTATGCTTTCGTATGCTTTCGTGGGCTTTCGCGCGCTTCCTGCAGACCTGACAGACGCACCTGTTGACCGTCAAACATGTTGGCTCAACATGTTCCGAGAACAGAAAGATTGTGTTTGGGGCGCGGTCCGCTGCACGATTCAAGGGGCTTGATGCGACTATATGCGAAGGAGTGCAGGGTGAGAATGTGCCCTCTCTCAGAGCGGGGGCTGAACGGTGGCCCAAGAGTCCTCGACACGGCTCATGTAGATGGCCAGACGTCGCTCCAGCTGCCTCTTAAATAGCAACTCTGCGGAACTCCGGGCCACCGCGCCGGTGCGCTCTTAGCGCGCTCTCAGTGCGCTCTCGGCCTGGCCCAGACAATGAGCCCAGCCGTTGGCGGAATGCCGCGGATCGCAGTCAGCTTGCAAGCCTCCAAGTGCTCAAGAAAAAAAAGGGCTCAGATGCAGCTGCAGTTGCAGAATCTTCCCCCCCCAGAATCTTCAGCGCCTGGGTGCCCTCGTAGGTCTCTTTAAACTTCTCCTGTAAGCGATGCACGTCATCCTTCACCTGCGAGAGAGAGAGAGAGAGAGAGAGAGAGAGAGAGAGAGACAGGGGAAGAGAGACCGAGAGAGAGCGAGCTCTCACAATGGGCACTTGGAAAACTTGAAGGTCCAAGCCTGCTGGATCAGGGAAGACTGGTACTCCTGCAAGTTGCAAAAAGGGCTGTCCCAGTCGCTTCAGCGGGTTGCAAAAAACCGATGTGGAACCCTGCAAAAGGGGGTGTGTACACAACATCTGCTGTCTCATGTCTTATATGTTGTCTGTTTTGTCGAGTCACCTGAATGGCCCTGCGGATCCGGGGTCGGACAAAGAGCGCGTTGAAGCGGCTGAAGACGCGGAACATCTCCTCGAAAGAGGCGCTTCTGACGGAGAAAAAGGGCCGAAAGGGGAGCCTGCAACCCCGAAAGGAAAGCCCCCAAGCTGTTCCGAAGCAAAAAAAAGGGGGGGATCTTCATGCTTGCTTGGCTTGAAAGCGTGAAGGGAACTGTTTCCCGAAATGCAGTTCGCAACTGGCCAAGCGGCCGTGGCGGTTTTGGCGGCGCCGAGCTTGTCGCGGAGCCTCGCAGTGATCTCGCTCTCCGCGTGGTCAATACCTGAGCCACGGCCCGTCTCCCTGCTCCCAAGTTTCCTCCCACGCTTCTCTTTCTTGGGGCCTCCGTCTCTCCATCCCTCCATCTCCCCATCTCCCCATCTCCCCATCTCCCCATCTCTCCATCTCTCTCTAGCCCTCCCTCTCTCTCTCTAGCCCTCTCTCTCTCTCCAAGTTGAGTCCAGCAGCGCTCGTCGTAGCGGCGCTGCGTGCTCTCCCACTCCTCAGACATGAGCTTCGCTCAATCTCACACTTGTGTCCCCACAGAGCAGGTTTGCAGCACTGGTCCAAAACTGGCCTGTTGACCCCTGCGGCTCACGTCCAAGACGTCCACCTGTTCGAAGAGCCCCCCTAACTTTTGAGCTTCTGGACCCCCCAAGCTGCACAACAGATGCAGACGTAGAAGACGTCCTGCTCCACAAGCTGGTAGGCCGCCGCCACTTCCGCCTCTCGGGCATGTGGTGCACACCGTTCTCTGGCTCTGGCCCACGCTTTTTCGTGGGGGGAAGGCCTCCGCATGTAGCAATTCTATCTTCATTCCTTCTTTTTCCCTGTTTACTTCTCTTCAAGTCTCTTCTCTGCTTTATCTGCTTCTGCTTCTTGATCGGCGCCTTGGCTCCTGTCTCCTTGCCGTCCACGAGCACCCGCTCGATGATCTCCTGCAGCTTCATGTGATGCCTTGGCGGAGCTGTGCGTGGTGCTCAGGAAGAGGGTGAGGGCATGTGAGGGCATGTGAGGAGCACTTACAGGAGCAGAGGGGAATTGAAGAAAAGGAGAATGGGAGAGGAGAAGTTAGCAACGAGAAAGAAGGTAGATAATGAATTGCACCGAAGGAGAAACGAATCGGACTCGCCCGCTGAGGCCTCCGGAACTTCTGCAGCTCCTCGATCCGCGCCTCGAAACCACCCCAGAAACCACCCGAGAAACCGTCCCCGAGAGCCTTACACGTTCCCCTTCCAACGGTCCCCGAAAAACAGTCCGAAGAGGCACAACTTCTTGAGAGGGCAAACAGGGCGTCCAGCCTGGAGCTGCTCGTGCTCACCTCAGGCAGCTTCACAGCACTTCACACAGCACTTCACACAGCACCTCAAAGCACGTCAAAGCACGTGAAGCCACTTCAAAGCACTTCAAAGCACTTCAAAGCACTTCAAAGCACTTTGAAAGCACGTCAAAAGCACTTCAAAGCACTTCAGCAGTGACATTGGGAAGCCAATCGTCGGAGCCGAGGCGCAGTTGATCTTCACCGTCGGCCGCTCGTTGCCTCCTCGTTCCATCAAAAAGAGAGAGAGAGAGAGAGAGAGAGAGAGTGTGAGAGAGAGAGAGAGAGCGACAGAGAGAGACAGCGAGAACGATTGATACAATGAGAGCAACCCAACACACCCCTTCATGGAGTGTGCTCTTATTCTTCTACGTGGCTTGAGAGGCGCACGCACCCCCCGCGCACTGGGCGCGCCCAGATGATCTCAGAGTCCGAGTGAGACTGCACGCCGGAGACTGGAGATTTTCCGCACAGATGGACGACGCCCCCGTTGCGAGAAGAACGTACTCAACACAGCCCTGCAACCCATCTGGAGTGTGCTCTCTCTCCCTCTCTCTCTGCAGCGTGCGCGCTCCCGGATGCGGCACACGAGAAGCCGCGGGGGACCCCGTGCAGAAGAAAAGAAAGAAACAAACCCCTGCTATTTCGAAAAGACTCAGAACAGTTGGCAAAGATGCGCCTCACAAAGGAAACGGCTGAAAACACATGGACGTTTCACCGTTTCAACATTGCCGGGCTGCAAAGAATGCAAGAGAACGAAAGAGAACGAGTGATCGCACCGCCCGAAGGCAAGCGGGACTTAGCAAGGTTCGCTCGGGCGGCAACGCTCGTAACACGGGAGAGCACAAGGTTCTGAACTGCTCTGAATATCCACCAGCTTTTCTGGAAGTCAAAGTCCAGCGTTCGGATTGGAACGCAACCGAAGGAAGTGAAGAAGCCCGGGCAGGCATGTGACGAAAGGGTAAGTCTCAGAAAGCCAAAGCACCTGTGTCAAGAGTATCAAGAGGAGGGTGACGAGAGCAATGGAGAGCAGATCAGTTTGGCCCCCGTGGAAACTCTGTGACTCGCTTGGGGCAGCGGCGCTTCTTGAGCTGCTCCCGGACCAGCTGCCGAAACTGCCCGACCTGAACTTCGAGAAAACTCTCGGAAACGGCGCGACTGGGAGCAATGGTGCACACGACAAATTTCCCAATCCCCCCCCCCTCCCCGCGTCCCTGGTCCCTGGTTCGCTTCACATGCCTCGTCTTTCCAGACCCGGAAAAGCTCTTGGCAATTGGACATGTTCTGGCTGAACATCTCTGCATCCTGCGGGCAAGATATTCATGTCCTTCTTTAACAGTAGCCATACTCCATGCCCGTTGTCAGTCTCTCTCGCGCTTCGAAATTTGAGGACTTCATCCAACGTGAACCGGTCCCGGAGCGTCCCGGAGGGTCCCGTGCCGCTAAACCGTCCTGCTGCATGAGACGCTGCGTGGACAAGATCTTCAGCAGACGATCCTCGACCCACACACCAACTGAAGAATTAACAACTTAGTACTTGAGGTGCTTAGAAACAACATAAATGGGGAAAACAAGGGCATGCTGCATGCTCTTCTCAGGGTCTGACAGAGAGGTCTCGGCTCACCGCTTCCACGAGATTGTAGGCCCTCCAAAGCGGGTACCTCCAAAGTACAGCACCACAAGTGGCGGTGCGCTAGGGGTACCCGGGTACCCCCCCTCCGAAGGGAAGTGGGTTGAGAGCGGCACTTCGGAAGGTAACAGATGCGACAGCAACAGGGCAGAGAAGACATCACATGAAGGGCGCTGAACGGCATTTCTGATTCGCTTCAGGTGGTTGAAGATCGTTCGCACTGCCTCTGGCACGACTCAGGAAGCTCAAGGGGTTCACCAAATCATCCAAGATTCCAGTGGAATCCCGCCTGTGTCAGCTGCTCAATGGTGGATGCCTCGCATGAACCCACAAAGAAGCACAAGACACCTTTCGAGGTCTCGCCAAGCAGTGCTTGCAGCTCTTGCCGTTTCGTGCCGTCTCTCTTCTTGCTCAAACGAGCAGCCACAAGCAGCTCGTTGATGGGGAAGTCCCGAAGCCTGAGTGGACAGGAGGGCGACAAAGCAAAAAAGAAGAGAAGGGGAAAAGGGGGGGAGTGCACAAGAAGGTGGCCAGCAAAAGCTCATAAAGCTCATAATTCTGGGGAGAGGACAGGCTCAAGTAGTTGGAGACTTTCTCGATGGCAGGCTTCAGGCCCGTGTCTGCCTCGAAGGACCTTGCCATATGACAACTTTCTCTTCTCGAGATCTGCCAGAGAAGCCACACATGGAAGGTGCCGTCGCGCTCATGCCGTCATTCGTCCCACCATTCGTTCCGCCATTCGTGCTGCCACATGCGGAGAGTAACAAGGCTGCATAAGGCTGCCGCATGGTTGCCAGGAATCGTCTTGCCCCCTGCAGCTGAGAGAATTCCCTCGTTAGATAGAGCCAATTCACTTCAAGAAAGAAAGAAGAAAGAAAGCAAGCAAGCAAGCAAGAAAGAGTGAGAGAGTGAGAGAGAAAGAGGGAGAGTGCGGGAGGGAGTGGGTCTGCGGCGCGAGCCCGGAGGAGGTTCAGCGTTAGCTGGATCTCCGGAGTCTGCAACTGCTGCTGCGCGTCGTTCAGGACCTCCCAGAGGGCGAGTCTCTCTACATATGAGGGCAGAGCAGACACAGAGAGAGTGAGAGAGGGGTGAGAGACAAAGAGAAGGAGAGTGAGGGGGGTCGAATCTCCGTTTGTTGAGTGTGCCAAGTAGACATGAGGCATACCCTCAGAGTGGGAGCAGAAGTGGTGGTAGACTGGGTCACTGCGTTGATTGTTTGGGCAATTTTTGTTGGCATCCTCTGCTCATGCAACTGCTTTGTGGCAATGTGGATCCGAGACTGACATCTGCACCTTCTCCATGCCCAGCCAGAAGTTGATCTCCTGCATCGTGCTTCCTGTTGAGGAATCCCGCTGCATCTTGGCAACCCGCTGTATTTCCTGGCAAATCGAAACCAAGGCCCACAGGAAACGCTTCAGCTGCTTCAGAGAATCAATCCGAACAACCCACTGCACATGTCAACACTCGTCCAACGCTCTTGTCCTTGCTCCATTTGTTCACGCCACCTGGGAAAAAGCTCGGCAACGCGCACAGCAACGCACAAGAACCAACAGGACGGGATAAACAAGACATGGCCGGCTTTGTAGCTGATTCTGGAAGGTGGAATCATTCATGCGATCCTCTCAGACACGAGTCAACAGCTACCAGCTTGTGTGGGAGCTTAACAGCTGAGATCTCAGACACGATGAGTCTACGAAACAAACATCGACTGCATCTTTCCTTGAAGTCGTCGGTGCTCAGCTGTCTTCCTTCAGCTTTGGCCTTTTCAAAGGCCTCGACGTAAGGTCAAAGATGCTTTTTTTGTTTGAGCATGAGATGCATGGGATCCTCAAGTATCGTAACGTGCTAGCAGGCGAAATTGGTCGCACCAGCAGCCCTGCCTTTAGAGATTGGTGGAGTAACCGACTAAACTTACATGTTGTGCCAGTCCATGGTTTACCAGAGTATTGCCCTGCTTTCAATAGCCCAGTGTGGAAGTGCAGGAGCCTCAGCGATCTCTGGATCAATCGGCAGAGAGATATTCTCAATATCAACATTCTGCTGACACTGCCTCGGAGGACGTGCGCTCAATTGAGCCTTCGCAAGGCTGCGAAGCGAGAGGTTGCTGAGGCCCGAGCATGAGTGCCATGCTCAAGTCCATAATCTTGCGCATGACGTTTGGAACACCTACCTGCATTCGTTGAGATCTCTGGCATGGAACTGGGCGCTCAACTAGAGCTGGGCTCTTTATGGGGCATGTTGGGCTTTAATGGACATCCGCTCTTTCGCGCCGATTCGAAAATCTCGCGCCTTGATCTCCTCCCGGTCCTCGTCGCCGACGCTTTTGTTGGCACTCTCGGACCTTCTCCAAACTTTGTTCCATATTTGGCTCACAATATGCCGGTGTGTGCCAAACGTAAGCATCGTAAGCCAAAGCACTGCTTGGCCACCGCGTTGAAGAGCGGAACGAAGCCATTTTGGAGGTAAAGGTGAACAAGCTCGAAGGGAGACCACCTAGACGGCACTACACAGTTGCGTGGTCGCATGATGGCGCGAAAGGACAGGGAGCAGGGAGTAAGGTGCGTGCTCTGACTCGGCCCCCATGGTAATCAACCTGGCATGATGTGTCATACGACGTTTTGGGTCAACGTTGAAGCCGGTGGAGGCCGTGGCTTCGAACACGAAAACTCCGAAACCGCTCTTCGAACACCACACAGAAACTAAGTCCCGTGCTGCAGGTGCGATGCAAAGTTGCCGTTCGAAGGAACAGCGCCTCTTGTGAATTCAATGACCAAAATTTGCAAAGAAGGGAACGAAGGGCGAGCTTCTCCCGGCCTTCTTCAAGAGTGCCTTCATAAGCGGCTCGAAACGTCGCCGGACTCCGCTTCAATAAAGCCACCGCCTCACGCAAAAGCCATGGCTGCACTTCTGGAGCCACTGGGGCCACCAAATGCCCAGAAGATGAAGTGATCTGATAAGCTCGCAACACAGGCTTGTCTGCAGAAGACCACTTCATTCTCCGTGATAATACTGTACTCCTTCTCCTCAGGAAAGGGTGATGGTGGAATGCTCGGGATTGCTCTCTGCTTATGGGCACACCTCTGAAGCCTTGCCGTCTTCTTTCTTGCTATCATCCTTGTCCACCTGCAATGCATTCTTGTCAGACATGGCATGGTTGCCATAGCGACGCATGGGGAAACAAGACACAAACTGATGAAGAAGCTAGGAGACGCACCAATTCGCGAGCAATGAAGAAGGTTGTGTCTTGGTCATCGTAGATGAAGTGACGCACCTTGTTCATCATCTCCAAACTGGCAAAATGCTTCGAAATCTCATCCTGCAAGCCGACGTCATGCCAAGCGAACACGCATCTTCGCTCCGCCCCGGCCCCCGAGCCCCCCGAGCCCCCCGAGCCCCCGTGCCCCCGCGCCTTGGGCGCCCCAAGAACTGCTGGGCAAACATTGTTCAAGAACTCAATGAAAGGGCCGGGATTGATCTTGCTGTGCTCACCCATGGCAGGGTTTCGATGCCTCAAGCCTCAAGGCATGCTGCCACTTTGGGCCGCAAGATAAATACAAAGCAAGACTTACCAGAAACATACAGAAACAACATGCGCAGTAGCACCATTGCAACACCAGTAACTACAATCTACGATGCGTGCCCGATATGTCAGGCTGAGATCTTTTATTGTAAGCAGGCCCTAGGTAAGTCGACTTCAAGAGGCTTCGGGAAAGTACAGGCTTGGCCGCCCGTATCGCTGTTGTCTGTGTCAAAACGCGCTCCCTAGACTCTACCAATCTGCGAAAGCATGCGAATCCATGAAGTTCTGTTCGGTGCCATATGCAAATAGATGCTGCTTGGAACCGACGGAGGCGGCTGCGCAGCGTCATCACACAAAAACTATGTATGACTGGGGGGGAACGTCTGTGGACTGGAAGCAGCCGAATCCCTTAAAAAACATCAGGGCTTGCCAGAAACGCGAACCGGGCGATCCAGAAGTGCTGTCCCAACAAAGTGAATCGACAAGAGAGATTGAATGCATCCTGTACTCCTGTACTAAAACGAAGAGAGCCAAATACCGGGTGTTGGTGCTCAAACCCATGCTTCAAAACCCTCAGCAACATGAGCACTGCGGGGTGAGGATCAGGAGCATTAGCGAGCGTCAGTGAGCATCAGAGGGATCGGGGTTGGGGCCTTTTAAGAAGAACCACGGCATGCCTGTGCTATTGTTGCTCTCAAACCGGCAAATGTTTCAAAGCCGGCGCAGATACCTCAAGAAATGATAGTGTGAAGCATTCGATCACAAACCATGTCCCCCCCCCCTTCGTTTATCGCCAAAAATCAATGCCTAATCAAATAGTGTTTCACTGATTTTATCTTCCCGATAGGCGTGCCTGAGTCGATAGAAGCTATGGTGTTTCGGGTGGTTTAGGGCCTTTTTTTGGTAGCGAGCCCCTCTATGCGTCATTAATTCAGTGGGCGGTCTTTGCGAAGAGCAAAATAGCGACTCAGAGCTCCGGGAACCAGGAGAAGCACAACAAACACAACAAAGCAGAACACAGACAACCAGCAGCTCGTTGTCGCAGCGGCCAGTTTGAGAAGGTAGCTACGCAATTGGATGGTTTAGGGCTTGGGGTCAGTAGATGAGAAGTGCTGATGAGATGGGAGCATCAAAAGGTATCGCGCAACACACAGTATGGCGGAAATTTCAGGCGGCAGTCTGAGCGAGGTGCTGAAAGAGATGTTCACCGGATGCCCAACAATGTCCTTGACCCCTGCAGCCTGCTGAGAGATTCTGCCTGCGCAGGGCGGGATTGGCTTAATGCCAGCATTGCTCCCACGGTCTCGAGGACTGTAGCATCAGACGCTGCCACAACCCCATCGGCGATTCTCTCAGAAAGACTTGACATTGCTAATGTCTTCAGATGACCACCACAGCCTGCGTCGCCGCCTCTGCGCAATATACAAACGTGGGAAAGGGAGACAAACAAAATCAACAAGCTTGCACGGTTGCTTTGTGGATTCTTTTGCAGTCGATCGAATCACATTGATCAACAGCTTTTGCCCAGGCAGGCAAGACCGGCAAGACCCCGCAGCCAGGCACAAAACAACAATGCCCTCAAAACTCAGCACAAACCATCATTTGCAATCACTTCAGCTTGTCCATCCTCTCGACATTCATCAAGCAGGGAAGCAATTTCCACTGAGAGGATGGATCACAATCATCATCAGTGATTGCAAGGTGTTCTGAAGACTGTATACCTAAAGAGAGTGCCTGATCCCTCACTCGCACCCTTCCCTACTTCTGAGGGCGGCGCGAGGACGGAACAGCACAAGGGAAGCGCAACTGTGCGACACGTGCGGACAAGCTCATCGGCATGCCGTGGCACATGCCAGCGCGTGCCTGCCCTTGGCGAAACTTAAGCAAGGCAACATCTCCGGCTTCCGTACTTGTGAGGGTCCTTCTATTTTTTCCTTTGTGTTGAGTTGAGTCCATACCTGTCCACTCACCATGGAGACGACGCAAACAAGTTGATCAAAACATGGCCAACCGTGCTTGGAGTGCAAAGACGGCTGCAGAGGCCCCTTAAGTGCCCTAATATGGTTATAAGCACAGTTTCTAAGTGCAATAAAACCTAAACTCAAAGCACCACTGTAAACCCCAAACCCCAAGCCCTAAACTCTAAACTTAACTGCTAAAACGCAGGAATCCCAGCAAGTGAGGTTAGTGGAGTGTTTCTTTTTTGAGTTGGTCGCCTCTTTACTGCGTCAGCAGCCCAGTAGGCCAGTCTTGTGTGGACAACACTCAAGGTGAAACAGACATCGACTTAAAGAGTCAAACTGTACAAGCCAGCAAGCATAAAAGAAGTCGTGACAAAGAAGCAACCGCTAGCGCGGCTCTTATTGCAAGACAATTGAATGCAAGGCCAACACGGTGAGACCAATGCAAACAAGAACCTACCGGCACCAATCACTTGACTCAAGCAATGCTGCGACGTCTGGCACAGACGCGTCCGTAGAAACAGTTTCCACACAAGTACCAGAGCCGTAGCAAGGGCAGAGCACTTAGTACACCCTTTCAGATTAACAAGAAAGTTGCAAGCACAGGTACGAATGCGCGGTGCAGGTGTGGCTGCGCAATTTGGAAGCTCCTTGTGTTGCACCAACGCCTGGAGAGTTGGAGCACGCGAGCGGGAAGCGAGCGCTGGGCGGAGCGGGTTTAGGTTTGGGGGTAAAACAAGATGTTGAAGAAAGTCACCTTACCCTACCTTCTAGTCCCCCTTCCGGTCAGGTGATGCATCGACACAAACCAAGTTAAGCTGGTGGCAGCTGCTGCAGACAAGCCAGATGAGAAAAGGAAAGTAACAATTTGGAAAGACTTCTCACCTTTCATTGCTGAACATGCAAAAAGCCACACAACACGGGGAAACACCTTACTCTGTGTGGAAGAAGACCTTAGCAACCTTGAAGAAGCATCTTTTTTTGTGCTCAAGGTCCAAAAGAAAGAGTGGTAACCTCTCCCAAGGGAAGAGCCAGCCACAAGACCCTGTCTTCAACAAATCATGGAATATGGAAAGGTTTTACCTTATCTGGACAAAAGCACAGCTCAAGCATTAAAGGGGAGTTTTTTCCCTTCTGTGATTTTGTTAGACCAAAAACAGGGTCTATTGTATGTATTTTCAGTGTCATGGTGAATGGCTGTGCAGCAAGCAAAGCTGCATGGCGGTGTGCATGGCCACTGCAGCAAAGATGACACACACAACTCGCAGCCCTTTGCGAAGTGAGAAAAGGAGCGAATTTACATGGTAGCGGAGCCACAGTGCTCCTAGGGCCCTTGGGAAGGCCCTCGCTCCGTGTGGCCGTGGCCACTGCATAGGCGAACTTTGCTGCGTTGCCTGGGGCTGCTTGCGGAGGCTGCTGACGCTGGCTGCTAGCGGCGGTGGTGGCGAGGCCCGAGATTTTCCACTACAACCAGGACCTGGACTCTTGAAGAGCGTGTTCGTTGGGACGGTTAGTGCTGCAAGCGCCAGGCCAGGGCAGTTGCCCCGCCCGCGCCGAGTAGCTGAAACTGTGGAGCCATGGCACAGGCTCGAGCTGTGTCTGATGCGGCGCAGGCCGCGGCTCAGGCCACACAGGCTGCTGAAGCTGTGATGGCAAGCGCCAGTGAGGCGCGAAGGATGGACGCCTTGTCCCGCTTCATTCAGAAGCCAGACATGTGTCGTCCGGACACGCGGGAGCAAGAGATCGACCAATGGACGGATTGGCGACACATCATGCGGAACTATCTGGGCGTGATCGATGTTAACTACCTGACCGAGATCGACGCCGTGGAGGCCGCGACGAACGTGGAAGCTACCTTGGACGCCGCTCAGTACCCTGAGACGGCGTGGAGGTCTCGGGAGCTCTATGCCATCTTGGGCTCGTTCATTCGAGGACGGCCGCTGAAGCTGCTACGCAACGTCCCCTCTTCGAACGGCTACGAGGCCTGGCGGCAGCTCATGCTGGAAATGCAGCCCCAAACCCGGCAGCGGCAGCTCGCCCTCATGACCCAGCTCAATTCGACGACGTTCGACATGAAGAAGTCCCTCAACGAGCAGCTGGGAAAGTATGACGAGGTGGTCCGCGAGTACGAAAGGATAAGTGGCAGCATTGACCCTGAGGATCTCAAGGTGAGCACCCTGGTGAACGCAGCCCCTCCGGCCCTTCAAGTCCAACTCCACATGTCTTTGACTGCGACGACCACCTACAATGAGCTGAAGGAGAAGGTCCTCGCTTACGAGCGCTCGACCACCAAGTGGCAGGCCGCTTCTGGACTTCAGTTCCCAGCTGCGGTGGCCAACGACACCTCGATGCCCATGGAGGTCGATGCGGTGATTTGGGGTGGCAAAGACAAGGGTCGAGGACGCGGCGGCAAGGACAAGGACAAGACCAAAGGCAAAGGCAAGGACGCCTCAAAGGGCAAGGCAAAGGGAAAAGACAAGCCGAAGGGTGGCAAGCCTTCTTCCAAGACGGGAGGACGCACCAAAGCAGCTTGCCACACCTGCGGGAAAACTGGGCATTTTGCCCGCGATTGCTGGCACAACAAGGGCGGCGGCAAGGGGGTTAACCAAGTCCAGGAGGAGCATGCTTCCCCGACTTCAACAACGAGCGCTTCTTCGCAACAACCAGTTACAGCCGCAGCTGCTTCAGCTGTGCGGCGCGTTCGGATGACAACGCCCCCAATGGCCGCCAGGACCGAGATCTTCGATATTTCCGAGGACACGATCATGGACTTTGCCCTCGAGCCCTACCATATCTTCATGA